AAAACATATCCCGGACGCGCGAAATCACGTGTAAAAGCTACTTAAATATACACACTTAAAATCAGTATTCAAAGCAGACACTAATTCTGTTATATATTGTATAATAATTGCATATAATAATTAATTTATTCGCGTGCGTTGATGTCACTATTAACGATGATGATGATGGAATTAATCATGATGACTCATGAGATAGTCGTAGAGTAGCTTATTTTTTTTCTATGTATCAAATTATTTATGTACTTTAACTATTTAAGTGCTTTATATTATTCTCAATTTCGTGTATAATATAGTATATGTCATATATGTGTAAGTATGTTTGTTATTCATATATATCTATTCGTTTATATATGTAATTTTAGTATGTATGTATATCAATAATTACTAGTACCGCACTGCACTGGGACACTCGCAGCGTCAGCTGAGCCAGTTGCTTTTGCCTAATACGAGACACTTCGTATATAGATATAATATTTCTGTATTTTCTGTTCTAAATACGTGTTCTTATATGGATTGCAATCTCGTGGCAATAGATATTTTCTATTGTATTCCAAATTTAAAAGTACTTAACATATTTTATTAATTTTTTCACCTATACAAATCTCAATTTTCCATCTAAATTTATAAAATGCCTAGCGGCCCGTCCAGGATTCGCACGGGTGGACATTTTTACAACATTTTAAAAAGTGGTTATTGTGACGTAACTATAATAGTTGGACATATAGTATCGCGAAGTTTTTTGTAGTTATTGATATTTTCTTCAATATTGTAGAACATACTTTTGTTCTATCACCAATAGTTTCCGCAGCGCACGCGACCAAAGATATTTTATAGCTTTTTTTTTACACCTTGAGTTACGTTACTAAAGTTTTAGTAAGGATTCCTAATCTTTTCTAGCAATAAATAGCCTATGTTACTCAGAGTGAATATAGCAATTTTTGAAGAATTTTTGAAATCGGCAAAGTAGTTTTTGAGTTTATTTATTACAAACGTACACACAAAAATACAAATCTTTCCTATTTACAATATTAATGTAGAAGTGTAGATGTAGAAATAACTATAATTTATATCAAAATTATAGTTGTATAATTTTCAAAAATAATATAATTAAATATAACTCAAGGTACCAAGTACCCAGCTATTAGAGCCAATATAAAACACTGCTATATCTTTCTAGCTACACACGTGCGACGCCAAAGCGGATCGCTAGCGTTGAAATAAACTCACATACATACATACACCTTAAACATACTACACTCCTTTTTTGGGGAGTGTAAAAAAAAAACCTCATTAAAACACCAGTCGGGACGCATTCCCGGCCACTTTTTGTGTGTACAAATCTTGGCTCCTCAATTGGAGACGCGTGCGCAACCGCGGCGGCGCGGCGCTGGAATTCTTTGCATCTTATTGGTCATACTGATATATATATATATATATATATATATATATATATATATATATATATATATATATATATATATATATATATATATATATATATGATATATGATATATAGATACTATACAATTACATATCCAAATATTAAGAGTATACTGTGCCGTCATTATACAGGGTAGGCAGAAGCAGTATTTTAATAATAATAATAATAATGTAATAAGTACGTCAGTTTGTAGCGATGGACGAATGAATGATTGTTACTCCAAAAGATCACGCAAAAAGGTCATGCTACTGTATAAATGTATAGGCGAATTTTTTAATAGACGATAATGGAATGCTAACCCCACCTGCGCTAACGGTATACGCTGGCGAGGCACCAGTGAAGGATGATAGGTGAGGATGAAAAGGCAGGTCAGTTAGCGCATCGTGATGAATACACCTGGAATTCAACACGATGACTTCTAAGGGGGACCACGAGGCGGTTTTTTATGGGTGAAAATGGAATGGTAACTCCGCCTGCGCTAACGGGATACGCTGGCAGAGCACCAGTGAGGGGTGATAGATGAGAATGAAAACAGGCCAGTTAACCCATCATGATGAATTCATCAGGAATTAACCATGGTAGTTTCCAGGGAGAACCACGAGGAGGTCGACCGACGCAGACGGGGTTACAATTCATTATCACTCATAAAAAAAAAAACAAAAACCCCATCGGTATACGCTGGCACGGCACCAGTTAAGGCTCATCGGCGACATGGTTTACAACCGTAAAACACGCAGCGCGAAAGTCTTAAAGCGAACACTTCACGCGTTTCCTCATTACAACGGAACCCTAAAAATAATAAACCTTTAACAGTGCGGTTTACACGCGGATGTTATTATAATAGTTACATCAACATTATAGTTAATAATTACATATAGTTTGAATAAAATCCACATATACACATATATACACACACGTAACCTTGAACCGTGCGACATAAATTGTTAATACTAACAATTACTATAAATGCGTTTAACTGGTGAAACTATATACGGTTTAAATTTAAACTAGGGTTGTCAGATGCGAATTTTGATTTTTATTAAAAAAATAATCAATTTTTTATGCAACTTAGAATGCTGACGGTCCACCTGATGGAAAGTGGTGACCGTCGCCTATAGACATGAGCAGTACCATGGAGATAACAGAGTATACTGTTTCGCCCATGATACCTCCCACGCGTTGCCATTTCTGAGGACTCAGGTGTTATTCCTCTGTACCCTGTAAATTCACTGCCATCTCCCACCCATCAAACCGAAACACAGCCATGCAAACACAACTGCATCACGGTAGAAACACGAATGGGACAGAGGTGCTCAAGCAAACGACTTTTGTACAAAGTCTCTCTCTGGTTCAAATTCCGCAAAGAACGTCAAATATTGAAGGGAAGGAAAAATATCGAATCTACCAAATCCATTACTAGCAAAATATACCCTAGAGGTCGACCTGCACGCGGTTCCCACCGGAAACCATCATAGTTATATTTTTTTAAGAATTCATCGTGATAGATAAACTAACCTACTTTCATCTTCACCTATCATCCCTCAGCAGTATCCCACCAATGCTATACATTGGTGGGATACTGCTGAGGCTGGCAGGGTTAACATTCCATTTTCATCCATTAAAAAACTTTATTAATTGACTTTTAATTTATACTACTGTTGGACAGACTTACTTACAGACTGTCTTATGGTCAGGCGAGTAATTCATTTGTTTACATTTTCGTTACATTCTGTTGAAATCACTTCACTTCAGCTGTTAACTGTCCACTGAACATAAGACTTCCCCATAAAGGAAGCTTTGCTAGTAGTTGCCACGCTTGGCCGGCGGGTTAGCAACGGCAGTTAGACTTTTGGTGACATTTAAAGAGGTCATTAAGTTCCCTTATTCGCGTCCTACGACACCCACAGGAATGGAAGGGGTGGCTTATTCGACGCCGGGACCTTTTTTTTTCAATTTTATACAACTTAGAATGGCAAACAAGCTGACGGCATGTTAAATGGTAACCGGCATATCTGTTGAAATTAAATATACATATAACTGAGTTAACATATACGTCTGTTTGTAACATTTTAACTGATGAAACTACCAATAGATCGGTCTCAGTGATCAATTATAAAAAAAAATTATATGTTCACGATTACATACATAATGGTTATTAACTATTCATAATGGTATATTTAGTTAAAGACATTGACGTTTCACGTATGTTTTTAATCGAATTAATTAAAAAAACATTTTTAGATTTTTTTTTCTCATTTATTTATTTATTTAGGTTTCTTTTACACAACTTAGAATGGCAAACAAGCTGACGGCCCACCTGATGAAAAGCGGTAACCGTCGCCTATATACATGAGCAGTACCATGGACATAACAGAGTATACTGTCTCGCCCATGATATCCCCCATGCGTTGCCATTCCTGAGGACTCAGGTGTTATTCCTCTGTACCCTGTAAATTCACTGCCATGTCCCACCCTTCGAACCGAAACACAGCCATACAAACACAACTGCTTCACGGTTAGAATTACAGTAATACAAGTCACATTATATTAACAAATTAACAATAAAATTTATAACTGTTTTAAAATTGTACACCGTTATATATATATATATATGTATAACCAGAGGGAGACTTCGTACAAAAGTCGTTTGCTTGCTATATATATATGGTCGAGGGATGGGCAACAGCATCCCTCTTAACACATCACCAAAACCTCAAAACTCACCAATAGACACCCACGGGAAAGAAAGGGGTGGCCCATTCTATATCGGGACCACACGACATAAAGGGGAAAGGGATTGTTAATAATGGAGACTCAGAATCCCATTGCTAGCAATATACCTAAACCAGGTCTACCTCCTCGCGGTTCCCCCTGGAAATTATCTTGGTTAATTCCTTATGAATTCATCATGATGGACTAACTGGCCTGTTTTAATTCTCACCAATCATTGCTCACTGGTGACCCGCCAGCGTATACCGTTAGCGCAGGCGGGGTTATTATTCCATTTTCACCCATCAAAAAAAAAAACCACACGAGATACACGGCAGGATGGATTACACTGTTCAAAATCTTAAAATTAAGAATTTAATACAATTAATATATAAAATTACTCGATTTTTCCCCCAAATTCATACGCAAAGACTTTCCAGAAGTAGGAAAATTTTCCAAATCAATTTACAGCTAATTTGGAGTTATGAGGTAACAAACATTAAAAAAAAAAAAAAACAAATCGAGAACCTTCTTCAAATTGAAATCGATCGAAAAGTCGTCTGAATATGGGTTACTCTTTCCCAATAGTGTTTCTACCATCAAACAGCCATCTCTGATGGCCATTCTTATAGGGACAAACCACATCACATCTCTCAAGTTGGAGCAAAAAATATACCTTTACAAGTACAAAGTTTCATTAAAATCGGTTGAGCGGTTTCCGAGATAAGCGTGAACGGACATCGTGACATGGCATTATTATATATATTAGGATAACAATTGAAGTGTTTACTACTAAATTCATAAATGGCTTTGTTCAAATTTTAATTTACGTCTTTTTTCTCGTTTCAGATAAACCTACCCGAGTGACAATGTGTGCGTAACAACAAAACAAAATGGCGGTCAGAACTAAACTAGCGTTGTTCATGGTGACATTGGTGTTTGTTGACATTAATTGTGAAAGTAACACAGTGAGACTGAACTATGAGATAGATGAGGCGAAAACAGCTGATCTCCTCCGTGGCAGTGGTGAAGAAAGTGAAGAATATACCAAAGATATTGAAACCAAATTCAAAAATATAGAACCCGAGAAATCTATGACCGATGTTGTAGATTATGAAGAAAGAGTCACAGATGGTGGTTTAGACGCTGACCCTTCCGTCGACAATGTAGATAACGATAAGTTAACAACTGTTGACGATGCGTCTACAACGATAAGTACTTCTGAAGCACCCGAAGAGTCCGATTTAAAAAACATAGAGGACGAATATGTAGCGGAAACTTCCGAGGATAAAAAAACGGAGGAAGCTGTCACCGCAACAATAGACACGACCGAGGCGGAGAGTACAATATCTATGATAGACAATAATGTTTACAAAACCAGAGACAATATAGAGGATAGTATTAATAACATTGATAGTGCATCGAAGGTGAGTGATTGTAAATATAGTAGATATTTTTATAGATCCAGGTGTATTAGCTGTATTTGGAAAGAATTTAATAGAAAGATTATGATAAATATTGTACACAATTTAGATTCATAACCTAGTAGTTATTAATATTATTTCAAAATTAAAATATTAAATTAAAAAGATGATATTAAAACCTAAACCTCACTGAATTAGCATTAAGAATATTCCATAACGAAGCTTGCCGAAGTGTGGCAAAATTTGAATCATTCGTCAATTTTCACCATCGTACTACCCGCCATAAACTAAAATTTCATCCCAACCATCTGGACGAGTGGCGGTCCTCCACCGTGTGTTTTTCAAGGCACTTTCTCCCATGCACAACCACTCTTTGGAATCAACTTCCAACAGCAGTATTTTCGAACTGATACGACAACATAACCCTCAAGAAAAGAGCATATTCCTTTTTAAAAGGCCGGCAGCACACCTGCAATGTCTTTAGTGTTGTGGGTGATCATGGGCGGCAGTAGTTACTTACCACCAGGTGAGCCGCATGCTCGTCTGCCCCGTGTTGTAAAAAAAAATTTGCAATATTTTAAACTGATTATTTAAAAAGTGGACTGTTAATGAACCAAAATATTAATCAATATTAACGAAACAAGACTCTTATAAAGTTGCCACTGCAAAATTAGAATTCTGATAGCAAAAAAAGTATTTGAAAACTTTGGATGCAAAACGAAGTAGCTTACCTTTAGTTTTACGTACAAATATTTTAGAGTGCAAAGAAAGAAGAACTCAAAGTATCAAATAGTCTAGTCAAGATGACTTTAAATTATTATCATCATCCTTAAGCAGGGAGGGCCACGTACTCAGCAATAGTTGAAGAATCAGTACCTTCTTCAGATAGATAGATACTCTTTATTGTTTCCTCCAAAAGATTACAATAGTAAACTTATTATAGATACAAACAATTACAAGAAATAATCACAATGAGAAAACAATGGGCGACCTTATCGTTAAGAGCGATCTCTTCCAGGCAACCTATGGATGGAGAGGATTCTTTAATCGAAGGGAAAATATGGATAATCTGTTCTAACTGTGTCTTTAAACCATAGATTCCCCGCCTATTTTGGGCAAAAGACCCCTTTACCAATGATATCTCAAATTACTGTTATTGCTTTAAAAATTCTATGTCTAATTTTTTCCTACTGATACGTAATATTTAATAAATAATTTAAAAACTTTGCGCTTGGTTAAATAAGTAAATTTGACATCAATTTCTAATCAAAATTTAAGAAAATAAATAGATAAAAAAATCTGTAAATATCAAGTGCAATTAATAATTATTAAAAAAAAAAAAATTAATAGGAGTCGATTTTTAGACCTCGTCAACCCCCAAAGAGTTTCCGTTTATTTCGACCCCTGGGAAACTGATTTCGGCTACCAAGAGGATTGATATCGACCACTCTAGGAATCTTTGCTCCAAACGAATTTTTTTTTATGCAACTTAGAATAGCAAACAAGCTGACGGCCCACCCGATGGAAAGTGGTAACCGTCGCCTATAGACATGAGCAGTACCATGCACATAACAGAGTATACCATTTCGCCCATGATACCCCTCATGCGTTGCCATTTCTGAGGACTCAGGTGTTATTCCTTTGTACCGTGTAAATTCACTGCCACATCCCACCCTTCAAACCGAAACACAGCCATGCAAACACAACTGCAATATACAAATTAATATATACAATAATTAAATAAAACGTTTATTTATACTAGTATGTCCGATCAGCAAACTATGTTATGGCCGGGTCCATTTGTTGTTTTTTTTTACATTTTAGTTAAATTCTATTAAAATATACCCTGATATATTCACAGACTGAGCCCACCACACAATCCACAACTAGGCCAATGGACGAGACGGACGCAGCGGCACCGAGGGTTACTGGTCTGGATGACGAGCTGGAAACCGTCGGACAGAGGAACCCCAAGACAGAGAATAGTAGGTACCTAAATAAAGAAACTAGCCGACTGATGTTGGTTCTTTATGCAAGTCAGAATGGCCTAGCTGACGGCCTAGCTAACTAGCTGATGGAAAGTGGTGGTAACCGTATATATATATATATATATATATATATATATATATATATATATATATATATATATATATATATATATATATATATATATATATATATATATATATATATATATATATATATATATATATATATAAGCAAACATATGAAAGACAAAGAATACACTGTTTACAGCCATAGAAGCTTAGGGAGAAAGGGATTGCTAGTAACAGGATCTAACTGCCCCATTGCTAGCCAAATATCCTACTTTTTAAAATGGATAATAATGAAATGGTAACCCCGCTCGCGCTAACGGTATACGCTGGCGGGGCACCAGTGAAGGATGATAGGTGAGAATTAAAAGGCAAGTCCATTAGCCCATCGTGATGTATTCACTTGGAATTAAACACGACTGTTTCCAGGGGGAAAGAGGAGGTTGACCTGACAGGGCATCATGCTAGCAATAAGACTAGGTAGTCCTCGTTGCATATACGGGAGGGAAGAGGGGTTACCCACCACTCCACCGATATAAAAATATTGATAAATGTAAAGAAGACACAAGAGGTTTGAATCGGAGCATTTGGCGTTCCATTATTTCTACCTACCCCCAATGGTAGGCAGGCGTGATAGATAGTTCGTATATGTATGAATGAATCAATTTCGCAATTCATTCATATCGTATATTTACATATACTAATTACATACATTTAAATGATATATTAAAGCAACAGAAAAGCACCTGAGGCATTGACCTGGAGTTTAGGGATCCGTAGGTATATAAAAATTAATTAATACTTTCCATAGTACAAGAAGTATAGTTCACCGTGTAGGTCCCGGTATAAATGGGCCACCCCTTCCTTTCCCGTGAGTGTCGTAAGAGGCGACTAAGGAAGCGCAATAGTCGAGTGATGGGTAGTAGAGTCCCTCTTTAAACATCTCCAAAGCCTAACCCCGTCTGCCAAGCGTAGCACGTATTGGCTAAACCCCTCTAATAGGTAGTCATCAACCAACACGTGTTTCCTTCTTGAAACCATCGTGACGAATTCCATAGGAATTCCATAAAAATTCCTATGGAATTCGTCACGATGGGGTAACAAGTAAGAATATTATAATAATACTAGCTGACTCGGCAAACGTTGTTTTACCATATATGTACATTATTTTTAGAACTATACATGAAAATTTATCGTACTACAATTATTATATTGGATTGCCATCTTGCAACCCTATTGCGGCATATAAAAATCGCGATTAAAAACAGGGGTTGATCGTAAAACGGTGAAAATTTGATTTTGAATGTATTTTTCAATGCTAAATCATAATAAAATAAAAATGGAAAAATTTGTTAAAAAAATAAAAAAAAATATTTAGGGGTAGGCCACCCTTATCATTGAGGGGTATGAAAAATAGATGTTGGCCGATTCTCAGACCTACCTAATATGCACACAAATTTCATGAAAATCGGTAAAGCCGTTTCGGAGGAGTTTGGTAACAAACACCGCGACACGAGAATTTTATATATTAGATATTATATAATTATGGTAATAAGTGAGAAGAAAAGCAGCTTATGCTTTCATTCTCACTTATCGTCCCTTACTATCCAGCGTATACCGATAGCGCGGGCAAGTACGACAAACCCCTTCCCCCCAATTGAAAGAGGCAATTATGTTCCTTTAGTCGCCTCTTACGACACCCACCATACTTTTGCCGTCATATTGCCGTGTAACTGCTAAATCATTACAATTATTACAGAAATAAAGATGTCTACCATTACCACTATTCGAAAACTTTATTTTTTTTTTATACAACTTAGAATAGCAAACAAGCTGACGGCCCACCTGATTGAAAGCGGTAACCGTCGCCTATAGACATGAGCAGTACCGTGGACATAACAGAGTATACTGTTTCGCCCATGAAACCCCCTATGCGTTGCCATTCCTGAGAACTCAGATGTTATTCCTATGTATACTGTAAATTCACGCCATATCTTACCCTTCAAACCGAAACACAGCCATGCTTCACAGTAGAAACACGAATGGAACAGAGGTACCCAAGCAAACGACTTTTGTACAAAGTCTCCCTCTGGTGAAATCCTCCATCTACCCGTGCGAAACAAAGCCAGATCGCTAGTTTAATATTAAATTCTCAGGTATATATTTGAAAGGATAGATTAGACAGAGGGCGTTCTGGTTCAGAATTATGTTTCCTTTGATCTTTTAATTTTTTTTATACAACTTAGAATGGCAAACAAGCTGACGGCCCACCTGATGGAAAGCGGTAACCGTCGCCTATAGACATGAGCAGTATTTTTATAATAGAGTAAATAAATAAATAAAGCAAGGTAAAAAGTCTCATTGTTCGGGGACAATCACAATCTATTTTACAATAGTATACGGAACATGTCGCGTTTAGGCGCGATTCGTGCTTGCCACTATTTTTCACCATCTATTACATATCCAGCATATTATTACGTATGCAAACACACATAATTAGCGTAACGTTATAATATTAAAGAGTTATAAACACAGATAAGGCCGAAGGGCATAAAATATACTGTGACGGCCGTTTAACTCATAAATCTCAGTTTATTAGCTAACAGTCAATACATAATTATAATTAACACATCGGCGACTACGCTAGTATTTGTTTCAACGGAACTTAATGAAAATATAAACAAACAAATAGTCGACGAATAAGGGTGGACGAGGGATTGGCAGCAGCGTCCCCCTTTAAAGCATCTCCAAAGCCTAATTACGGTAACTAACCCGTTTGCCAAGCGTGGCAACCACTGTCAAAATCCCCCAAGGAGGAGGCTTATGTTCAGCAGTGGACAGTTAAAGGCTGATGATGATGACGATGATGAACAATCGACCCGGCCATAAGACAGTCCGCTGATGTCCAATTATTATACAATAGAATCTCAATTATCCGAATTAAATAAAACCAGGGGTATTCCGGATAATCGAAAATCCGGATAATCGATTACAAAGTCGAATCAAACAATGCATAATATATTTTTTTTATTATGTATATAGTTTCATACGCCATTAAGACGATACGATATAAAAAAAAATTACGAGCTTTAAAGATAATGGATTACATAATATCTATTTACTTAATTGATACATAATGCCATTTCTAAATTGATAATTAGACCCGTGAAGAATAAGTCCGGATAATCGAATATTCGGTTAATCTGTGTTCGGATAATCGAAATTATACTGTATTATTGTTATTATATTAGCCATTAACTGACCACTGCTGAACATAGGTCTCCCCATAAGGAGAGCTTTATCAGATAAAAAAAAAATCCAAATCGGTTTAAAACTGGCGAAAATATGAGGTAACAAACATAAAAAAAAAAACTTCTTTTATACCACAAAGGTGGCAATCAGGCACGTCTGACAGTAAACGGTTACTGTAGCTTATGAACGTCTGCAATACTAGAGGTCTCCTTTTACGAACAGAGAGAGACTTTGAACAAAAGTCGTTTGCGTTGGCACCTCTGCCCAATTCGTGTTTCTATCGTGAAACAGTTGTGTTTTCATGACTGTGTTTCGGTTTGAAGGGTGGGATATGGAAGTCAATTTACAGGGTACAGACGAATAACACCTGAGTCCTCAGGAATGGCAACGCATGGGGGGTATCATGGGCGAAACTGTATACTCCGTTATGTCCATGGTACCGCTCATGTCTATAGGCCACGGTTACCGCTTCCATCAGGTGGGCCGTCAGCTTATTTGCTATTCAAAGTTGCATAAAAAAAAACATGATTTTTATATAGTCTCTTCAATAATTAAATATCATAATTATTAAATTACAATGCTTCGACACCTTTACATATGTCATGTCAAAATTTTTTACCTACTACATTAATTAACTTACAAAGCGACGATGTTTTTGCCTACATACAAAAAATATATTTATTGAAGATTACTATCGACTTGTCTAACATATCAAATGTACCACGACGTCAATACAACTGTGTTATATCCGTCTATACTAAATCCCTTATACATAAAAACTAAAACGTGATGGATGATAATGGAATGGTAACTCCGCCTGCGCTAACGGTATACGCTGGAGGGACACCAGTGAGAGGTGATAGGTGAGAATGAAAGGGCAGGTCAGTTAGCCCGTCGTGATGAAATGGAAAATTCAGCACGATAGTCTCCAGAGGGCACCACGTGGAGATCGACCTGACATGGTATATTCAGGGTAAATTTAGTTTTTTTTTTTTAATGGGAAACACGAGCTAATGGCTAACTTGGATGACGGTACTAACATGAACCATAACACAGAATATCATAGAATACCATGTCCCTTTACCATTATATTTAAACAAATTAAATGTAATTAAATAAAAAGTACTAGGCGCCCATAATAACCTGAGCGTTCTTTTCAGCGGAGTCGAAACAGCCGATCGACAAGCGCGACCATGAGAAACACCGCCCATCTCCCGCAGTTAGCAAGAGCACGACTCTCCGCCGCTGGCTAGAGGATTCGTGGCTCCGTCCGCCTGCTGGTATCCTGGTACCATTACGGCCTATGGCCCTAAACAGGGCGCTAGCAGTATGGAATGACCTGATGGTTGGTGGGCTTAACGTGACAGATATAGTGATTGTTGGATATGATTCTAACGGTAAGTTTATATTTACACTAACTTTACCAGAGGGAGACTTTGTACAACAGTCAATTGCTTGGGTACCTCTGTCCCATTCATGTTTCAACCGTAAAGCAGTTATGTTTGCATGGCTGTGTTTCGGTTTGAAGGGTGGGATATGGCGTTATTTACTGGGTACAGAGGAATAACACCTGAGTCCTCAGGAATGGCAACGCATGGGGGGTATCATGGGCGAAACAGTATACTCCGTTATGTCCACGGTACTGCTCATGTCTATAGGCGACGGTTACCACTTTCCATCAGGTGGGCCGTCACCTTGTTTACCATTCTAAGTTGTATAAAAAAAAAACAATATAAAATAAACCCTCAGGGTTCTAACGTCTCTATTAAAAAAGTTTAAGTCGTGACGTGACAAAGGACTAAAATACACAAAATGTAGATACGATAGAGCAAAACTATATATGCTTACAGACCTACAATCTCCAAATCAATGAAACTGGTTTCTTACCTGTAACAAAATAAATGAAACTTTAGTATTATTTTATATAACTGATGCTAAAAAGAAAAAATACAAAAAAAAAAATTAATAACATGAGGCAGTTGTAATACATGTGTCGAAGGTGTTATATTATATATGTGTCGAAAATAATACTTATGTCAGAGATGTAATTTAGGTAACTTAGAGCTAGAAATTGTCAGTTGCAAAATCTATATAAACCCAATGGTATCATTAATATTAGACAGGTATAACACTTGTATCGAAGATCTACCATAAAATTTGCCATCCACTCTTTTCAGCACGTATACAACCAAAAATTGGCATACAAAGTACTTTATTCTGCGATATCTATTTAAATATTTAAAGTGCTTATTTGCTTTATTGTCATTAACGACTTGTGTCAAAGGTGTAATATTTGTGTCAAAGATAATTAAGATTACTTAGAGTCAGCAATTATCACACAAAATACATAGAGTATTGTCTATTTATACACATCTGTGTTATTGACACTTGGCTAAAGATATACTTCAAGCTTACGATATAATTAACACTTGTATCAGAGGTATAATACTTGTGTCGAAGGTGTAATATTTGTGTTAGAAATGTAATTAAGTTTATTAGAGCCAAAAATTGTCACGTAAACTTTCGATATCTAAAATCCATCTGTGCCATTGACACCGGGCGGGTGTAATGTTTGCGTCGAAGATGTAATAATTGTGTCAGAGGTGTAATGTAGGGTTCAACGTTAAACTAACCGCCGGTCATGTTCGACAGACTAACTGGAGCGTATCAGTGTTGTTTTACATAAGCGCAGTTACATTCACTGGGCAAGGTCAGTTCAAATTTAACTTTCTGCGATTTAGTTATGCGTATAATAATTGATTAACTGTTGATTTTTTTTAATGGGTAATAATAGAATGGTAACCCCGCCTGTGCTAACGGTATACACTGGTGGGGCGTATCCCTCTGGTTTTCCAGAGAGAAACGCGTGGAGGTCGACCTGATAGAATATATTGATAATAATGGGGACTAACCTCCCCATTACTGACAATCCCTTCCCCCTAGACTAAGTAAGTTGGGTTTATAGTCACTCGATTAAAATGATAACCGTGATACAGCCCTACTAATATTACGAACTAGCTACCTGCCCCGGCTTCGCACGGGTGTGCTAATGAAGAAAATGAGAATAAATCATTCCTTTACGAGTACAGTATAATCATGGCGTCACATCTGTCAATATTTTTAAAGATTTCTCTACCATGTTCTGTCTCACTCACTTTTTATACAAACATTTTTTAAATAAATTTATTCACTTTAACATACAATTTTTCAAACATTTCCTTTCATACAAACCTTGTACAAACAAATACAACACGAAAACAATTAGCCAAATACGTGTAGACGTTCTGTATTATGTAGTTTTAACATAAAATTTGTATTTCGTTCGGCCTCGAAATTTCGGGAAACATTTCATGGTAGGCCCTCATAAGCCAGTCACGCGGACGACGTCGCGGGTAATAGCTAGTGGTATGCACAAATAAATAAATACATAACTCGCGTTTACTATTTTTAACTTAAGGCAATATTACAAATGACCCAAACAAAATAACAGCGTTAAAAGATTTTCGCGCCAAAATATACGAAATACGACCACAAGAAGGAAAGAGCATGATGAAATCTTTCATTGTAATGAAATAGCATTGAAATATTTAATATGAAAGGAAATCATTAGTGAATACTGTCAGTTAGTGTTACTAGTACCAGAGGGAGCCACCTCTGTCCCATTCGTGTTTCTACCGTGAAGCAGTTGTGTTTGCACGGCTGTGTTTCGGTTTGAAGGGTGCGATATGGTAGTGAATTTACACGGTACAGAGGAATAACACCTGAGTCCTCAGGAACGGCAACGCATGGTGGTATCATGGGCGAAACAGTATACTCTGTTATGTCCACGGTACCGTTCATGTCTATAGGCGACGGTTACCACTTTCCATCAGGTGGGCCGTCAGCTTGTTTGCCACTCTAAGTTGCATAAAAAAAAATAGGTTATGTCTAGCAATTTTTTTTTTATACAAACAGACCTACTTTATTATAAATTATAGGAACCTTAGCTACGCTATTAGTATACGCTGGCGGGGCACCAGTGAGGGATAGGTGAAGATGAAAGCAGGTCAGTTGGCCCGTCATAACAAATTCATCAGGTATTAACCACAATGGTTTCCAGTCGTAAAACTAGAAGACAAATCCTTTAGTAATATGGATAAAACCATATTACGCCAACCTTAAATAATAAATGGGATAAGGGTAGGAAGACGATGATGATGATGGTTTCCATACATACATCTGTCACGCCTGTCTCCCATTAGGGTAGGCAAAAACAATGGAACGCCAAATGCTTCGATTCAAACAAACCTCCATCGCTTCTTCCACATTCATCAATCTTTTCATACACGCTCACCGGTTACGGGTACTTTTAATTTGGTCCTTCTTCAGCATGTCGCCTATTTGGTCGACATACGTCCGTCTAGGGCGGCCCCTACCGATATCTCCATTCATTCTTGCTTGATAAATCTCTTTCGTAATTCTTCTTTCATCCATCCTCTCTAAATGACCGAACCAACGCAACATTCCTTTTTCGATTTTTGTCACTACATCGTCTTTCAGTCCATGGTTTCCACTATCTGATAATATACACCATATTACTAGCAATGGGTTTGTTAGATCCCATTACTAACAATCCCTTTCCCCTATACTGGGTATGGTGCCGTATGTCATTTAGATATTTTTTTTGGAATACTTGTAATTTAAAAGAATCCTTCTTCACCAGGTGTGACTTGGAGGTCCAGGCATAATTTGCAGCCATCGACCAGTGCCCACGGCGACAGGGCTGTATCAGAAGCACTGTCAAAGCTGATTCTCAAATATCAAGTGAGTATACATATATATCATAGACACAATAAATACCAAAGAGGATTGGCAACCACAGTCTTTTTTTTTAATGAGCGAAAATGGATTGGTAACCCCGCCCGCGCTATCGGTATACACCGACGAGGCACCAGTGGAAGATGATAGGTGAGAATGAATGCAGGTCAATTGGCCCACCGTGATGAATTCAACAAGAATTAACCATGATGGTTTCTAGGGGAAACCACGTGGAGGTCGACCTGAGAGGGTATATTGCTAGCAATGGGGCTATTAAACCTCATTACTAACAATCCCTTTCCCCCCGGCAACCACAGTCAGGCTTTAGATGTTTTAAGAAGTACGCAGCTGCCCATTTCCTAGCCCTCTCTTAGTCGGCTCTTACGACACCCATGGGAAAGGAAGGGGTGGCCTATTCTACGCCGGGACTACACGGCCAAAGTAAAGACAACCTTCCAATATTCTGTTAAAAAAAAATGTCATATCGTCTATAAAGCCAGCATTCTGCCTCTTCTATACTCTATACAGAAGATGCGAGACTTAATACATTGAGAAAAAAAAACTAAAACCAAAATTTCAGTTACTTTAGTATAAAAGAACAAGACTTTACACAGAGTTACAAATCGATTCGACATGTCTCAAGTGTTCGCTGCGACATATTATTATTGATACATCACACTTCAACGGCAAGCGAAACAAAATATTAGTTACAGTAGAAAATTGAATGGAAATCAATTGAAACCGTCGCCAAAACTTCACATCAATACTGCTGTTTGCATTGAAGACATACAATTACATACAAATTGAAATAAACAAGTTAAAGACGGAAAGTGATAATTGGCTATATAACTTAAAACTGTGTTCCACGAAAAAGGACCAAAAGGGGGAGACTTTGTACAAAAGTCGATTGCTTGGGTACCCCTGTCCCACTCGTGTTTCAACCGTGAAGCAGTTGTGTTTGCATGGCTATGTTTCGGTTTGAAGGGTGGGATATGGCGTGAATTTACTGGGTACAGAGAAATAACACCTGAGTCCTCAGGAATGGCAACGCATGGGTGGTATCATGGGCGAAACAGTATACTCTGTTATGTCCATGGTACTGCTCATGTGTATAGGCGACGGTTACCACTTTCCATCAGATGGGCTGTTAGTTTGTTTGCCAGTCTAAGGTGTATAAAAAAAATATTATATCAATAATGATATTGGGAAAAGCTATAAATATACCTGGAATCCAGCATGATGGCTTCCAGGGAGGATCACGTCGAGATTACCCTGACAGGATATATTACTAACAATTCCTCCCCCCCCCCCCCCGTTATTGGTGCAGGTCACACAATGTTGCATCTTGACTTTTTACAAGTTTCATTTCGTGAATATTATCACTGGGTTTTGTTACCATGGTGTTACCATTCCACTATCATCCATTAAAAAAATTTGGCACGCCCCTCCAACTTTTTCCTTCAACTTGTGTGACCGTATACAGACGTGGTACTCTGTTTGTTTGTGAGAAGACGTCTCCAGTAGCGATCCGGTCAGTGAAGAATTATACTCCTCGGTCGAAACCTTGTAAATATTTTCACTCACACATTTTTAATAATTTAAATTTAGAAGGGGCGCGCCATGTTATCGTAGACAATCTATACACATACACATGCAAACAACCACTGTTTAAAATCTGTGTTTATTAAACCATATTTCATAACAATTATTTACTTATTTAATGAGATCTCCGACAGGGAAATTTGTATGAGGCAATGTCGGTCTTGTTTATAATGTTGACCTTAACAGAAGGAAATTATCATGATAACCTTGTTTACAAATATAATATATGTTCATTTTGACGTACGTAACATATATTATGCGAAATCAATAGTGTTTTTGCGTTGTTGTATATATATACATATATATATTGTATTTAGGGATCATAACAAGTGGTTATTGCTCCGCAAAAAAAAGCAACTTCATGTGTCATTCATTCATTCAGCCATGACATGCACACACATTCATACATACACACACACACACACACACATACATATACACACACATGAACGACGAGATGTTCCGTAGATACAGTATTTTGAAAACAAACCTGCATAAAAATATTTTTAAAAACAAGCTTCTATAATCTTTAGCCTTCATCATCAGACTCTGGTTACCACACAGGGTTATAGTTTTGGACAAGACAAATCAAATGAGATATATTGCACTTGCAATATATGTTATTTATTTATTTAAATTTTAATGCACAGTAAAATTCTATGTACATTTGGCGGACTTAACACCGGACGGTGTTCTCTACCAGCCAACCACCAACGACCATGTGTCTTTAATACTAACTAAAGACACTGTGGGGAAAGGGATTGTTAGTGATAGGATCTAATAGCCTCATTGCTAGCAATATTCCCTATCAGGTCGACTACCAAGCGGTTTCTCCTGGAAACCATCGTGGTTATTTGGAATTCGTCACGATGGGCCAACTGGCCTTCCTTTTAATCCTCACCTACCATCCCTCACTGGTGCTCCGCCAGCGTATACCGATAGCACGGGTGGGGTTATCAATCCATTTTCATTCATAAAAAAAATTGAAAATTCAATAAAAGCTTGTAATATAATGATCTTTCCGTTTGTCTCCAGGATATCAACAATGACGATTCCAGCGACGGTACGATGAGGGCTCTGGCATCAGCGGCCAAGTTGGTGCCGTACGACAGTGCTTTATTCGTGGTCACAGATAAGGGTGCTGGTGATCCGCAGAGGCTGCCCTTAGCTTTGAGGGCCTTGATTGAGAAGAGGTTGAAGGTGAGTGACTGAAGCCCTTTTGATCCTTTGGCTTTGTAGCAGTCGCCAAGTCCCTAGAGCACTTGATTCAAAAAGGACAGATAAAAACATACAAACACTGGATCTTTGTCGCTTAAATTTGATGATTTTTTTTTCAATGGATGAAGATGGAATAGTTCACCTGCTCAGCTCATGCTAACGTTATACAATGACAGAGCACCAGTATAGGGTGAACTGATGAGGTATGAAATCACTTCATCACGGTGAATTTCTTAAAAATTACCCACAATAGTTTCCAGGACATAAACATCGTGGAAGTCGATCTGACCAGCAAAAGAGCCGTTAGGTGAAAAAATTAGTGATCTGATTTTAGTTTTATTCTTTAACTAGCTTTTACCCGCGATTTCGTCCACGTAATCGAGATATGTTTACTTACTACTATATCCTTTTCCATCCCAAATAGTACGGGTACACCAACAGAACAATAGGTTAAACCGTTAAGGAATAAAAAAAATAACAAACAAACTCCCTTTCATATTTACAATATCAGTAAGGATTGGTAAGGAAATGAGGATGAATAATTAAACAAAATGACAAGTACTACGTCAGTTCAAAACACCGTGAACCCAACCCCAACGACCTAGAAGCACCTAAACTTACCACGAGCACCGTAAACATATTTGTATTGCTCCATACATCATTTCAAGACCACACAAGTTACAATTATGTACATTTTTTACATAGACTACTCTGCTAGAGGTAAGAGGTAGGGTTCAATGCCCGCATCGAGATGTTGAACGCGTCTGATTTGTTATGGCAAGTTACATATATTTCGCATTCGCTCTTCAATTATTGAGATGGCAAGAACTATGACTTAACACCGTGCTACTGTTAGAACAAATACGAAATTAAATACAATATTTTTTAGTGCAACTTAGAATGGCAAACAAGTTAACGACCGACCTCATGGTAAGTGGTAATCATCTATTACAGACATGTACAGCACCATGCATTCAGTGGATGCAAGTGGTTCGAGACTGTTCCTTATGGCAGTCTGGGGGGGAGGCCTATATTCAGTAATGGCAGATAATGGCTGAAACGATAACAGCACCATGGATATCCTATTAACACTATAAATGCGACAGTTTATAGATGTTTGTTACTCTTTCACGCAAAAGCTAATGAATGGATTTAAATGAACTTTAGTGCACGGATAGGTCATATCCTAACTTACCAGATAGGATTCTTTTACAATATAGGGGGCAAACGAGCATACGGCTCACCTGGTGGTAAGTGACTACCGCCGCCCATGATCACCCACGACACCAACGGCATTGCAAGTGTGCTGCTGGCCTTTACTTTATGTACCGATTCACGCGAGCGAAAACGCGGGATACAATTAGTTACAGAACATATTGTAATGTACATGGTAACTCTCATACGTTGCTATTTCTGATTCCGCCCTAGACGGACATCGACCAAATATTCATGTGCTGAAGTAAAGGCAAATTAAAAGTACCCGTAACCGGCGAGCATAAATAGTTTGATAAATGTGGAGGAAGCGAAAGAGGTCTGTTTGAATCGAAGCATTTGGCGTTCCATTGTTTCTGCTTACTCCAATGAAAATAGGCATGAGAATGGTCTAATGGTCTGAGGATGGTCTAAGTTTCTAGCAATTCCTTCACAGATAGCGAGACAGCGAGTCTAATCTATATTTTTGATGCTTCTTTCACAGGTATACACAATATGGACAGACCCCAGGCACCAGACCTCCGAATCAGAGGCAGAATTACAAGAACTAAGAAACATATCGCGGCACACGGAGGGCGACGTGTTACCTTACTCTTTACAAGTGATGGTAAGCCAATACATTTTTGTCAAATATAGGGTGAAAAAATTAAAGGAAGTTCACAAGGAGGGTTGAAGTCAGGCAGGCGGCTGGGCGTAAAACCAAAGGCCTTATGTAATATTCACGTCACATTACAGTTTAAACAAGTCGAGGTTCTATATGCACTTATTCTACAAATCTTGGCGCTGGTAATTTTTTACGTGTTCTTTTCCTATATCTATTTGGGGTTGACATAATATGAATTTGAATTACCTCTACTTCACTATTTGATGTCATCTCGCTATTCATACACTTTTTTATACATTAATATGTATAATCTATTAGTGATAAAAAGATATCTGTTATTATTTTAGGAGATGGACGGCACAAGCAATCTGGCGACGGAAGAGCACAGAGAACACTGGGACTCCGTGGGGATGGTGCAAGGAAGACAACCACGCCTGAATAGACGACCAGAAATTGATAAATTAGAGGTAAGCTTCTGTCAGAAAGACGAGTTAAGAAACTGGATGAATTTAGAATTGAGATCTTTGACACTTAGTTCTCTCTAATTGCACTGTTCGAAAAATCCATAGTTGAGCGGAATTTCCCGAAAAAAAATCCGGGAGCTCAAAAAAATAGATTTAGGAAAAACAAAGATTGTGACCTACAATAGAATTGGATTACAGCAAAGTCCTATATATTTAATTTGTTTCCAGACCCTACTTGTGAGACGTGGAGGGGGAGAGGCTATCTCCTTAGGAGTACCAGTGGATTCCGGAGTGACAGCACTGAGGATCTACATCGAAGGGGCTGTTGAACACGCGGTCTTGTATCCTCCTAATGATGGTGAGTCAGCTTTGTATGTAATGATCTCTGACAAAATAAAACGTAATAGTTCTTTATTGTAGTACTCTCTTTCCGTATAGCTACAGAGTGAGAGCCCTCCTCATCCTCAGGATATCGTAAGATATAACTGGAGAAACAAAATATAGAAAGCAAACAATTGCCAAGGTAATTCCAAAGGTACTAAGCTTTCGTATGAGAAACATCCTATGACTACAAAAGGAGTTCAAAAACGGGTTCTAGATCTACAAGGCAACATGCAGACATTTCTGTATATCATTACTTAGGCGTTACGTATGACCCGATTGCGTAGATTACACCATATTTCCCTGCTCATCTCGTAAGAGACATCGCGTAAAGATAAATATACCTGATGTCAAGACAAAACACAAAACATTAACCTTGCAAACTCAATTCAAGTCACAGTTGGTTTACGCGGAATAATGATAATAATCAGCAATTTGTCCGTCATACGGCAGGCATTAACTAGTTTACGCTATTCAGAGGAAAAAAAGTTATTTTCACACACGCGAACAGGGCTTAAAGGTTTAATGTCGCTTCCTGATTTGAGTACGATCAGTACTAATAAATTACAATGTAACAACCGTATCGTAACATTGCGGAATGGCCTTTCCCGTGACATGTTCTCTTCAACCGATAACCTCGGATCCTTCAAACGTAGCGTGAAAAAGCACGTAGTGTGGCCAACAGTTCAATATGAAACATTCCATTTTCAACTGATCGCATTTATGAAACACTTTGTCTCTGTAGAAAGAATAAGCAAGCTGAAGTGGCAATGGGCTTGTCATATAGCTCGAAGAACCGACACCCGATTGGGAAGAAAGGTTCTTGAGTGGCCACTCCGTGCGGGCAAAGACAGTATAGGACAACCCCCCCCCCCCCCTACCCTGCTAGATGGAATGACGACCTCAAAATGCATTGCAGAGAATTAGTGGATGTAGATGGCTCAGGACCGAGTAAGATAAAGATGAGGATGATTTTCTCTGTATTTGCTCAAGTCGATGTGGTCATCTAACGTGCTCTCGTAATAGTCCGCTGGAGCAGCAACTCATGAGGAGTACCACGGACAATGTATTCTGTAATGACCGTAATGCTATACTTATAAAGATACGGTTACCACTCTTCATCAGGTGGGCTGTTAGCTTGTTTACCATTCTAATTTGCATGAAAATGTTATTTACCTAGCACCAATAATTCTTTTGGCGCCAAAATAATGTGTAACAACAACAAACTCAGTGTAATTTTTAACCATTACGATTTTATTACACCTTTAGTGTGAATACAAAGTACAACAAAACAGAGATGTTAAATGAAAAAAAAATGAGAGCAACATGGCCAAGCGTTGACATAATGCCCGCTCTAAAATTGCAGTCGTGAGGAGATTGTTAATCTATTCCTTTTTTCACAGCGCCACAAATCGATTTATACAATTCCACATCAGTGAATGCCTTCTCACCAACATCAAGAAGCGAGGGTCAAACACCAAGAGACGTTTACCTGGTCTTTCCAGGAGTCGACCTGGATATAGACACGTAAGTCAATCAACATTTATTTATGAATTCAAGTGTGGAGGAATAATTTCCCCACGCTATAGTCTCTAGGGAAAGCCTTGGCAGGGAGATCATTCCACAATCTGAGTGTTCCCAGGAAGAAGATCCTTAGAAACTGTACGTGATCATTCTGGTTTTAAAATGTGAGGATGAATTCCCTATCCATGGCGAACGGTGCGATGGTGAAAGGTGGCTGTAGGCATCATATCAAATAGTTCATATATACAATACAATGCTGGTAGTTGCTAACTTGCTCTCTCTCTCTTTCTGTCAACGATTCTAATTCGGCTATTTTAGACCTAAGCTACAATAAGTTATAATATATCTATCTCTTTTCCTCTTAGGCTGTCAGTGATACCCGCTCGTCCGTTCATACCTGAGTCACAATCAAGCATGGTCGGTGTGTGGCACCTGAGCGTTCGCTGCAACACGTGCGATTACAGACTACTGATAGCTGCGCGTGCGCAGTTGCACTTCGACATCGAAACTGACACCCCAGGTAATATCATTGACAAGATTTAATAGAGGAAGACTTTGTACATAAGCCGTTTGCATGAGTACCTCTATCCCACTCGGCCAAACAACTTAACCGCCGAGCAGCAATTGATTATTGTCGTAAGTCATTCTGATAATTAAAATTCGGATATTTGAATGAAGACCTCTGTCCCATTCGTGTTTCAACTGTAAAGCAGTTGTGTTTGCATGGCTGTGTTTTGGTTTGAAGGGTGGGATATGGCAGTGAATTAACAGGGTACAGAGGAATAATGCCCGAGTCCTAAGGCATAGCAAAGATTCATGGGCGAAACAGTACACTCTATTATGTTCATGGTACTGCTCATGTCTATAGGCGACGGACTTTCCATCAGGTGGGCCGTCAGCTTGTTAGACATTCTGAGTTGCAAAAAAAAGACTATTCATATTTTACTGAACTAGGTGTATTCTTGCGGAAATCCAAATCACTGGTTATTTGAATATATCTGTCAAGCCTGTCTCCCATTAGGGTAGGCAGAAACAATGGAACGCCAAATACTTCGATTCAAACAAACCTCTTTCGCTTCTTCCACATTCATCAATCTTTTCATACAATGTGAATGAAAAGAATGTGATTATTTTATTCAGTTCTGCTACCGTTCATATGTGTTGACTGCAAACGCAGGGGGACAATGCCAAAGGCCCCATTGCTAGCAATACACCTCCTGCCAAGTTGATCTCTACGCTGTTCCCTCAAGAAATCATCGTGGTCCATTCTTGTTGAATCCATCACGATAGGCCAACTGATCTGGTGGTCTACCATGAAATGAAAATCCGAATTTTCGGGCTCAATATCGTGTTTTTGTTCGTACCGAAATTGATCCAGTAAATGGAGCTTAACACTTCGTTCATCATGAATCCTATCCTAATAGTCCAGACAAACAATATTTTAACATTTTTAATAATTTTAAACGGCATGTATTATGTAATTTTAACATCAAATTTTTGTTTCGTACATCTCCGAAATTCCGGAAAATATTTCATGGTAGGCCCTCTGCTTTATTCCTCACCTATCATCTCTCACTAGTGCCTCTCCAGCGTATACCAATAGCACAAGCAGGGTTTACATTTCATTCTGACTCTTTAAATACCTCATACTGGGGGGAAAAGGGATTGTTAGCAATTGGGTCTCACAGCCCCATTGCTAGCAATTTACCATATCAGATCGACTTCCACGCGGTTCCAACTGGAAACCATCTTGATTGTTGTTGAATTTGTCACGATGGGCCAATTGACCTGCTTTCATTCTCATCTATCATCTCTCACTGGTGCCCCGGCAGCGTATAGCGTATAGCGATAGCGCAGGCGGAGTTAACATTTGATTTTCACCCATAAAAAAAAAATACCTCATACAAAATACATCAAGTACTTCGAATCAAAAACTAAGAACGGCCAAAGAAACTCACATTATGCATACATGAATGTAAAAAAAAAAACACAATACTCTTTTTTTTAGTCAGTCGTGTCAAAATTCCAGGTCATTACGCTCGCCCGTCATAATTGATTAAAAATTCAAAAGCGTCGTATTTATGACTTAATTTTACTGTTTCGATTAGGGTTATCAGCTGTATTTTAATTATTATTTTTTTATTGTTAAAAAACAAACGTTCTGACGGTTACAGCACATAGGGTTTGCTCTCACATTATTATCTACAGTAATATTATAAGATTTTATTGTTTGTAATGGAGTTTTGAGTTATAAAAACTAATCAACTGCTTTTAAAAATTCTTTCGCCTATAGAAAGCTATATTATGACGTAGTTTCGTGAACAGTATTTATATATTTTTATGTATTTGTGTAGGCGTTTATATATATATATATATATATATATATATATATATATATATATATATATATATATATAATAATGAGTAGGGATAATATTTATATTATTATATGTATCACACCTCCCATATTTAGAACTAACGAAATTTTTCATCGTGCCTCCCACCAAATTGTTTATAATTACTCCTCTCCATCCAAAGGTTGCCTGGAAGAGATCGCTCTTAGCGATAAGGTCGCCCACTGTTTTCTCACTGTGATCATTTCTTGTAATTGTTTATATCTATAATAAGTTTACTATTGTAATCTTTTGGCGGGAACAATAAAGAGTATCTATCTATCTATCTATAACACAGAGTATATTTTACTTACGAAAATTCTATCTATCCGTATGAAACCGGGCCGAATTACTAGGTAATATTAACTTTGATTAATGACGTGTGATTCCAACATAGAACGGTTCATCCCCTCCTTTCCCGTGTTTGTCGTAAGAGGCGATAAAGGAAACTTAATGGCCAAGGGATGGGCAGCAGCGTCCCTCTTAAAACATCTCCAAAGGCTAACTGCGTTTGCCAATCCGCCTGCCAAGCGTGGCAACTACAAGTCCTCCTTATAGGAGAGGCCTATGTTCAAAAGTGTACAGTTAACGGCTGGTAACTTTCTGTCAAATAAAGTATAATTATTTTTTTAATGGTTGACAACCCTATTTTCTAACTCGTGTTCTGTGACATTATGTAAAGCCAGGGGCGTATTCTTAGTGTTCATACGACGGTTACAAGTACACAATATTAAGTAACATTAAAAATTTAAATAAGCCAACTAAAATCCCGGTCAAGCGTGAGTCGTAATATTGAAAGAGCGAATGTATTTTAAGTGAAATACTATTAAAAGTAATAATTAAATTGTGTTCCAGAGGGGAGAAGGGATTGTTAATAATGGGGATTAGCATCCCCATTGCTAGCAATAAAACCTATTGGATCGACCCTCTCCTTCTCCCTGAAAACTATTGTGATTAATTTATTGTTGAATTTGTCACGACGGGCTAACTGACCTGCTTCATCTTCACCTATCATCCTTCACTGGTGCCCCGCCAGCGTTACCATTCCATTATCATCCCTTAAAAAAATTGTGTTCAACAAACAAAAGTCGATTGCTTGGGTACCTTTGTCCCATTCGTGTTTCTACCGTGAAGCAGTTGTGTTTGCATGGCTGTGTTTCGGTTTGAAGGGTGGGATATGGCGTGAATTTACAGGGTACGGAGGAATAACACCTGAGTCTTCAGGAATGGCAAAGCATGGGGGGTATCATGGGCGAAACAATATACTCTGTTATGTCCATGGTACTGCTCATGTCTATAGGCTACGTTACCACTTTCCATCAAGTGGGCCGTCAGTTTGTTTGCTATTCTAAGTTGTATAAAAAAAAAAACAAAGCTACTAGACCGATTTTGATAAAATGTTTACGGCACCAATCTGTAAGCATATACTTTCAGATAAAAGAAACGCCCCCAATTGAAGAAGGGCCAAATTAATAGTACCCGCAACCGGCGAGCGTGTATGAAAAGATTGATGAATGTGGAAGAAGCGAAAGAGGTCTGTTTGAATCGAAGCATTTGACGTTCCACTGTTACGGTCTACCCCAATGGGAGACAGGCGCGACAGATATGTATGTATGACCCCAAATCGGTTTACAACTGACGGAGTTATGAGGTAACAAACATAAAAAAAATATACAACCGAAATAAAAAACCTTTTTTTTTTTAAGGCGACTAAAAATTCTTGTCATCTTCCTGCCTTTATTCCAATTATTTGGAGTCAACGTAATGTAAGACACATTAACATCCAATTATTACCTTACTAATATAATAAAATTGTAACTAAAGGATGTAAGACTCTGCAAGGGAGAGGGGGCGAAAGGGATTGTTAATAATGAGGTCTAATAGCCCCATTGCTAGCAATATACTCTCGCAGGCCAACCTCCATGTAGTTCCCACTGGAAACCATCATGGTTAATTCTTGTTGAATTCATCACGGTTGACCCTGACCTGCATTCATTCTCACCTATCATCTTCCACTGGTGCCTCGTCGGTGTACACCGATAGCGCGGGCGGGGTTACCATTCCATTATCACCCACTAAACCATGTACATGGGAGACGTTTAAGAAAAATTTATACGAAAAGTTTCAAAATATATTTTTTTTTTTTTATAGAAATTTTGTCTATCTATCTGTATATTTACTCCGGCATGACGCAAAAACTACAACACCAATTTGTATGCAATTTTCATAGTTGTGTTCTTGAAATTCTAAATCTTAAGTTCCGCTGTATGTTTCATCTCGAGACGCCATCTACAGGCGGTACATTAATTGGTTTTCCTAATTCTAAAGCCCGTGCGTACCAAATAGCAGGCAAAAGCTGGCCTTTACTAAAACAGAAAAACAGGAACAGCACTATTTTGCACGTTTCAACATGCAAATCAATTTGGCTTTTTTCCAATCAATATTACGATTATTTATTGAAATAGCGGTCAAAATAGATTAATATAATCATTCGGCCGAAACGAAATGTAATTATATTCTATATAAAATATAATAAAAAAAAAGTTAATGTACTCTTACAATAAAGTGGAACAAGCAATGAGTCATTTACAAGTGATACAGGTGTTAGTGATGCATAACTGAAGGTAATAAATCAATTTATTAATAACAAAAACTGGCATGTAACATGCTAACGCCAAATAAGTACCAAAAGGTGAATAAAAAATAGTAACCTCGAGATGACACGATGACAGCGCGGGCATCTCCCCAATATGGCGACGCACTTTTTCTAGGCCAAGGACACAAACAGCACCGCTTAACACAATCTTGGTTTAAAATCGGCAGATTCAAATGTCGAATGCTTTCTACGTTCTCGCCTCTCGACAGACAATGACATCATAACCAGTTTTTTTTTAAATCTTCAAGTGTTACGTGACTACAAAATACTGTTGAAATACCTCGTGTACTATGCTTAAAACGTTGTCATTATAAAAATCGCGTGTAAAACTAGAGGAAACGATTGTAATTTAAGGAAAAAAAATGTACAGAATTATTGCTGTAACAATGAGCGCAAATAAGATATTCTACACTAATGGAATTGTAATTACGAGTTAGTTTTTTTTTTGCAGTGAAACAATTTTTTTTATACATTTTCATATATTATTTTTTATAGAATATACATTTAATTTCTATATTTAAATATATTATTACTGATACAAAATTAGTCAAATTTAACGCACGTAAATATGTTAATACATTTTAAATTGTATTAAATTTTTGCCATTTGATAAGAATATGTTCGAATATTAAAAATATATATTTTTTTATCTATTTACTTGTTTCTATAACACCACAGAGTATCCATAGACACGAAAACACTGGCACGTAAGAAAAGAAAATAAAGAAGTCAGTTTTGGCGCGCAATCACACGTCGTGCCTCCGTCTCACTAACTACTAACTAAACATTACCAAAGTTCAAATATTATCGACATTTGTAGGCTATTGCTTATCAATTTGTTGGTATTAATGGCTATTCTGGGCGATAGTTGAATGATAAGATTGTTTATTAATGAATATCGACGATTTTTCGATTAATTAAAATAATATAAACTTGCGAATCTTCGTTGTGCGCTTTTATAATATACCGTGAGTCGGCAGAATTGAATACGGTTTTACAATCGTATCAAAATGTTAAGGTGCAAATTTTTTTGTTTTTTTATTTTATATATATATACTATATAAGTTAAACGTGAGTATAATTATAAACTTCATATTAAAAAAAAAAAAATCAACTAAACCATCGTGTAACAGTCAAAAACAGAATTTACTGAAACCTTCTGAAGTTTCTAGTATATTTAACTATTATTAAAAAAAAAGAACATAAAATATAATTGCACGTGTTGTATATCCATTCGAGAACCCTTCGAGTTGGTCAAAAACAAACATTTTCGTCATCGTTTCTCGTAAATAAGGAAATATGACGCTAATCAGGGCATAGGTTATCGAGAGCAGAGATACGCTAGCAGATATATGTACATAGATTAATATTAACATTGTAGAATGATCAAACGCGTAAATCATGGCTGAAATAATTTTTTTTTTAAATAACGTCCAAAAAGACTGGGATTTCATTTTATTTGTATTAGTTTTTTGTTTATATCATATCAGTCGTTATTTGGCCACTGCTGACCATAAACCTCCCCCTTTGGGGGTTTTGCCAGTAGTTGCTATACTTAGCAAGCAGCTAGGCAACCGTAATTTGGCTTTGATGATGTTTTGAGACGTTGCTACCCATCCTCGACCATAAAGTTCCCTTAGTTGCTTCTTACGACACCCACAAGATAGCAACAGATGGCCTATTCTATGCCAGGACCACACGGCACATGTTTTTTTATTTACTACGCGGTATTTTTCCAAATAGTGGACCAATTTTGATAATTCTTTTTGCAAAAGATCTACGCCCATGTTGATCCAATATAAATTTTGTAACGACCTTTTTTTTTATACAACTTAGAATGGCAAGACCCACCTGATGGAAAATGGTAACCGTCGCATATAGACATGAGCAGTACCATAGACATAACAGAGTATACTGTTTTCCTTAGCGAATCAAAAAATTGCTTGATGTTAAGCAAAACCAATTTAAAGGCGGAAATCTGCAATTCTAAATTCAAATATACTTTTAACCTATAAAACAGCGGGCAACACTAGGCTCCAAGTATCGACCTATTCTCTAATGATGCCTCGTTTACAGATGAAACACATATTGCAATATGTGCGTAGACGGAATAACAAAAAGAAAATAATAGGGGACTAATAAGAAAGGTCGTAGAACTTCTTCTAATAGTAGACTATCCTCAAATGTTGCCAGTTACACGCACACTAATGGTAACGGAATTAAACAAAACAATTAAAATAAACCAAATAGTGATACTGTTACACAAAAAACCTAACCCAATGAAACATTATGAATGAAAGATGAAAAAAATATTATAATCACAAGAAGCAAAGTAAGGAGGCAACAATGGGCGGCCTTATTGCCAAATAACGATCTATTCCAGGCAAACTCAGGATTGAGAAGAATAATTAAAATTCCTTCCGGATAAGGCGTAACAATAGAAATATTAAAACTAGAAATAAAGACTTTTTTACAACACAATCACCCACAACACCAACGGCAGGGGGGAAAGGGATTGTTAGTAATGGAGACTGAGAATCCTATTGCTAGTAATATACACAAGCAGGTCGACCTCCATGCGGTTCTCCCTGGAAACTATCATGGTTAATTCCTGATGATTTCATCATGATGGGCTAACTGGCCTGTTTTCATTCTCATCTATCACCCTTTACTGGTGCTGCGCCAGCGTATCCCGTTAGCGCAGGCGGGGTTACCATACCATTTTCACCCATCAAAAAAAATACCAACAGTATTGCAGGCGTACTGCCGGCCCTTTAAAAAAATATGCTCGTTTCTTGAAGGTTACGATCTCGTATCAGTTCGGAAATACTGCTGCTGGAAGTTGATTCTAACAAGTGGTTGTGCGTGGAAGAAAGTGCCTTGAAAAACGCACGGTGGAGGACCGCCACTCGTCCAGATAGTTGATACTAAACCAAATGGTCCAGATTAAAGATAAAATAGATAGATAGATAGATAGATAGATACTCTTTATTGTTTCCTCCAAAAGATTACAATAGTAAACTTATTATAAATATAAACAATTACAAGAAATAATCACAATGAGAAAACAATGGGCGACCTTATCGTTAAGAGCGATCTCTTCCAGGCAACTTTTGGATGGAGAGGAGTAATTATAAACAATGTTTTCTTTTGCCCAACAGACATGCTGAAGATGCGTATATCGGGACCGGTGGCCAGTATACGGGACTCGTTGCTGGTGGACGAGTACGGAGCTGAACTCGCCAAGTTGCCTTTCAGGTGAGTACACGCATTCATGTTACTATCGCAGATACAGCAATGCTTGCGTGGCTTTGAAGGGCAGGATATGATAATGAAGTGTCTACAGGGTTCTGAGGCACACCATAGTCCTCACGAACTTGGGCGGAAAGGGATTGTTAGCAATGGAGTTTGACAGTCCCATTGCTAGCAATATACCTTATTAGGTCGACCTCCACGTGGTTCCTCCTGGAAACCATCGTGAACAATTCTTGTTGAATTCGTCACGATGGGCTAACTGACCTACTTCATCCTCACCTATCATCCTTCACTGGTGTCTGTGTATAGCGAGAGTGGGGTTACCATTCCATTATCATCCATTAAAAAAAAAAGTCCTCAGGAACGGCATCTGTGCATTCTGTTATTTCCACGGTACTGTTAACGTCTATAGGCGAAAGTTACGACTTTCCACCACGTGGGCCCGTCAGCTTGTTTCCCGTTCCAGTTGGCTTTATAAAGCTTTGGAGACGTCGAGTTATTTTTAAGCAACTAGACAGAAAATATTGTAAAGCCTGTGTTATTCGCTGATAATGTACGAAGAGATTACTATAGCAGAAAGATTTTTTAAAATCCATTGTATTATATATTCATTGTTTCATTACAACGAAAAATCTTCTGCGCAACTTAATTGCTATTCATAGATAGAGTTTCGTTATAAAGAAAAATCTACTGCGCAACTAAATTGCTATTCATAGTTTCGTTACGAAGGTAAATCTTCTGCGCAGCTAAATTGCTATTCATAATTTCGTTATAATGAAAAATCTCCTGCGCAACTAAATTGCTATTCATAGTTTCGTTACAAAGGTAAATCTTCTGCGCAGCTAAATTGCTATTCATAATTTCGTTATAATGAAAAATCTCCTGCGCAACTAAATTGCTATTCATAGTTTCGTTACGAAGGTAAATCTTCTGCGCAGCTAAATTGCTTTTCATAATTTCGTTACAATGAAAAATCTCCTGCGCAACTAAATTGCTATTCATAGTTTCGTTACAAAGAACAATCTGCGCAACTAATTGTTATTCATAGTTTCGATAAGAAGAAAAATCTTCTGCGCAACTAAATTGCTATTCATAGTTTCGTTACGAAGGTAAATCTTCTGCGCAGCTAAACCTCTATTCATAGTTTCGTTACAAAGAACAATCTCCTGCGCAACTAATTGTTATTCATAGTTTCGATAAGAAGAAAAATCTTTTGCGCAACTAAATTGCTATTCATAGATAGTTTTGTTATAAAGAAAAATCTTCTGCGCAACTAAATTGCTATTCATAGATAGAGTTTTGTTACGAAGAAAAATCTTTTGCGCATCCTATACGTATTTATTAACTTTGTTTATGGACCTAACCATAAACAAAGAAACATTGACAATTCATTCAATAACATTTCTTTTTTTATTTATCATCACATTTATGGACTCAGTCAAGTTGATAAACATTATCTTGACACAGTGAAATTCTTAGTCAATGGCCGTTCGTTTACCTCAATCTAAATCTATACTTATAATAAATCTGTAGAGAGGTCAATTCTGTACATGAAATATATTTACAAAATAACTATCAGGGAGTGATTAGTGATCGATACTGATGCCAAAAATGCAATCAGTAACATTTTTGTCTGTCTCTCTGTATGTATGTTCGTTATAGAAACAAAAACTACTCGACGGATTTTAACGAAACTTGGTACAGTTACTCTTCATACTCCCGGGCAGGTTATAGTATACGTTTCATCACGCTACGATCAATAGGAGCAAAGCAGTGAAGGGAAACGTTGGGAAAACGAGACGAGTAACTCAATTTTTAAGCTTCCGTCGCGTGTGCAGCCTTAATGGCCACTTTTTAAAATGTAAAAACGTCTACCCGTGCGACGCCGGCACGGGCCGCTAGTTATAAATAATATACAGGAATATCTATATATATTTTTTTTTTCCTGAATGACAATGGAATGGTTACCCTGCCTGTGCTATCGGTATACGTTGGCGGGGCACCAGTGAGAATAAAAAGACAGGTCAGATAGCCCATCGTGATGAATACGCATGGAATTCAGCACGATGGTTGCCAAGACGCATATTTATATATATTTTATATGCTTTTGTGCATTCACTTATAATATAGATATTAGTTTATAACAAAAATGTACACTGGCAGACTTGTCCCTTAAAGATTTTTTTCAATAAACCTTCAGAGCCCGATACGAGATAGTATCTATAGGGTTTGTACAAAAAGTTTAACATAACGCAAAAATAATACGATAAATAATAAATGAAATGATATGAAATGAAATTTATTTGCTAGAAACATTGTAGAAAAGGTGTTGCATTTGTGAAGTATATAAGATGTCCATTATGTTTCGCCACATCGAATGGCGTGCAAATATTAATTGTTGGATTTATCCATTGGCCATTTTATACAGGTACATTATATATTTAATTTTCAATTACATTAACAAATAAATTATTAATAGCTACATATATAGTTATTAACCAGTGTGGTCCCGGCATAGAATAAGCCACCCCTTCCACACCCATGAGTGTCGTAAGAGCCGACTAAAGGACTGCGAGGAATGGACAGTAGCGTCACCAAAGTCTAACTACCGTTGCCAATCCGCTTGCTAAGCGTGGCAACTACTGGCATAACCGCCGAGGGGGATGCTTATATTCTGATATGATAATCATATAGTTAGTAACAGAATATTGATAAATAAAATCATAAATATATACATATTATAAATATATGTTGGGACACTTGATACGACACGACGAACTTATGAACATTATAATAGAAGGTAAGATAGAAGGAAAGAGGGGGAGAGGGAGACCGAGACATAGTTACATCAGGCAGATCGAGGAAGGAGTTGGTGTCGTGTCGTATCAAGAGGTGAAGAGACTCGCTGGAAATCGTAGTGAGTGGCAAGAGCTCCACTGACAAGAGCGCAGCTCTTAAATAGGATAGATAGATAGATAGATATATATTTTGGTAATCTGTTGTAAATTTTTTTAGCTTCGTATTAGTGATGAATAATATATAATATTCTTTGAATGAAATACTATATCTGATATATGATGTACGCAGGCAGATCTTTATGACCTGGGAAGATCAAGACAGAATAGAAATAGAATAGAATAGAAAATCATTTATTTAAATAAACTTACATTGAAGCACTTTTGAATAGTCATTACATTTTTTTTAATCTACCGCTCGTTCGGAAAGCTGTCTCATCACAAGAAGAACGAGCAAGAAACTTGCGTGTTGCTCTTTTACACAGATACGTGTATTATCCTTGTTTATTATCTTGCATATAATAACATGATATGAACTCACCACTTACCGATTGTTAGAAAGAGAGAAAACATTTGCTGCAAACAGGATGTAGACATCATATCAACTGTTAACTGTCCACTGTTGAACATAAGCCCTCCCCATAAGGGGAGTTTTGCCAGTAGTTGCCACGCTTGGCATGCGGGTTGGCAACTGCAGTTAGGCTTTAATTTTTTTTATACAAATTAGAATGGCAAACAAGCTGACGGCCCACCTGATGGAAAGTGGTAACCGTCGCCTATAGACATGAGCAGTACCAAGGACATAACAGAGTATACTGTTTCGCTCATGATACCCCCCATACGTTGCCATTCCTGAGAACTCGGGTGTTATTCCTCTGTACCCAGTACGCTGCTAACCATCCCTCGACTATTAAGGTTCCTTAGTCACCTATTACGACACCCACAGGAAAGGAAGGGGTGGCTCATTCCAAGCCGGGACCACACGTCAAAATTTAATATTTTCACTAAATCGATAATTTTTTTTTTTTTATTTATTCTTCGCAGTTACCAGCCAATGAGTACGAACAACGGAGATAGCGTAGACGTACCCATTTCGGAGGTCGTCGCCGAAGTGGACCTGCCCACAGTGAGGGGCTCGAGGGTCTACGCCAAGATCGTCGGCAGAGATTTACGAGGTATCTTTGAACTCCTGCTCAAATTGGCTATTGCTACTCGGGTGAGGATGGGACCCTTCAATATCAAGACTTATTTATGCCACTTTCATTGTACACGAAGACGACGAAGTCTTGACGTGCCGTTCCGGACGACGGTTTTACATTCCCTCCGAAGCACGAAGATTTACGCTGATACTATGATAAGTAACACAAAGCGATAAACGTGTAAATCATACCATTTTCACCCATCAAAAAAAAAAACTACGCCATTCATTTCGCGGAACACGTTCGAAAATGAACATTAGCTTAACCATAGTGCGGGAGTAATGTGTAACATATAGATACCAACATAGAGATGTCCGGGGGGAGGGAAGGGATTGTTAATAATGCCTACCAGCTCATAATGGACTACCAACCCCATTGCTGGCAATGTACCTTGGTAGGTCGACCTCCACGTAGTCCTACTTGAAAACGATCGTGATGAATCCCAGTTCTATTCATCACAGTTAGCCCATCGTGATTGACCTGCCTTTTCAATCTCATCTATCATCCCTCACTGGTGTCCCGCCAGTGTATACCGTTAGCGCAGGCGGGGGTACCATTACGTTAGCATCTATTAAAAAAAAAACGTAGAGTTGTCTGGCGTTCAAACAATCAGATCAAGGAGATTTGAAAATCGCATAAATCAGGGTAGCGTAAGTCGAGATATGACTTTACAAGTATAAATGACCTATACATGAGTTTGAACGTTTAAAGATTTAAGCTGGGATCTTAGAATTCTCAACACGAGGTGACGCATTTTGCAACTAAACCGCCACCGCTTAATTAAGCTCAATATTGTGTGATGACGATGATGATCTTTCTTTAATCCCTCAAAGGACATAGGGAGATACAATTAAGGATAGTAAACAATAAAGTTTATTATTTATTAAGCTGAATTGTATGGTAATAAATAATTTATTAGACCATGTCCTGTCTGTAGGAGGAATCAAGGTTGTTTAGTACCGAAAAGTCTGTACGCATATATGACTTACGAAAATCGATGAAGGTCACTTGTTTTTTTTTTAGTAGATTTAAATAATAACCCTGTCAGCGTTATTGGTTTATGCTGGTAGAGTGCCAGTGAAAAAAAGATAGGTGAGGATGAAGTCAGATCAGTTGGTCTAACTTGACGAAATCACCAAAAACTAACCATCTTGGTTAGTGTGGGGGGGAGGGATTGTTAGTAATGCGGATTATCAGTCCCATTGTTAACAATATACCCTTACATGTCGACATCCTCGTGGTCCCCCCTGGAAACCATCGTGCTGAATTCTAAGTGTATTTATCACGATGGACTAACTGGCCTGTCTTTTCATCCTCACCTATCATCCCTCACTGGTGCCCCGCCAGCGTATACTGTTATAGCAGGCGGAGTTACCATTTCATTATTATTCATAAAAAAACCATCTTGGTTTCCAGTAAAGACCACAATGAGGTTGACTTGAAAGGATATATTGGCATGGGGATACTAGTTCTCGTTAGTAACAATCCCCTCCCCACTTGCCTATCGGTACCCTCCAAAGAACTTATATATCAATAATCATATATTTAAAATTCTTTATATGAATTTGCTATCACACACGGCTTCTTAAAAGGATCTTCAACATTTTCAGGAGACCCGTTCGTCCGTCTAGCAGGACCGTTGAGCAAATCGCCTGAACGCATGGGAAGATCTGCGTCTATCGTATTCCCCGAGTCGATGAACGATTTAGAACTCGCTGAGGAAGAAAACTCGAGGATATACAATCAGAAACTGAGATACAACGACAGCAATATCCTACCTTACAGTAGAGCTATCTCACAGGTAAGTTTTTGAAGGTATTTTAAAAATTTGGAACCCTTTATTCACTGACCTGACTTCATCCTCACCTACCATCCTTCATTAGTGCCTTGCCTTTACAGAACCTATTAAAATAAAAGTAAAAAATGCTACATATTTTTGATCCAGCACCTGCGACTGATAGGGAGAGTAGTAGTAGTAGAAAATATTCTACAATTGTTCCATTACCTGAAAAGTAAAACCCTACATTTTGCAGGTGGTCAACCAACGTGGAACCCTACTGACAGCCGTGCAAATTGGACTCAGCACGAGACTCTATGGAGCACCAGGTGATAACTTGCAGGTAAAGTTGTTCAGAAAATTGAACCCCAGTAATAATATTAACGAAACTGAACTTGTAATAACCAAACGTGCATCAGGTCAGGATTCAACATTATGTGACTAATATGGTGGTAGTGGAGGGGGGCGGGGGGAAGAGATTGTTAGTAATGGGGTCTTACACCTCCATTGCTAGCAATATACCCTATCAGGTCGACCTCCACGCGGTTCCCTCTGGAAACCATTGTAGTTAATTCTTGTGGAATTTGTCGCGATGGGGTAACTGACCTGCTTTCATCGTCACCTATCATCCCTCACTGGTGCCTAGCCAGCGTACACCGTCAGCGCACTCCATTTTCACCCATTAAAAAAAATGAGGTCTGAGGGAGAGGGGTTTGTTAGTAATGGAGATTTATCTTTCTACAAGTTCGAAGTCGAGGCGAGTCGCCAGTTATGAAAAAGGAAGGTAGTTTATAACAATATCAATAATATTTCAGCTACACTTCGAGGTAACGAACTATCGAGAACAAGCAGTATCATTCCGGTTCGGAGCAGTTGGAGAGCTCAGATTCTTGACGGGCATCAGTCCTTTGGCGTGAGTTTTTTAATACTAATAATCCACCTAAATGTAGATTTGATCCATTTAAAAAAAAAGTTAAAATATATATTAACTTATATAACTCAATTTAACTAAATTTAGAATGAAATAAACAAATAATACAATAAATTTACGAATTAAGAAAACGACAATCGATTGGATATTTTTTATACAACTTAGAATGGCAAACAAGCTGACGGCCCGTCTGATGGAAAGCGGTAACAGAGTATACTGTTTCACCCACAATATGTTATTCCTCTGTACCTTGCAAATTCAATGCCATATCCCACCCTTCAAACCGAATGCAAACACAACTGCTTCACGGTTGAAACACGCCACCCGACTCAAGTCCTCATGAATTGCAACGCATGGGGGGTATTATGGGCGAAACAGTATACCCTGTTATGTCCATGGTACTGCTCATGTCTATAGGCGACGGTTACCACTTTCCATCAGGTGGGCCGTTAGCCAGTTTGCCATTCTAAGTTGCTAAAAAAAAGTGCTACTAAAACGACCGTATATTTTTATAAGTACTTATGTTTCAGACAAACCATACAGTCTGGTCAGACGGTGAACGTGATAGTAAGTCTCACCATCTCGAACAGCGCACAGCCCGGCGCGAGGGACTTGGTCACCTTCACAGCTTACGGTGAGTAAACACCCTTACAAATAAAAAAAAAATACAATAGACCTATGAGTATAAAGAGATACCTCCATCCCATAGTCCATCGCTTAAAGCCCTCCATGTCAACTATTGGACGTTCCCTTATTTTCTGATCAACAGGTCAGGAACAGGTGTCAATATCGACATACGTGTACGTGATCAACTCTGGGGACACTACGGTGGACACTTGGGCACCGGAGCTACGTCACAACTTCCAGGGTACCTGCCTGCAGCGGTTGGGCGACGATTGCGCACAGCACGTATGGTCGGCGACCATTATCGCCCGAGATGCCGTAGGTGGTAAGTAACGCTTTATGGTACAGTAAAATCTTATGAAGACAGAGTTTTTTATAGGAAAGAAGAAGTACAATGGCGAACTTATCCCGTATAAGGGATTTCTTCCAGTCAATTTTTCAGTAACGAACAAGAGTTGGTAAAGACAAAAAATTAAAATGGTATGATAAATCCTGCACTATCGGTATACGTTGGCGGGGCACCAGTAAAGAGTGATTTTTTTAATGAATGATAATGGAACGGTAACCCCGCCTGCGCTAGCGGTATACATACGTTGGCGGGGCACCAGTGAGCGATGATAGCTGACAATGAAAAGGCAGGTGAGTTAGCGTATCGTGATGAACTCACTTGAAATAGAACACGACAGTTTCCAGGGGGAACCGCGAGGAGGTCGACCTGATAGGGTGTATGTTTTTTTATGGGTGAAAATGGAATGGTCACCACGCCTGCGCTAACGGTATACGCTGGCAGAGTACCAGTGAAGGGTGATAGACGAGAATGAAAACAGGCCAGTTAGCCCATCATGATGAATTTGTCAGGAATTAACCATGATAGTTTCTAGGGGGTTCTGGGTCGACCTGACAGGGTGTATTGCTAACAATCGGGCTAACTAATCCCCATTTTTAACAATCCATTATCCCCCCCGTAAGGTGTGAAAGGCAAGGAGGAAATTAGGTCACTTGGCTTATCGTGACGTATTCACCAGGAACCAACCAAGACGGTTCCCAGAGATCGCGTAGAGGTCAATCTAACAGAATACATTACTCACTATGGGGTCAAATCCTTTTGGCATATGGTCCCGGCATTGAATGGGTTACCCTTTTCTATGCTGTGCTAAAATTACGAACGCAATTAAAATTTTGCATGTTTGTGCCCTTAGGATTACTTCGGCTGTCATCGTCTCCGGTCGGTCTAACGTACGACAGTAACTTCATAGCGGGCTCCCGCGAGGAGGTCATAGCCGTCTACAGGGCGACCTGCTGCGCGCCAAGGGTCATGGTGACGGCCGTGGATGCCTTTGGCAACGCGAACAGTTACATCGTCGATATATCAAGTAGGTATACAGTGATTTTCTTCTTAATGGGTGATAATGGAATGGTAACCCCACCCGCGCTATCGGTATACACCGGTGGGGCGCCAGTGAAGGATGATAGGTGAAGATGAAGCAGGTCAGTTAGCCCATCGTGACGAATTCAACAAGAATTGTTCACGATGGTTTCCAGGGGGAACCACGTAGAGGTCTACCTAAAATGGCATATTGCTAGCAATGGGGCTGTCCAACTCCACTACTAACAGTCCCTTTTCCTCCATACAGTGAATTTTATGTTAATAATCCACCATAGCTCAATGGAGATGTCAGTTTTTTAGGGATGGTCATAGAATAGAACGGCCGTATGGTTCCGGCATAGAATAAGGCCACTCCTTATTTTCCCGTGGGCGTCGTAAGAGACGACGGAAATTTAATGGTCTAGGGATGGGCAGCAATGTCTCTTTTAAAACATCATCAAAGCCTAACTGCGTTTTTTTTTAATGGGTGAAAATGGAATGGTAACCCTGCCTGCGCTAACGGGATACGCTGGCACCAGCTTCCTTTCACCAGTGAAGGGTGAATCGATGAGAATGAAAACAGGCCAGTTAGCACATCATGATGAATTCATCAGGACTTAACCATGATAGTTTCCAGGGGGAACCACGAAGAGGTCGACCTGGTTGGGTATATTGCTAGCAATGGGATTCTCAGTCTCCCTTACTAACAATCCCTTTCCCCCACCTAACTGCGGTTGCCAACCCGCCTGCCAAGCATGGTAATTACTGGCAACACCCCCAAGGGGGAAACCTATGTTCAACACATTCATATTTACTGTTTCAGACTATTACACGCCGGCAGCGATAGCTGCGATCGTACTTAGTGTGTTACTGGCCATCGCCATAATTGCACTGATCGTCTACCTTATTCATTGGTGTGTGAAGCGACGGCGGGAATCCAGAGAATTACCCTCATACGCCACATCGTCAAGGAATATCAGTTAAAACAATTATACATAAGTGTTCTAAATTCGAAATTAAAACAGGAAAGAAAAAGTCTTTCTTTTTTCAAATGTATACAAAAAAAAATAAGTATTTTTAAAGAACGCGAAAAAAGTTTTTAATTTTCAAATGTGTGAAGTGTCTGGCAATTTAGATAACATTACTAATTGTCTACCTTAACTTTTGGTGAGTGAAGCAAAGGTTGGAATCAAGCGCACTACCCTCAAAAATAATTGTTAACATAATCGTTCTAAATTTGAAATGAAACTAGAAAAATATTTTCTTTTTTGTAAACGTGTAAAAAAAGATAAGAAAATTATCTTTACATCAATGTTATTGAACTTTAAAAATATAAAAAATATTTATATGCCTACACATATTTATAATAAAAAAAAAATAGTATGTCCATTATTTAAAGTAATAATTTAACATACGTTTTTTCCATGCTTTGATAATAAAAATACCAGCTATAACTTATCTACCTAGGTAGGTTGTTATAAAATAAATACTAGTCTGATATTATAATATATACATTATTCCACACATTTTATATACAATAGTACATTACTGCAGCGGCCAGCAACTGAGGCATTGACGGACAAACGTTCAAATGTGGGCCGAGGCGTAGTCGAGGCACACATACGTGAGTCCATCAATGCCTAGTTGTGGCCAAGGCTTTTATAGTACTTTTCTCAAACAATGCGCGGAAATCAAAAGCACAATTTTACTTATTAATTTCAATGACGACTAACGTACAATAATAATTTTTCACGCGCCATAATGTTCCTTTGATTTTTTTTTTTCAATAAACAGCTTCCTATTTGCAAGCCAGTTAGAAATTTAAATAAAACCTTTTATTAGTTACCTCCTTGGTAGCCATGTTTCGAAGTAAAAGGTCATTCCATTTTTAAATTACACGACAGATATGAGTTTACATAGTAATTTCTCTGGCCGCAAAACACGACAGATTTTCATACAACTTTTGCCGGCCGCTGCCCGCATGTATCTGGCCAGTATGGCAATTTTGATTTATCTCAAAGAAGATTGTCAAAATAATGCTTACATTTCCAAGCATGTTTGAGAAATTTATATATTCAGAATAACCAAATTTAAGACCTATAAACCTAATAAATAATTAAGAAAAATTAAATATAGCATAACCATGTATGACAAATCTAGTTAATTTGAGACAAGTGCAAGAGTCTAGATCCGTAAAATATTTAAAAACCTCAAGACACTCAATAAAATTTCAACACAGATTATAAATTTTAATAAATAAATTATATTAAAACGCTCTTTAATATTTATTTGAAAAATACTGAGCCCTTGTAATTAGAAGTTATATTTAAATATTTACTAATATGTTAAGTTACCTTTAGAATTAAGTTTAAGTACTTATTATATTTTTGTTTGGATATTGCTTTTAATTCCATTCACTTTAAAATGTAATGCCTAAAACAAATACAAATAACTTTTAACATAGCATAAACAATAGTAACGTTTTCTTTTTTTTTTTATAGAGTACACTGTATTCTTTGTATTATTACACTAAAGAGTTTCAATAAATAACTACATACTTTAAAAAAATAGAATTGCACTTAGTTTTTATTAGATTATAAGGAAAAAATGTGCTCACTATAAGGTATTATATTATGTATTATACAGGTAAAAATTAAAACACTAGCACCCTTTTAAAGGAGTGTTCTACCAGTTTTTTCATGTTTATCATCTTTGTAGCAATCTGATTTACAAAACAATTACCATAAGCGTTCTAAATTTGAAATGGTTTTCATTTCAAATTTAGAACACATTAAAAAAACATTCTCATTATTCAAATGTTTATACAAGCTCTTTGCCAAATTAAAGAAGAAAAAAATTTATAAAAACAATAGTTTTTTTTTTTTTTATTAAAGCTCTTTCTTTAAACAAATGCAATGAGCTACCTCTTTGTATGGCATAACTAGTTTATTATTAGTATTTAAACAGTTTCCTACAAATAAAAACATGTCTTGAATGAAAAAAATTCAATTTTTAGAGCAGCCCAACTCAACAGCAGTGTAATATTTTAGTATGAAAGGCACAGCTTTTTTTCTCTATTCAACCAGTCCTTGATGGAATTCTCTCTGTATGGAATCTAATGATTTGTTCTGTATAGGAATATATTATAGGATTTTTTTCTTTTTATAATAAATTTAAAAGTTTGTATCAACATAATAATTTTTATATAAAATAATACAATTTAATTATAATTATATTATTTATATTTCTTTCAAATACAAAACAAAACTTTCAACATAATTACTCTAGTGACTACACAATCTATTTTTTTTTTAATGTATAAGTAATTTTTTTTTAATTTAGAAAATTTCTTTTACATTTGTCTTTTTTCTTATTTATTGATTAATTATATTTATTTTAATTTTTTTACTATTCCAAATAAATATTTTTATAGGATAGTGAACCAGAAATAGCAAATAATTGCATTCTAACATGAAATATATTTTAATAATATTATTAAATGTATTGTAATACAATAGATTTACTTATCTCTATGTTTTTATTTTAATTATTAATATTTAATAAATATATTTCTAATATAAATAAATCTTTACTAATACGGGTAGTATATTAAGAGCTAATTATGAGTTAAGGAAGCCATATTTTTTTTTTTGTAAAAAAGAAAATTTGCAAATAAATATATTTATTACAATCATTCTATGATTTTATTGCTGAGTACTGATTTATAATAGCCTAGCCCTGACTTCTATGAGAATTAAAAAAAAAATTATCACTATTCAAATAACAAATGAACCTAAGTGTGTTTTTTAATGGGTGATTTTTTTTATGGGTGAAAATGGTATAGTAGCCCCGCCCGCGCTAACGGGATACGCTGGCGGAGCACCAGTGAAGGGTGATAGATGAGAATGAAAACAGGCCAGTTAGCCCATCATGATGAATTCATCAGGAATTAACCATGATAGTTTCCAGGAAGAACCGCGTGGAGTTCCCCCTGATAGGGTATATTACCAGCAACGGGTTCATTAGACCCCATTACTAACAATCCCTTCCCCCCCGAACCTAAGTGTTCAAAATTACCCTTTTTTACATACAATGACTATTGTAGTTTTTTTTTTTATAAAAAAGAAAATTGAGAAACAATTGAGACAGAACAAAAAAATATGTATATTACATCAAGTCCACAGATGGCAATTTCTCTTAAAATTAATATAATATAATTAATAATACCTATATACAACAAGAACCAGCACATTATATAAACACTAAGATTAACATTTGATTGTGAAGGAAAGCAAATATTTTCTTTAAGAGATGAAAATGGAATGGTAGCCCCATCTATACTATCCATATACAGTAGAGGGCAACCAGTAAGGGATGATAGGCGAGGATGAAGTCAGGTCAGTTGTCCCAACGGGAAGAGACAAAAGTAACAGGAATTTTTAGCCCCATTGCTAGCAATATGAGGGTATATATATTATTTATATATATAACGTTATGATGCGTTAACGGGGCAGGAGGGGAGATTCGACCAACGCGTTAGGTAACATTTTTATTTAAATAAAAAACTAGCGAGTTAATTTCTCCCAAGTTGGCAACCCTAATGGTCCCTTGGGTGTTATGTAATATTGAGGGTGCTTTTCTTCTTCCTCATCTATCATCCCTCATTGGTGCCCTGCCAGCATATAGCGAATGATAGCATGTGCAGGGTTATCATTCCATTATCATCCATTAAAAGACCCCCTCATACACAGCCAGTTCCCACCCTTCAAGTTACAAGGCAGAATCACAATTGGACAGACCATTTTTGTATAACAAAGTCTCCGCCGGGTGATGAGGTGAGTAAACAAATAACTGAACTGACAGACTTCATCCTCGCTCACTGGTACCCCTAGTATCAGTGTAAAACCAACAGCACAATCTAGAGGGGGTAAGGAATTGTTAGTAATAGGCATCTAACAGCCCCATCGCTACCAATAAACCCTATCATATCAGATATACCTCCACAGAGTTCTCTCTGGAGAATATTTTGGTTAATCCTTTATAAATTTGTCACTATGGGCCAATTGAACTGTTTTACGCTAACCTATCATTTCTGGGGGGGGAGGGATTGTTAATAAAGTGGACTACCAGTCCTATTGCTAGCAATACACCTTGTCAAGTCAACCTCCATGTAATCCCAGCTGGAAACCATTGTGCTAAATTTCAGATTCATTCCATATCCATCACAAAGAGCCAACTGATCTCATTTTTTATCCTCACCTATCATCTCTCCTGGTGTCCTGCTAATGTATATAGAAAGTGCGGGTGGGGTTACCATACCACTTTGTTTCATTAAAAAAGAAAAACTGCACAATTCTCTATAATATTTATAGCTTAGTTACGATACCTCTATCAAATTGTTATTGATTGATTTTGAGGTAACATGAAAAAAAGGTGCCATTTCTTTAAAACTATATCTAACATTCATATTTCAATTGGATTTTACAGAAAAAACTTTATCCAAAAACCAATATGAACTAACTTTCTAATAGATTTAAGTAAAAATTATTATAAATTTATGATTATTTTTAAAACAATAACTAATATAGAAAAAATATGTTGTGTTGTTGTTGTATACCTAATATTTTAAGAGAGGTTTAGATAAATAGTACCTCAGAATATATCCCAATGTTAAGGTTAAAAATGACTGAGTTGTCAAATTTACTTACCAAACTAAACCACTAATATACAGGTATCAGTTGCCTTACAAAATTATAGGAAATTTCAATAATAATTTAACTATAGAAGAATAAATGCCTTTTGACACACTCTTACAGTTTTATCAATAAGTAAGAACCATCAACATTCCCATGATCATCAGATAAATAAAGTATTTTGCACTGTTCTAAATAAATTCGGGCATCCCTAAATATGTACATTCCTAATTTAACATAAACTTACTACAAAAAAATATGTAAGATATTATGTCAACCTTTTTGTATTTGAAATTCGTTGGTAGACTCAAACCAAACTCAGGTACGAAACCGTTGTCGAAAGGCGCATTCCTATAGGATTTATATAGAAATGATGACATATTTATATACTTGTATTTTTCACTCCCTAATGCAACGAATAGTTTTATTCTATGGAAACACACACAGACACAGAAAAAAGCACAAAGAAACCGACGTTATTTACGCAAATAATATGGAAATAGCGCAAACTATGACGCTGAAAGCGCGCGCGAAAAAGATGTTACGTTTTTGGCATGTTTTAAACACCAAGGTCGCACCGATTGAGTTTTCAGCGTAGATTTGTGATAAAAATAAAGATTAAAACTCACCTTGTCGTCGGATCAGCTCCTCGCTCTGAACAACAGGCAGCAAAACAGCGTTGTGTGTCAAATCTTCAAGAGACAAACCAGTCACAGCCGACGAAAGAAGAGGGTTTTTTAGTATGTTCCTGTTTGTGTGATCACCGAAACTCTTATCGGACATGTTGTCATGAAAATATTATACGTTAAGGACGCGAATTTTTATTAATTTACACATTTGAAGGTCGCGAAAATGAAATTTAATTACGTGAAGTTACGTGTCACTTGTATATTTTGACAATTTTTCATGTGTATGTCATGTGTGACAGTTGATAGTTAAGATTTGAGTAAACAGACAAAAAAAAAAAAAAAAAAAAAAAAAGAAAACGACCAACCAGCACTAATAAATTTAAACTGTCAATAACGTTATAGGGACTTCGGTAACTTTCTTTTTTTTTTAATTAATTTGAAACATGACATATCACATCCTTGTTCACAAGTCTTAACTCAGATCGATCTATGAGAAATCAAAGTATAAAGGATAATATAAATGAAATTAATTTATTAGGAGAATGCGAAAGTCTGAAAAAGAATCACAAAGCACCTACATAGGGAATCGTAATTTATGACAGCTGTCATGAGTCTGGTTGTGTTGTCAGTGTCACTGTGTGTCACTTCATTGTTGTTGTTTCACAATTTTTTATACTTTCTCTTAATTTTTAACTATTTATTTATATTTTGCCTATTATTTATACACGTCAAACTGTTATAAACAAAACTATACATTTTATTTCAATGTTGGTTACTAGCACACAATACAGTTTAGCCAAGAATTTTGAGACTGAATTCTTCATTAATCCATGTTGTGGAATGAAAACAAATTAGTTATTACCCATTTATTTCCTTTTCTCATATTAACAATATAATTTCTACAATGTCTGAGCAAAGGGGCGACGCGGCACCGCCTGTTAAAAGATATAGAAAAGAGGAGAAATCGTCTGAATCAGAAGAAGATGTCGACAATTATGAACCGTATGTGCCGGTGAAGGAGCGTAAGAAACAGAAGCTCCTGAAACTCGGCAGACTGGGCCAGATCGCCGCCGAAGCGTCCGCTGAGACGAAAAGCTCCAGCGAAAACGATCCAGAGGATGAGAGTTTGTATTTTATTAACACATATAGCACATAATTTATAATAAAATTAAATATTTGACACATTCATAACCTGACTTCATCATCAACTGTCATCTCTAAATTAGTAAATAGTTAGTAGTTAGACTGATAACAGTTTTCTATTCCATTTCCCCCTTAAAAAAAGGGTGCTCTATGTACTTTCTTACTCTCAGTAATGAGGCTGCTAGGCTCTACGAGTAATAATGCCGTAACTGCATTCTAAGCTATTATTTCTCACCTCAGCATATGCCAATAGTGAAGGCAGGATTACTGTTACATTTTATCATAATCATCAGATGATTGCACAGAGAAACCACTTTCCTAAATAGAATTAGACGGATATAGAATTCAATTTAGGAAATTGGTCTCTTTTGGTAAATGTAGTAGATAACTATACTAAATATACCAAATATAGTATTTTATTTTATCCGAGAAGTAAGTGCTTTATTATTCTCAATTTCGTGTATAATATAGTATATGTCATATATGTGTAAATATATTTGTTATTCATATATATTTATTCGTTTATATATGTAATTTTAGTATGTATGTATGTATATATGTATGAATAAAAAAACATAATAATATATTCCACTACTGTGGTCTAAGTATCAGGAAGAGTGTGAATCAAATAAAATCAAGTAGGCAGTAGTTCATCATATACATACATATATGTGTATATTTTTATATATAAGTATTAATATATTAATACATATGTTTGTTTTATGTGTGATTGTATTTTATTTATTTATTTACACATTAGAACATGTCTACAGGGTGGACTTAATGCCTGATGACATTCTCTAACAGTCAACTGTTACGCTAAACAGAGAGAGTAAATGGTAGTGCATTGATTTAACAGAACAATTTGTATATTAAATAAATATAATGTAAGATAACAACAAGATTTTATGTATGTATTTACCATCTTATACAAATATATATATTTAAACCACCATTTTTTTTAATGGGTGATAATGGAATGGCAACCCCACCTGCGCTATTGGTATACACCGGCGGGGCACTAGTGAAGGATGATAGGTGAGGATGAAGCAGGTCAGTTAGCCCATTGTGACGAATTCAACAAGAATTGTTCACTATGGTTTCCAGAGGGAACCACGTGGAGATCGACCTAATAGAGCATATTGCTAGCAATAGGGCTGTCAAACTCCATTGCTAACAATCCCATTCCCCCTTAAACCACCACTGAGTATCCCTGCACATCTTAAAGGTTGACTGGTACAAGATGTCTATAGCATTAACTATGCCTTTCATACTAAATTTTATTGGTCAATAAACTAAATATGCTATATCTACTAAATATGGGAGTTTGGTTACAATGCATTGCAATCTTGTCAGAATGAAAAAATAATCAGATGACTTCAAATAAGAAGGAGGTGGTCAATTTGGTTTTTATGTTTGTTTGTTACCTCAAAACTGTCATTTATCAATTTGGTTTTTTTTAACTAAAGTTAGAATATGATTTTAAATTTTTATTAATTAGAAGGTCTTGTTCCTGTTTGTATGTGTTCCAACAATTTTATTTGCTTGCAGCGTCACAAGAAGAATGGGGTCGTCGGTACAATGTGTCGTTGCTGGACCAGCACAGTGAGCTGAAGAGGCTGGCCGAGGCGCGCGCTCTGTCCGCCGCCGAGAGACAGGCTCGTGAAGAGGAGCATATTCTGGAGAGTGTGGCCCAGAGCAAGGCTTTGATGGGTGTCGCGGAATTGGCTAAAGGTGATTATATATTTTTTTTTATATACAGCATGTTAATTAACATAACTCTTTCTTTAAAACTAGTTCTAGTATTCATTAATCTCGGAAACAGAGGGACACTTTGTACAAAAGTCGTTTTCTTGGGTACCTCTGTCCCATTCGTGTTTCTACTGTGAAGCAGTTGTGTTTGCATGGCTGTGTTTCGGTTTGAAGGGTGAAATATGGCGTGAATTTACAGGGTACAGAGAAATAACACTTGAGTCCTCGGGAATGGCAACGCATGGGGGGTATCATAGGCGAAACAGTATACTCTGTTATGTCCATGGTACTGTCATGTCTATAGGCGACGGTTCCACTTTCCATCAGGTGGGCCGTCAGCTTGTTTGCTATTCTAAGTTGTATAAAAAAAAAACCCTCCCTTAGTCGGCTCTTACGATACGCACGGGAAAGGAAGGGGTGGCCTGTTCTGTACCGGGACCACACCGTAACATCGCCATTCTTTATTATAAATTCTCTTAATACTTTACCAGGTATTCAATACGAGGACCCAATAAAGACGTCATGGCGACCGCCGCGCTCGATACTGGACATGCCGGAGGAACGACACGAGAGGGTGCGGCGGGAGCTGCGTATTTTGGTCGAGGGGGAGGATGTACCACCCCCCATCAGGACCTTCCAGCACATGAAGTTTCCAAAAGGTATGCACTTAATCCTTGTAGTGAAGAATACAGTATCATAAATCATAATGCCAGCTGTCATCAGTTCTCTGCTGGACATTAGGCTTCCCCATACACTTAAGGAATGGTTCTGAGCCACCTACGTCAGTTGACTCCATTCAATCATTCATTTTTTAATGGATTTTTTTTATATAACTTAGAATGGCAAACAAGCCGACGGCCCACCTGATGGAAAGTGGTAACCGTCGCCTATAGACATGAGCAGTACCATGGACATAACAGAGTATACTGTTTCGCCCATGATACCCCCCATGCGTTGTCATTCCTGAGGACTCAGGTGTTATTCCTCTGTACCCTGTAAATTCACGCCATATCCCATCCTTCAAACCGAAACATAGCCATGCAACCACAGCTGCTTCACGGTAGAAACACGAATGGGACAGAGGTACCCAAGCAATCGACTTTTGTACAAAGTCTCCCTCTGGTAATGACAATGGAATGGTTTTTAATAGATAGTTATGAATGGTCGCCCCGTCTGCGCTATTGGTATACACTGGCGGTGCACCAATTAGGGATGATAGGTGATGATGAAGCAGGCCAGTTAGCCCATCGTGATGAAATCAACAAGAATTAATCATGATGGTTTCCAGGGGGAACCGCGTGGAGGTCGACCTAACAGGGTATACAGCTAGCAATGGGATTGCTAATTCCCATTACTAACAATCCCTCCTCCCCCACAATGGAATGGTAACCATGCCAGTGCTAACGGTATACGCTGTCGGGGCACCAGTGAATGATAATTGGTGAGAAAGAAAAGGCAGGCCAATTAGCCCATCATGATGAATACACCAGAAATTCAGCACGATTGTTCCAGGGAGACCACGTGAAGGTCGACTTGACAAGGTATATTGCTAGCAATGGGACTGGTACACCACATTACAAACTATCCCCCCCCTCCCAATAATTTATTTGCCTAAACATAGGTACAGTTTTTATATTATATTTCATTTTATACATTGAGAAGAACTTTTATTTGTAGGTATTTTAAGAGGATTGGAAGCCAAAGGCATCAAGAAACCCACACCTATCCAAGTGCAAGGTATACCGGCGGTGCTCAGCGGCCGCGACATGATCGGAATAGCATTCACCGGCTCCGGGAAGACCCTCGTCTTCACGCTGCCCATCATCATGTTTTGCCTGGAGCAGGAGATAAAAATGCCATTCATCAGGTATTTTTTTATGTATATACAGGGTGGTTTTTTTTAAATGGATGAAAGTGAAATGGTAACCCCGCATGTGCTGTCGGTATACACTGGTGGGGTACAGAGGAATAACACCTGAGTCCTCAGGAATGGCAACGCATGGAGAGTATCATGGACGAAACAGTATACTCTGTTATGTCCATGGTACTGCTCATGCCTATAGGCGACGGTCACCACTTTCCATCAGGTGGGCCGTCAGCTTGTTTGCCATTCTAAGTTGTATAAAAAAAAAGCACAGTGCTGGTTTTCAGCCAGTCGCCCTTTTTAACAAAATACAATAAAAATTCAAGGGTACCACTGTATATGCCTCCTAATATTGTATAAATACTGCAGAATTCAATATCCGTGCACAGAAACGAGGGTCCGTACGGCCTGATCATCTGTCCGTCCCGCGAGCTCGCCAAGCAGACCCACGACATCATTCAGCACTTCGTCAAGAGCCTCAAGATGGCCGGCAACCCGGAGATACGCAGCTGCCTCGCCATCGGAGGTGAGTTGTCCCTATTGGCGTATTTAAAATGTTTCTTTAACAATGTGGTATGGCAATCGAGCTGACGGCCCACCTGATGGTAAGTGGTAACCGTCACCTATAGACATGAGCAGTACCGTGGACATAACAGAGTATATCATTGTCGTCATCAGCCGTTTAATGTCCACTGCTGGACATAGGTTTCCCCCATAAGGGGCGGGGGGCTGCTAGAAGTAGCCACGCTTGGCTGACGGGTTGGACTTTGGTGATGTTTCAAGAGTGACGCTGCTGCCCATCCCTCGACCATTAAGTCGCCTCTTAGTCGCCTTAGTAGCCTCTTACGACACCCGCGGGAAAGGTGGGAGTGGCTTATTCTATGCCGGGACCACACGATGGGTACAAAGTAATCGTGCTAAGTCCCAGGTGTATTCATCATGATGGGTTAACTGACCTGCCTTTTCATCCTCACCTATGATCCTTCACTGGTGCCCGTCGGTGTATACCGTTAGCGCAGGCGGGGTTACCATTCCATTATCATACAATAAAAAGAAAACTACATGTTAACTGGGAGAGAATGCTATATAAAATTAAGTCCGCCTTTTGTACCAAAAATTTTATTATAATGTGATGATTAAAGAATATTTATTTATTTTTCTCAAACATACTTGGAAATGTGAGCATTATTTTGACAATCTTCTTCGAAATAAATCAATTGCCGTACTGGCCAGATACATGCGGGCAGCGGCCGGCAAAAGTTGTATGAAAATCCATATCTGTCGTGTTTTGCGGCCAGATAAATTATTATGTAAACTCATATCTGTCCTGTAATTTAAAAATGGAATGACCTTATACTTCGAAACATCCCAACCACCCGCGCTATCGGTATACACCGGCGGGGCACCAGTGAAGAACGATAGGTGAAGATGAAGCAGGTCAGTTAGCCCATCGTGACGAATTCAACGAGAATTGTTCACGATGGTTTCCAGAAGGAACTACGTGGAGGTCGACCTAATAGGGCATATTGCTGGCAATGGGGCTGTCAAACTCCATTGCCAACAATCCCTTTCCCCCCGAAAATAATGTGTTAATATTGCAGGTGTGGCGGTGTCAGAATGCATGGAGGTGGTGCAGCGCGGTGTCCACATCATGGTAGCCACGCCAGGAAGGCTCATGGACATGTTGGATAAAAAAATGGTCTAAATTTGTTATTTTTTTACTTATACAGAATTAAATTTACCAGAGGGAGACTTTGTACAAAAGTCGATTGCTTGGGTACCTCTGTCCCATTCGTGTTTATACTGTGAAGCAGTTGTGTTTGCACGGCTGTGTTTCGGTTTGAAGGGTGGGATATGGCGTGAAATTACTGGGTACAGAGGAATAACACCTGAGTCCTCAGGAATGGCAACGCATGGGGGGTATCATGGGCGAGACAGTATACTCTGTTATGTCCATGGTACTGCTCATGTCTATAGGCGACTGTTACCACTTTCCATCAGGTGGGCCGTCAGCTAAAAAAAATTTTTGTTTTAATCCACTTTTTTCTGTTTTTTTTTTTGAATAGACGATAATGGAACGGTGACCCCGCCTGCGATAACGGTATACGCTGGCAGGGCACCAATGGGAGATATTAAAGTGAGGATGAAAAAGTCAGTTAGCCCATCGTGATAAATACACCTGGAATTCAGCACTAGGGGGGACCACGTGGAGGTCGACCTGACATGGTATATTGATAGCAATGGGACTGGCATTACTAACAACTCCCTCCCCCCTCTTTTTTTGCTGTTGGCCGCAGATGGCCTTTACAGCTTCACCGGGCGTGTATGCAGGGGCGAGTGAGGATGGCACTCCAAGCCAGCTCTTACAGATGGACTGCAGTTTGTGCGCTCGAAGACGCCCTAGTGGCTCGAACCTTGACTCGGGGGGGGGGGGTTGTTAGTAATGAGGTGACATAGCACCATTGCTAGCAATATACCCTCTCAGGTCGACCTCCACGTGGTCCCCCCTGGAAACCATCGTGCTGAATTCCAGGTGTATTTATCACGATGGGCTAATTGACTTTTTCATCCTCACTTTAATATCTCTCACTGGTGCCCCGCCAGCGTACACGATTACCCCCTGGAAACCATCATGTTTAATTCTTGTCGAATTCATCATGGTGGGCCAACCGACTTGCATTCATTCTCACCTATCATCTTCCACTGGTGCCTCGTCGGTGTATACCAATAGCGCGGGCGGGGTTACCAATCCATTCTCACCCATTGATAAAGATTGATCAATGTAGAAGAAGCGAAAGATACTTGTTGAATCGAAGCATTTGGCGTTCCATTGTTTCTGCCTACTCTAATGGGAGACAGTCCACTGCTGGTCATATGCCTCCCCCATAGACTGCCATAAAGAACGGTCCTAACCCACCTGCATCCACTGACTCCCTGCAACGCATTAAACGTCGTCACTCGCATCTAGTGGGGGGTTGTCCTACACTGCGTTTACCCGTACATGGTCGCCACTCAAGAACCTTTCTTCCCCATCGGTTGTCCATATGACCAGCCCATTGCCACTTCAGGTTGCTTATCCTTCGGGCTATGTCGGTTATTTTGGTTTTTGTGTGATCAGGTGAGCCGTATGCTCCTGGGGGATGTGCTAATATACTGGCGCATCCCCCGAGTGGTAGGGTGAGCACGCCATCCACCCTATCTTGAGAGAGGAGACCTGCTCTTACCATCTGGCGGCGGGTCGCTGCCGTCGGAGATGTGGTGAGTGCGAAAGCGAACCCATGTCTCCGACATATGGCACCTCGAGGGTATATCGTCTGGTTTTTGGTGGGTACACCCCCACCTTACGGGGGGATTCCCACAGTACCCATTCGCCTTCCACAAGGTGTATAGGTCTGCATGAAGCATTTTCCAGATGTTAAAAAAAAAGGTGAGCCGCATGCTAGTTTGCCCCCTGTGTTGTTAAATAAATATTATATGGAACCCAGGTGCGTCTGAACGTGTGCCGCTACCTGTGCATGGACGAGGCGGACCGCATGATCGACATGGGCTTCGAGGAGGACGTACGCACGATATTCTCTTACTTCGCGGGGCAGCGGCAGACGCTGCTGTTCAGTGCTACTATGCCGAGGAAGATTCAAAACTTCGCCAGGTAATCGCCGGGTTATTAACTACTTGTAGTTTTTTTTTTTTTTATACAACTTAGAATGGCAAACAAGCTGACGGCCCACCTGATGGAAAGTGGTAACCGTCGCCTATACACATGAGCAGTACCGTGGACATAACAGAGTATACTGTTTTGCCCATGATACCCTCCATGCGTTGCCATTCCTGAGGACTCAGGTGTTATTCCTCTATACCCTATAAATTCACTGCCATATCGCACCCTTCAAACATAAACACAGCCATGCAAACACAGCTGCTTCACGGTTGAAACACGAATGGGATAGAGGTACCCAAGCAATCGACTTTTGTACAAAGTCTCCCTCTGGTGACGCACACGCACACGCACACGCACACACGCGCACACACACACACACACACACACACATACACACACACGGCCGAAAGTTTTGGCTTATTTATGGCCCAAACCGAAACCAAAAGTTCCGTCGGACACTAGTTTTTTGTGCAAAAAAGAGTTAATTAAATAAATAAATATGATTCTGCTTGTTCGTCCTAGGTCGGCCCTTGTAAAACCGGTGACGGTGAATGTCGGCCGCGCCGGCGCAGCCTCGCTTAACGTGAGACAGGAGTTGGAGCCGGTGAAGGCCGAAGCCAGGACGGTCCACCTGCTCCAGTGCCTCCAGAAGACGCCACCTCCGGTCCTCGTCTTCGCCGAGAGGAAACAAGACGTCGATGCCATTCACGAGTATTTATTACTGAAAGGTATGTTTTTTTTATACAACTTAGAATGGCAAACGAGCTGACGGTCCACCTGATGGAAAGTGGTAACCGTCGCCTATGGACATGAGCAGTACCATGGACATGTCATTTGTGATACTTTTTATTTTAATGTGAAATTTTACAAGTGAAATTGACACCTGAGTCCTCAGGAATGGCAACGCATGGGGGGTATCATGAGCGAAACAGTATACTCTGTTATGTCCATGGTACTGCTCATGTCTATAGGGGACGGTTACCACTTTAAATCAGGTGGGCCGTCAGCTTATATGCCATTCTAAGCTGCATAAAAAAAGAGTAACGTTCCTGGCAATATGGGATGAAGGGGGGGGGCTATTTTCTCTTCTTGATCTACTACTTGAATATTTCCTAAAAAGCATGCTGTTTTAGACTTAATCCCTTATATATAAACCTGTCTCGTGTCCAGGCGTGGAAGCGGTGGCAATCCACGGTGGTAAAGATCAGGAGGAACGCTCCCGGGCTGTGGAGGCGTTCCGTCGCGGGGAGAAGGACGTCCTCGTAGCTACCGATGTTGCCAGCAAAGGTTCGAGCTCGTAATTGTAGTTGAATATAGCAATAATAATAAATAAGCTAATAGACTGAATATTTTAAATACACTATCGCAACAGTTCCCAAACTTATTTTGTCTACTGCCCACTTTGAGAATAAATTATTTTTTAACGCCCCCATTTTTTCACCTACTTAAAAACCACTATTACTTCAAGATCAACAAATCCCCCCCCCCCCCCCAAGCCGCTACACAACGGCCCCATTTTTTTCTGGGTCTCTTACCTATCTTTAGGCTTGCAGCGCCCACAAGGGGGGCGCTGCCTAAAGATAAGAAACCACTTGCAATCAGGTGGGCCGTATGCTTGTTTGCCACCTCAGTGGTATAAAAAAACTACATACCTGCTTCTTTATTGCCGACATTTCGATACAGATTGTTCGAAGTTGTAGTCACGACAGCATGCGTTTAAAATATATTTTCCCAAGAGACTACAGCATGGGGTTCTTCAAAAGGGGGGTTAAGAGATTTCTTCAGGGTCGGCAACGCGCGCGTAATACCTCTGGTATTGCAGGTGTTCATAGGCTACGGTAACCACTTACCATCAGGTGGGCCGTATGCTTGTTTGCCACCTCAGTGGTATAATAAAAAATGTGTAAACAATGCGAAAGATCAAAATTAACTAAATATGGGCTGAGGTCCAAATTTATCCAAATTTAGTTTATCATAACTCGTAAAACAGTAATTTTGCAAATGTACCAACTTCAAATATTAGGTAAAATGATAGATTTAGAGAAATAACCAGAGGAAGTCTTTGTACAATAGTCGTTTGCTTGGGTAACTGGTGAACGGGACCGCCCATTCGTGTTTCAACCGTGAAGCAGTTGTGTTTGCATGGCTGTGTTTCGGTTTTGAACGGTGGGAGATGGCAGTGAATTTACTGGGTACAGAGGAATAACATTTGAGTCCTCAGGAATGGCAACGCATGGGGGGTATCATGTGCGAAACAGTATACTCTGTTATGTCCATTGTACTGCTCATGTTTATAGGCGACGGTTACCACTTTCCATGAGGTTGGTCGTCAGCTTTGCCATTGTAAGTTGCATAAAAAAATTATGCTTCAGAACCAACCACAGTATTTTTTTTTAACCTAACTATCATGGTTAATTCCTGATGACTTCATCATGATGGGCTAACTGGCCTGTTTTCATTCTCATCTATCTCCCTTCACTGGTGCTCCGCCAGCGTATCCCGTTAGCGCAGGCGGTGGAAATGGTTACCATACCATTTTCACCCATCAAAAAAAACCCCCCGGCCGACTGTGCTTCTGCCGGGGGTTAGTTGCCATCTCCTCTCCTTAAGAGGGGAGATAAAATTTTTTGTAAAATTAAAAAAAAACTTTATTTGATTTGTTTTAAACTGTATAATTAATATGTATTTTTTACAATCCAGGACTGGACTTCGCGAACATCCAGCACGTAATCAACTACGACATGCCGGAGGACATTGAGAACTACGTGCACCGCATCGGTCGCACGGGCCGTGCAGGCGGCGAGGGCGTGGCCACCACGCTGCTGGGCCGCGCCGCCGACGACAGCGTGCTGCGGGACCTGGCGCACCTGCTGCGCGAGGCCGGCCAGAAGGTGGCGCTCGTGATGCCCGCTGATTTATTTAGTTATTTGATCTTCCAAGGAGGCCTTTATCTAATCTTGAGTTCTTGCATAGGAAGAATATTATATATAATTATAAATACATAAAATTCTCCTACTGCTTCAATGGTCGCGTACAACGCGGTTTAAGTTTCGGTTGTGGAATGAGCTCCCTGCCGAGGTTTTCCCAAGAGACTACAGCATGGGGTTCCTCAAAAGGGGGGTAAAGAGGTTTCTTCAGGGTCGGCAACGCGAGCGTAATACCTCTGGTATTGCAGGTGTTCATAGGCTAACTTATTAACACACCTGGTAGAAATAAGATAATACTGTAATAATGCAAGATATATATATATATATATATATATATATATATATATATATATATATATATATATTAGTATAATATATAACTGTGTTCTTATCCTTTTCTCCCTTTTCCCTGTTCCCCCAGTATACATAATAGGTGTTAGTAAATATTTACTGTTAGCCCAGCCCCTGTTTAGGAGACATACATACCCACAGTGGGAACTTTAGTTAATTATTTAATTGGTTAGTTTAGTTAATCACCAAACAATATAGATGGCGCTAAAATCGGGACTGGTCGTTTTTGTTGATTGTTTTGTGATCAAAGATAATTTGAAACAAAACTTCTTTTTTCTGTTGTATGTGTGCTGTTAAGTATGTGTATGTTATGTATATATTTGATTGTGTATATATTATATATGTATGTGTGTAAGTTTCCCTCTGGTATACATACACACCAGAGGGAAACTTTGTACAAAAGTCAATTGCTTGGGTACCTCTGTCCCATTCGTGTTTCAACCGTGAAGCAGTTGTCTTTGCGTCAGCTTGTTTGCCATTCTAAGTTATTTAAAAAAATGTATGTATGTATATATGTTTGTATATGATAATATTTATATAATAGTGCGCCACCTACCCTTTGTCTTTTTCTCAATGTCCTCTACCCAAAGGTTGTCTGGAAGAGATTGCTTGGCGATAAGGCCGCCTTTTGTATCACTTCTAAATGGACGAGTGGTATTTATTAGCATTATAATGTGTCCGGGCAGGTGCCGCCGTTCCTGCTGGACATGATCGGCGAGCCGGACGTGCCCGCGGCTGACGGCCAGGGCTGCTCGTACTGCGGCGGCCTCGGGCACAGGATCACAGGTGAGTGTCGCTTCACCTCATTAACATATATATATATATATACTCTGTTTTTATGTATGTTTCAACCGTGAAGCAGTTGTGTTTGCATGGCTTCGTTTTGAAGGGTGGGATATGGCGTGAATTTACAGGGTACAGAGGAATAACACCTGAGTCCTCAGGAATGGATGATGAATATATATATATATATATATATATATATATATATATATATATATATATATATATATATATATTTTAAATTTTTTTCATTTAATAGTATATGACTTATATATTGTAATATAATGTAATGGTAAGTAACTTCACCAGAGGGAGACTTTGTAAAAGTCGATTGCTTGGGTACCTCTGTCCCATTCGTGTTTCAACCGTGAAGCAGTTGTGTTTGCGTGGCTGTGTTTCGATTTGAAGGGTGCGATATGGCGTGAATTAACTGGGTACAGAGGAATAACACCTGAGTCCTCAGGAATGGCAACGCATGGGGGGTATCATGGACGAAACAGTATACTCTGTTATGTCCATGGTACTGCTCATCTCTCTACAGATTTATTATAAGTGTAGATTGTTAACTGTATTTGTACAGAGTACTAATAATAAGAATTTATCAACAATTATTCTAGCAGTTTTACTATTACTCTGTCACTTGATTATATGAACTTAATTATAAATTTTTTATTAATATTTCAGAATGTCCAAAATTGGAGGCAGTACAGAACAAGCAAGCGTCCAACATTGGCAGACGAGACTACTTGGCGAATACTGCAGCAGATTATTAAAGTGCATTAATATGTTCACGCTATTGTCCTTTTGGGGTAGACGAACCATCTTGTTTTACGGTTTTTTTTTAAATGCTACGTAATACAGCAGAGATGCCAAGCATAGTGATTAGTAATCACGAATGTCCACTAAAATGGTAGTTTAACTGCGAAGGGCGCTTGCCCCAGAGTAATATAGGTGCGGATTCAAATCATTTATTTTGTGATACATAAATAACAATGGATGGTAAAACTAGATAAGTCCTCTATGATCAACGTCATAAATCAAAGTATATGATTTTACAAACATATATTGTGATAGTCGTAGAATACTGACGGATCTGACGAATATTACATATAAAGATCCGTCAGTATTCTACGACTGTGACGATATAAGAAAAAAATACACCAGAGGGAGACTTTGTACAAAAGTCGATTGCTTACCTCTGTCCCATTCGTGTGTCAACCGTGAAGCAGTTGTGTTTGCATGGCTGTGTTTCGGTTTGAAGGGTGGGATATGGCAGTGAATTTACTGGGTACAGAGGAATAACAACTGAGTCCTCAGGAATGGCATCGCACGGGGGGTATCATGGGCGAAACAGTATACTCTGTTATGTCCATGGTACTGCTCATGTCTATAGGCGACGGTTACCACTTTCTATAAAGTGGGCCGTCAGCTTGTTTGCCATTCTAAGTTGTATAAAAAAATAAAATAAAAGAAAACCCCGCCCACTTTTATTTTTTCGTCAGTTTAATTTTTATTTCTATACAATGTTACAATTATTAAATTGCCAAGTCTTATTCACTTTGTACATAGTTTTATTATATTTAAGTGTAATATATCCCTAATGATTGTAAATATTTTTGTAAATAAATATTATTATAATGAAAAAATTGCTTTTTTCCCCCTCCAGGAGGTTTAAGGTCCATATTACACGAATCATTGTTTGCATGTAACACTTTGTTGTAATGTCTTAAATTAGTATTAATTTTGTATCCGCAGTTGTAAATGTATTGAACTAGACGGGTTAAAGGATCAACTCTGATTCCTTGACATCCCCTGAAAAAGATTTTAGTGAATTCCTCATGGATTCGTCACGATGGGCTAACTGACCTGCTTTCATCATCACCTGTCATCTATCACTGGTGCCCCGCCAGCGTATACCGATAGTGCAGATGGGGTTACCATTACCCCTTAAAAGTCTGATTTTTATAAATCAAATTAAAAATATAAGTGTACCCTTTACCGTGTTTACTAATGGGGAAAAATAGTAAAAAAAATCAAAACGATATTCTTATATATTTATTTTGAAAAAAACATTTGGTAACATGTAAACAGCCAAATATTAAGATAAAATCGATTGTGGGCGCCCGATGCGATTTATAACCCCGGTATCAAATTTGAAACTTCAGGTATTTATTTTATTTTTATTTATTTATCCATTACAACATTGATCATGGTAAAATTCTGATGAATATCTAATGAGCCAACTGACCTGCCTTCACCCTTACCTGTCATCTATCACTGGAACACCGACAGCATGTACTGATAGCGAAGGATGGGGTTACCACTCCATTATCATTGGAGGGAAGGGTATATTAATAACTGGGAGGTTACGTCAATGTACCCTATTAAGTCGACCTCCACGCGGTTCCCCCTGGAAACTATCGTGACTTATTCATCGTTGAATTCGTCATGATAAGCTAACTGACCTGCCTTTTCATCCTCACCTATCACCTCTCACTGGTACCCCGCAAGTGTATACCGATAGCGCAGGTAGGGTTACCATGCCATTTTCACACATTAAAAAAACCAATATTGTAGTATATTATGTTCACGTACTGGCCACTAATAATTTTGTAAATACTGGCCGGTAACAATTTGTTCTATTTATTCTTTCAATGAATAAATTAATGTTTAACAGACTCGCTTGCGTATCACTACAATTGTCATCCATAAAGGATTATCGGAAGGAAAGGTTTAGGTGAAATGAAACATTCAAACAGACTCATAATATGTAATAGTGAACACTTAAACTAATAATATAACATTTCTTAAAAGAAACATGGATATTGGATTATGATATAAAATGTACATGATCTTCCAAACCTACGTGTATGCAGTACTTATTATTTCATTAAACAAAAAAAAAAAACAAACATATTCTACTGAGACCGTATTATTTATATAAAAAAAAAAAGAAACAAAACCTATATTAGTAATTTAGTTGTCCCTTCCATTTAATGTTATGATTTAAGATACTTTTTTTAAATTTTGTCAAAAGGAAAGAAAGAGACAAAAAATTGCTAAATTTTCTTTGACATTTGGCTTTATTACAACACAATAAAATTCGGCTTTAATGCATTACATGGACAAACCTGATCACCGATATATTTATAAAAAAAAAAAAAAAAAACAGAAAACGGAAAAAAAAATGTTATTATTTCTTTCACTATATTGATTTTATAATAGCACATATGACCACATAATTTAGAAAAAAAGAAACACGTGTTGTATATAAACAAACATGGTCCAGGAATGCGATCAACGTTTGATCGCACTATGCCGGCTTACTAAGTGTTTTTTATTTTCTTTTTTTCACTAAAAAAGTTTATTTTTTTTTTTTAATAAAACCAGAGATAAATATTCCCATTCCTGTCTCTGTATATTTTTTTTTCTACAATAAAATCCGTGTTTGAAGTCAACATGTAATCAGAGTTTACAATCATTGATAAATCTTTAAAGTTGAAATATTTTACACCTTTTACCATAAATAAAATCAAGCATTGTTATATATATATATATATATATATATATAAAACCAATTATATACACAATATTATAATATTGTTAATAAGAAAAGAAAAACAGAGGATTATTTATATACTAATTTTACATAAAAAATATTGATAAAAGGGCCGTATTACACTGTCAAATACATATGATTACGACACCATAAAATAAATACCACTAGGTAATCGAAACAGCGCCATCTAGTGAGAAATTAAGTTTGAGACTTTTAAGAAAGCAACGTCCAAATCAGTACTTTCTAATACACACATGTGAAAGAATAAGACGCCGCACGTTGACCTCTCGTTCTATCTCATGCATGCGGTAGCGATAACGTATCTATCGACAGATCCGATGGCTATTTGGTCCAAAGAGTAAACTGTAAAGGATTCTACTAGATTTTATTATAAATCATTGATATTTAAAGTAAATTGATAATATATAATCCAATATATTTGACAGTGTAATAGAGCGTAAACACATATCCAGTAATAGGCACCTCATTCGAGAAACATTATTTATTTATTAGAGTCACGATATACTCTATTCAGTTAAACATAATTCATCAGAACGCCATATTTAATCGGGAACATCGTATTACTAGGCGACACAGTAACAATACTGTGTCACCGCCGCTTTTCACACCGAGAATACCATAAGAATCGAGTAGGGAACAGTGCAAGAGTGGAAAATAAAACTTGTACACTGAACAATGATAATTTTATAAGCGAATTCAACTTACACGCTACATTTTCGTAAATTTATCGATTTTCAACTAAATTTCCGAATAACTTTCGATCAATAAAACTGGTTACTTACTGACTAGTAGTGCTAAACATTGGCTTTTAAGTGAAACATTCAAGATTACTGCATATATAGAATCATCACACTGTAATTTCATAATTTAACAAAATTATGAAAAAAAAAATCCAAGAACATATCGATAGTATGCCAATTTCTATTAAAAACGCATAAATAAAAAGTGATTCACAAATAGTTATCGCGTAACATAAAAAAAAATACAGTTAATTTGAAATTATACTTTTTAAAAGACGGTCAAAAAGTATTTTAGTACAATTAGAATACAGTACAAAACTGATCCGCCATTTTAGAACGTTTATACGCCATATTGTTTTATTTATTTAAACTATAACGTACAGTGTAATTGTTATATACACAGGATTGCTATTTTCCTAATAACTCTAAATCGTACGCCAATGTTTTTTTTTTTTAATATTGCCTACATAAAAAATTACAAGTGTACGCCATGTTTGCAAGTTCTTGCACGATGACCTATGTTTACAAGTTACAACACATTTGCAAGTTTGCAACTTGCAAACATAACGATTGCCGCGTGGTACACATATATATATATATATATATATATATATATATATATATATATATATATATATATATATATATATATATATATATATATATATATATATATATATATATATATATATATATATATATATTATATATATAATAAAGAAAATACTATGTTATCTCAAAGTTATATTCAATAACATATTATATAAATCCATTTTTTCCTTTACTTATACTTTTTAGTAAATTATTTTTGGCCTTGCCACTTCCTATGCCTTTTCACTGAAAAAAAAATGGGTAATAAACAAATTGCTAGAAAAAAAAAACTTTTATTATTTGATTTATTATTTCTATAACTATTTAAAATGACTCATTTCTTTTAAAAGACATAACAATTATTTTTTACCAAAGGAGATAAGACTTGTCTAAGTAATAAAAAAACTCGAGTTTACATTCAACCGGTTAGTAACTTATATTACCAAATAGATATATAGAGTAACATAAATTTGCACGTCGGTAATCAGTTACTAATTTAAATTCCTTCTATAAAAAAATACCACAATCGATCATGAAAAAAAAAAAAAACATTAAAAATAAAAAAATTATGCCCCGTAGACAAGGTACAAAGGGTCTACCATGAACGCACGACCAATCTTTGGGATCAACTTCCAGCAGCAGTATTTCCGAACCGATACGACATCATAACCTTCAAGAAAAGAGCAAATTTCCTTTTTAAAAGGCCGGCAGCACACCTGCCATGACTCTAGTGTTGCGGGTGATCATGGGCGGCGGTAGTCACTTACCGTCAGGTGAGCCGTATCCTCGTTTGCGTCCTAATTACATGTAATGAATTAAGTTACGTTTCGTTCATACTGAAATCTGTCCAGGCCCTCTAGACAAGTAGCAAGCGTATTCGTCGATGGAGTCGACATCACTAGCAAGTCCGAGAGGTGGAATGAGTCACTCGGCGTTGCTATTTCATTCTATCTCACGGGCGGACGGAGCTAGCGATGTCGATTCCATCGACGAATTCGCTTGCCACTTGTCTAGAGGCCCAGTAAATGAAGCTAAACATTTCGTACGTCAAATCCTACCATTATAGTCCAAACAAGAGATATTTTAATTATTTTTCTAATTTTACAAATGACTTATGTAATTTATGTTTCGTTCGACAACGAAATTTCGGAAACCATTTTCACGGTAGGCCCTCTGATCTCCAAATGGAATCATTGTCGTCAGCGAGTCCGTGAGTTTCTCATGTAAATGATTTTATTGATAGTTTGTACTTGTCTAGGGGGGCTGCATGGAAATTACACTCTTATGTGAATGCAGCAGTAATGCCAAAATTAATCGAGGATTGTCACAAATGTATTAATTCGACACACTACGACTCCCGCGACACACGTGCGACAGAACGAGCCGCGTGCTCTCAACGACGTCTGTCGCTCGCGAGCGCTGACTGTCGACTGGCTTAGCTCGCAACCGGACGCGGGCCGGCCGCGCGGCGTTCTAGTTATTATTATTGAATTCACGGGAGCGTCCATTCTACCCGCATTATTTATTTTTATGTTACACCGTACTAATTACGCGGCAAGTTCTAATTACACAAAAACTCTATATTCCCATAATTATAGTTGATGGATTTATCCAATCTGTACAGTAAAACCGACATATTTATTGTTAAACAAAAAAAAGTATACCAAACACCGACACTGCAAAGGAAATATACAATTTCAAGGAGATTTCTGGATTAGACGACGCAAAATATACTTGATGCAGTACAGCAGATCTTGGGGAACGCATTGGCAGAGTAGTAGAGAATGGTAGAAAATTACTACCATTTTAGGAGTATTGCTTAGGGGGGATTTTGTGAAGAAAATTTACTGAAGACAAAATGCGTTATTTTACCTACCACTCATAAGGGTATGATAGGGAAAAATAAAATCCGTTCACAGACTTTAATGGTACCCTCGTTTTTGTTTCGTTTAATAATTATTCATATCTTTAAACTTATAACGTCTGCATATTAATACGTATTGTAGTTACAATATCTATGTATTGTTATGGGCGATACCTATACCTTCTTTCCCTTTTTTTAGTTCTTTAGATATCGGTACTATACTAATATTAATTACTATAATTTAATATGTAAATTATTTTCAAATAAGTAATATCTTACTTTAATTATAATAAAACCATACATTTTATATAACTATATGTACTGCAATCTATGCATGAATTCTAATCTAATCAATTTGGGTAAACGCTAACTGGTTTTCTATCTCGCTTCAACAATACTACTCTATTAATGCGTCCACTTTTACATATCTATTGACAATATGGGAAACTTAAAAGTATATTGCAATAAAATATATAAAAATAGATCAAACACATCTAGATGGAACATCAATGGTCAAAGAAACGTGTCAAGAGTAATTTTCTTTTAACATTTTGGTATCACTAATCGTGTAAGTCCATATGTAGTTTTAAACAAACTAGCTTATAGATACATTGGCAAAAAAAAGTTGGATCGTGTTTGACCAGGCGTTTATAGACAGACACTACATCTAGACGTTTTTAATCTATGGTAAAAACATTATAAGCTCATAATAATGCTACTTATAATAGTCATGTAATTGGATTCAAATATTTTATTAAAAATCGAAACAACAAACTTGTAAACACAAGAGCCGAGGCTTCCTTATATACAATTACTCGACCGAGAACTGAACTTGGCACCACATGCAATGCAAAACTACCAATAATACACGCTGAACGTCATCAAAGACGATACAAAATATTCAGGTTGCAATTTTTATTATAGCTTGAAACTCTGCGCGTATGTTCACTTTATTAGTAAGGTTATCATACAACCATAGATTAAGCAAACAACTTTATAGATTAAGAACTATAGACAACTGGAAATACCTTAAGGTATGATTTTAATCAAGGTAACACTCGATTTATAAAATAAAAAAAAAAATACAGCAATTGTGTCAGAATTAACGAAAAAAAAAACAATGCTTGTCTATGGTTCGTTCAGATTGGCGCGAAATCTAATAAAACTTTGAATCCAACCCGTGTCAATCGAAATGTAACAGACCTGGTTGCGCCATCTATCGGATAGGAGTTATTACGTCACGAAATCGTAGCCTAGATACTTTTTATTTTTTCGCCGCACCCTAGCCGCTTTTTTATCATCATAATCTTCACCCTCCTGGTCCTCTATCGCCCAATCGTCTTCACTCTTGATTCTTATCTCGTCCTGTTCCCTCACAACAGTGTACTTCTTCTTCTTCTTCTTGGCGGAGTCGACTGGCTCTTTACTCCGTTTCCTCGGCTGCCTATCCTCCACCACTAAATGCTGGTACTCCTCGACTATGTAGTTCTCCGGCTCGTAGCTGGTGGTTATCTCCACTCCGACCGAGGGGTCCACATCGGGGAGTATATAGTAATTCTCGTAGTCCCCCTGCAGTGAGATCTCGTTGACATCTGCTGTGAAATGGCGTTTCTTCTTGCCCGTGTTGCAGTGTTTGATATAGGCGTACTTAGGCTTGCTCTCCTCGGGTATGATGTTCACCATCCACTCCCTGTTGTCGGTGGGTATCTCCTTCACCTCCTCCATGCTGATCTCCTGCTCCTCGGCGATCTCGTATATGAAGGTGTCCGGGACGCTGGTGTCCTCCATGATTTGCAATACTTCGTTCTGATTCGGCTGCGGTTCAACTGACGAGGTTTGGGGTATTATCTGAAATTCCGTGACTGATTACAGACCGAAATGATGTAGTTTCAGTAAAATAATAAGGTGAAAAACTAAAAATATGCTTCGGAAACTGAATTCAGTATTCAATAGTCATAGGAGAACCGAGTTCAGATTAAATTAGGACCAAAAAATACCCAAACGCCAAAATTTTTATTTCAAAAGTTTTTTTCAGAACGGCAAACAAGCTGACGGCCCATCTGATGGAGGGTAGTAACCGTCGCCTATAAACATGAGCAGTACCATGGACATAACAGAGTATACTGTTTCGCCTATGATACCACCCATGCGTTGCCATTCCTGAGGACTCAGGTGTTATTCCTCTGTACCCTGTAAATTCACTGCCATATCCCACCCTTCAAACCGAAACACAGCCATGCAAACACAACTGCTTCACGGTAGAAACACGAATGGGATAGAGATGCACAAGCAAACGACTTTTGTACAAAGTCTCCCTGTGGTGTACCGATTTCAACAAATTTATAAATGACGGTAACAAACATAAAAAAATACAAGCGAATTGAGGAATAAATTTTTTGAAGGTGGTGGTCCCTTCTTTTTTGAGATCTGTTAAAAAAAACAAATTTGGTCCCAAAGCGAGTATAATTTTGTGGAACTTACAAATATTACAAATTATCAGTTTGAAACAAGAGACAGATTGAAAAGGAAGAATCAAAATCGGTTCGAATTTCAGACCGCGTAATATAAACATAAAAAAAAACAATTAAACCGTAATGCGATCGGTTTTAGGCTAGCTCGCTACACCCACTGCTTTACCAATTTTTGAAATTACCAAATTTCGATTAGAGATTAAATGGATAAATGGGTTTATTACCTTTATAAATTAATGCCCTACATAAATTAATGCCCCACATAAATTAATGACCTACATAAATTAATGACCTACATAAAATAATGACCTACATAAATTAATGACCTACATAAAATAATGACCTACATAAAGTAATGACCTACATAAAATAATGACCTACATAAATTAATGACCTACATAAATTAATGACCTACATAAAATAATGACCTACATAAATTAACGACCTACATAAATTAATGACCTACATAAATTAATGACCTACATAAAATAATAACCTACATAATGACCTACATAAATTAATGACCTACATAAATTAATGACCTACATAAAATAATGACCTACATAAATTAACGACCTACATAAATTAACGACCTACATAAATTAATGACCTACATAAATTAATGACCTACATAAATTAATGACCTACATAAATTAATGACCTACATAAATTAACGACCTACATAAAATAATGACCTACATAAATTTAATGAAAACGACGCCGCATATTCGAGTTATGCAACAGACGCTGTTGTATTAGCACGCGGTACGACATTTTTGTTCAGTACAGCGTATTATACATAAACGCATTAGGCGACGGTCACCACTTTCCATCAGGTGGACCGTCAGCTTGTTTGCCATTCTAAGTTGTATAAAAAAAAATCCTATTTTTGAAATCGGTTGAAAATAATAGAAATCTATTTTCACGACAGATCCCTTGCGGGGTAGGCAGAGAGAACCAAGTACTGACATATGATGGCTTATATCCTAACATGCATCTCATAGTTCGTACACTTTCGTAATTCGCTTCAAATATACACTACAATCGAAGATATGACTTCCTGGCGAAAGTAATTTCATATTAACATAATGCAACTTATCAACGGTCCACTGCTGGGCAAATATGTTCCCAGGAAGACATTAGACCACTGTCATGATGGCCAGAGGGTCCCATATATAGAGTTTTCATAATTATCTTAGGTTTTTTTTATGAGTGAAAATGGTATGGTAACCCCGCCTGCGCTAACGGGAACCGCGAGGAGGTCGACCTGGTTGGGTATATTACTAGCAATAGGATTCTCAGTCTCCATTACTAACAATCCCTCCCCCCCCCCATTATCTTAGGTTGGTTTTTAATTTTATTCCATAGTCTCAGAATCAGGTGTTATTCCTCTGTACCTAGTAAATTCACGCCATATCCCACCCTTCAAATCGAAATACAGCCATGCAAACAACTGCTTTACGGTAGAAACACGAATGGGACAGAGGTACCCAAGCAAACGACTTTTGCACAGTCTCCCTCTGGTATAAAGTTCTTAAAATTATTGATTTATTGAGTCCCATCATATTTAGTTTTACTTAACATCTCCCTATGTCCAGACATCATCTAATTGGGGGGAAAGGGATTGTTAGTAATGAGGTCTAATAGCCCCATTGCTAGCAATATGCCCTCTCAGGTCGACCTCCACGCGGTTCCCCCTGGAAACCATCATGGTTAATTCTTGTCGAATTCAACACGGTGGGCTAACCGACCTGCATTCATTCTCACCTACCATCTTCCACTGGTGCCCCACTTTCACCCATTGAAAAAAAAAACACATCTAGTTAGAAACTTTATTATGGTAAGTCTGTACCCTCACCTCAATGATTTGCTTAGGATCCTGCATCTTGGTGATGACCTGTTCGGACTGCGTGATGGAGGCTTCAGCCTTGTCAGTTTCCACTCGCACCACCCACAACTGTTTGCGTTGCAAGTTCTTGAGTGAACTGTAATTTAAAAAAAAATATATATTTTTTTTATACAACTTAGAATGGTAAACAAGCTGACGGCCCACCTGATGGAAAGTGATAACCGTCGCCTATAGACATCCGCAGTACTATGGACATAACAGAGTATACTGTTTCGCCCATGATACCCCCCATGCGTTGCCATTCCTGAGGACTCAGGTGTTATTCCTCTGTACCCTGTAAATTCACTGCCATATCACACCCTTCAAACCGAAACACAGCCGTGCAAACACGACTGCTTCACAGTTGAAACACGAATGGGACAGAGGTACCCAAGCAATCGACTTTTGTACAAAGTCTCCCTCTGTATGTTTATATTATATGAATATATTAAGTATTGCTTTATATTTCCTCTATTCAATAATGCACCGCCTACTTATTTCTCTGTTCGCCCAATGCTCGACTGGTAGAGAACACCGTCCGGTGTTAAGTCCGCCAAATGTACATAGAATTTCACTGTGCATTAAAGTTTAAATAAATAAATAAATAAAATAAATATATATCGTACCAACTACTGGCGAAACGCTCCAAGAAAGAGGCTTATACCACTGAGGTGGCAAGCAAGCATACGGCCCACCTGATGGAAGTGGTTACCATAGCCTATATTATACTATATAATATAGGTATTACGCGCGCGTTGCCGACTCTGAAGAAACCTCTTTACCCCCCTTTTGAAGAACCCCACGCTGTAGTCTCTTGTGAAAACCTCGGCAGGGAGCTCATTCCACAACCTGAGTGTTCGTGGGAGGAAACATCTCTGAAACCGCGCAGTACGCGACCATTGAGGCTGTAGGACATGAGGACGAACTCCCTGTCGATGGCGAGTCGTACGATGGTAGAAAGCGGCTTTTTTTTTTTTTTTTTTTACAACACAGGGGGCAAACGAGCATGCGGCTCACCTGATGGTAAGTGACTACCGCCGCCCATGATCACCCACAACACCAGCGGCATTGCAGGTGTGCTGCCGGCCTTTTAAAAAGGAATATACTCTTTTCTTGAAGGTTATGTTGTCGTATCGGTTCGGAAATACTGCTGCTGGAAGTTGATTCCAAAGAATAATAAGGCTGTGGGCAAAGGGGTGTGGGCAAAGCGGGCGTGGCTTATGTCCAGCCGTGGACAGTTAGCTGATGACGATGATTACGAAAGCTATACTCACAGATAGCCGAGCGTGTCGACGAGCTGCCTCACGTTCAGTCTCGAGACGTTCTGAGGCGGTTCCTTCTTCACCGACTCCACACTGTAATTGTGCTCCATGCGTATTACATCCACAACTGTTGACAAAGAGAACGTGTTCAGGGGCATGATCATAGGTAAACACATCAGGGAAGGTTAGTATTGAGAAGGCTAATCCCCAAGAACAAGGAATTACATAGAAGGAACGATAAAATAAAAACTATAAATCATACGGTTGCCTCCTTTCTTCTTATGCAAATATAATTAGTAAAAAGAGGACGAAAGATACACCATCCGTTGCTATTTTTCTCAATTCATAACAGGCTAGTGTATAGAAAATGTTTGATATGTCAATTATTTGTCAATGACAAATTTTACATTACTAGATTATATATTGGACACAGTTTATGTAGAAAGTATGCGAGCGGGTTGTATCTGAATTTGGTAGGGTTATAGGGTCGTATAACCCTATCAAATTCACGATAGTTTCCAGGGGGAACCGCGAGGAGGTCGACCTAACAGGGTGTATTATCCCCCCCCCCATTTATACTTTATTATACACTAAATTTAGATTGTTATAACTTATATTAAATGAAGATGTACAAGAGGCGAACTTAACTCTACAAGAGTTCTCTTCCAGCAAACCCTGAGTGGAAAGAAGCATTAATTTTTTTTTAATAGATGATAATGAAATGGTAACCTCGCCTGCGCTATCGGTATACGCTAGCAGTAAAAAATAATTGACGAATTCAACGATAAATTAGTCACGATGGTTTCCAGGGGGATCCGTGTGGAGGTCGACCTGTCGACCACAATATCCCTAACCACACACGCATACATAGTCACATGCAGTGACGTTGTTTCTGTAGTTTTGACCATTTCGGATCGTTGCTTTTCTGTATGAAGTGTCCAGGGTGTGGTCATACTGCGTGGAAGATCGGTCGTTACGTCGACCTGACGCCGCGATCTGATTCGTCGTTGGCATGCCAAATCTTGATTATTTTAATGGGTGCAAATGGAATTCAAACCCTGCTTGCGCCATTGATAATTACACGCTGGAGGGACACCCGTGAGGGATGATAGGTGAGGATGAAAGCAGGTCAGTTAGCCCATCGTGATGAATTCATCAGTAATTAACCACGGTAGTGTCTAGGGGGTAACCGCGTAGAGATAGACCTAACAGGGTATATTCCTAGTAATAATAAGGGTTGTTAGATTCCATTACTAACAATCCCTTTCCCCCGCCGATCCTCAATCGACGGAAGATTGGTAAGACAGAAATGGAAGAGGCTGAACTGTCCTTTCCAGAAGCACTGGTACACTGTACACAGTTATGGGCCCAGTGTAAGAACTGGGCCCATAACGGTGTCCAGTTAGTGGAGGAAACAAATGATTGAGCTGTATAAAACTTTTATGCTACAGTTTAGGTTTCTTTTTCGAAATATATTATAATAAAAATGCTTTTGATAATCCTTACTAATATTATAAATACGAAAGTAAGTTTGTTTGTTACCTTATAGTGCTCTAACGGCCTAACCAATCACTAATGGCATACTTTTTAATCCGGTTAGTGTACACATAATAATCACGCGCAAAGTCGCAGGTAAAAGCTAGTCGTAGACATATAAGAGGCAGCGGTGGGAACATATGGCAGACAGTACCTTTAGGAACATTTTCTAGGAACCTCTCAAATAGAGCTTGGTAGCCGCCCCGAGCCGCTGCCTGGCTGTCGCCTGCAACCAGAGCGGTGGTCAATGCAGAGTGACAACCCTAATCCACGCAATAGACAATACCCTAATAGTAATGTTATTAAACTAAGTGTTATTTTACGGAATTCGTTACTGAATACTGGTTAGTTAATTAGAATTATTTCTTGTTTTTTTTATTTTATATTTTTTTTATATATATAAATACTAGCTGACTCGGCAAACTTTGTTTTACCATATACATTATTTCGAGAACTATACATGAAAATATATCGTACTACAATTATTATATTCGATTGCCATCTTGCAACCCTATTGCGGAATATAAAAATTGCGCTTAAAAAACAGGGGTTGATCGTAAAAGGGTGAAAATTTGAAAATGTATGTATTTTTCAATGCTAAATCATATTTATATAAAAATTAAAAATTTTGTCAAAAATATATAAAATAATTTTTTAGTGGTGGGTCACCCTTATCATTGAGGGGTATGAAAAATAGATGTTGGCCGATTCTCAGACCTACCCAATATACACACAAAATTTCATGAAAATCGGTAAAGCCGTTTCGGAGGAGTTTGGTAACAAACGAGAATTTTATATATATATTTTTTTGTGTGTAGTTTCGTTATTCTTAATATTTTTGTTTTTTTTTTAACTCCTTTGTGAGTGTAGTCACATATTTCTGTAGAATAAAGTTTCTTTCTTTCTTTCTAATTCCGCTACCATTGATATGCGTACGACTGCCAACGCTCGAAGATTGACTGGAGAGAAGTTTTTTTAAGTACTTTTAGCAGTATGTCCATAATTGAATAACCCCATAACTAGAGTATAGGTTATTTTCATCAGGATTGGGAGGGAGTGAATCAGAAAATACCCGAGTCCTCAGGAATGGCAACGCATGAGGGGTATCATGAGCGAAACAGTATACTCTGTTATGTCCATGGTACTGCTCATGTCTATAGGCGACGGTTACCACTCAGGTGATTCAGGTGAAAAAAATTCACACAAAACTACTAAATGGATTTACATTTATAATGTACTTGTAAGAAAATATAAGGCTTGTAAGGCCGCCTTCTGTATCATTTCTCATTACAATTAACAATTAACATTCTTCACGACTCTGGAACGCGCTTCCTGATGCCATTAAGAGACTACCGACTAAACCGTCTTTCAAAAAAAGCGTTCACGCTCACTTTTTATCTTTATCCGAGCAGTAAGTGTAGCAGTATTCCCAAATCCGTGTATAATATAGTATATATCATATATGTGTAAGTATATTTGTTATTCATATATATTTATTCGTTTATATATATAATTTTAGTATGTATGTATATCAATAATTACTAGTACCGCATTCGAGTATTCTGACACTTCCCTGTGGTTGACTGGGAGATAATGCTTTAAGCATAAAGTCCGCCATGTACTCATATTTGTACTAATGAATAAATAAATAAAAAAAAAATAACTGTACGTATTTATTACTTTATAAATAAAGTGTAAAATAAATAAATAAATATTTTCAACTAATGTATGTAGCCATAAGTCGTGCAATAAATTATTTGATTTTATAATTTAGGATACTTTATATAGTTATTCACGTGAGCAAAACTGCGGGATACAGCTAGTTCAATATATTTCAAGTTACACTCGTATACTTAAATTTCTTTCTTTTCTCCCTCCGATCTATGGTGACTGAGCATCGACGGGGCATGGGTTTGATAGTAACGGGACTAGGGACCTATTGTTAGCAATATATATATTGTCAGGTCGACCTCCGTGTGGTCCCCTCTAGAAATGATATACCCTATAAATCCACGTTTAGTTAAATTTTTCAATGAATGATAATGGAATGGTAGCCCCGCCTGCGCTAACGGGATACGCTGGCGGGGCACCAGTGAAGGGTGATAGGTGAGAATGAAAACAGGCCAGTTAGCCCATCATGATGAATTCATCAGGAATTAACCATGATAGTTTCCAGTGAGAACCGCGTGAAGGTCGACCTGGTTGGGTATATTGCTAGCAATGGGATTCTCAGTCTCCATTACTAACAATCCCTTTCCCCCCAAAAAGGCAGGTCTGTTAGCCCATCGTGATGAATAGATCGGGAATTCAGCACGACAAATTCTTGGGAGAGCTACGTGGTCGTCGACCTGACAGGGTATATTGCTAGCAATGAGACTGGTAGTCCGTATAATTGACAATCCTCCCCCCCCCCCCCCAACCCCTCCAGCTAGGTTAACCGCCGATCTGAGCATTAGGAGCTATATGTTATGTTATGTCCACGGTGCTGTTCATGTGTATAGGCGATGGCCGCCATTTTCCATCTGTTGGGCTGACAATTTATCTGCCAAGTGTCATAAATATTTTACTAAACTAGATGTTATTTTACGTGTTATAGTAGATACCTATCAAATATTACGACACACCCTCAACGGCGATCGGATCGGACCACCTAGCATGACGCAAGAAGGCGCGCTACCGAGAAAGACACCTGCGTCCAGTCAGCATTTCAATTCCCGCAGCAAAAATACCCATTTCCTTTATGTTTGATTTTATATAACTTCACTTACGGATCACACATCGATCTGAAGACGCTTATTATTGTAATAATTAATTTTAGAATTAAATTTAGTTATATTTATAAAATTGGTTTTTTTTTTGGGTCTTCCGCCAGCGACTTCGATAACTTACGTTAGTCCATATCACTGGTTATTTGTTTAGAACTATATTATTTAATTCCGTTACCATTATTATGTGTGCGACTGCCAACACTCGAAGAATGACCACCACTATTACCATGTTTACCATGTGGTCCCGCCATAGAATGGACCACTCCTTACTTTCCTGTGAGTGTCGTAAGAGGCGACTAAGGGAGGGCGAGGGATGGCCAGACACCGTCTGTCTTTAAATATCACTAAGGCTGAACTGCGGTTGCCAATCTACCTGCCAAGCGTGGCAGCTACTGGTAAAGCTCCCGATAAGGGGACTTAAGACATCAGTAACTTAACTGTGATTGCCAACCCGCCTGTCAAGAATGGCAACTATTGGCAAAAACCCCCCTTTATGAAAGGGGGGACTATGTTCAGCAGTGGATAGTTAACCGCTGATATGAACATGATGCTTATTAAGCCTTTGGCTAACATTAGGCTCCGAGCAGCTATCTCCTAATTTTCCATAAGACGCCTCGTATAGAGGTGAGACCCGTATCACAAAACGTGCGTAGACGAAATGCGAGTCGGCGATTGATGACTAAAATGGGAGGTTGTAGAACTTGTGGTGGTTAATCTTCGAGTGTTAGCAGTCACATACATACACACATACATATTAATTCTAATCAAATTACCAGAAACATGATATTTTTAATGATTGATTCAATATTCTCCCACTAACCTTTCTTATCCGCTTCCGTCTGGACCGGTGCCTCCTTCTCTTGAGGCGTGAGCAATTCCGGCAACATAGGAGAATCAATCCAGAGCCCCTGGGTATCCAGCTCGAAGTGGTACCTGTATTTAAACCATCAATAAATCCAACTAAACCAGGAAATAAAGAAGAAATAGAATAATGCTCTTTTGGCTAATGTTTCGTCTCTTTCTTTGCTGCTAAATTCTCAATTTATAGCTATGTGGTTCCGGCATAGAATAGGCCACCCCTACCTTTCCCTTAGGTGTGGTAAGAGGCGACTAAGGGAGAACAAGTGATGGGCAGCAGCGTCCCTCTTAAAACATCTCCAAAGCCTAACTGCAGTTGCCAATCCGCTTGCCAAGTGTTGCAACTACTGGCAAAACCTCTAAGGGGAGGCTTATGTTCAGCAGTGGACAGTTAAAGGCTGATATGATGGTAGACGTGACAATTTTTAATTCAGTTTTGAGTTTATCCATTATATACAAAAAATTAAATCTTGCCTTTTTTAAATATTAATTTAAAGGCCCATATCTTGTACAATAGATGTGTATTTTGTTAAATAAATTATTATTATTTTACCCGCATAAATGGAGGCTGACGTGCCGCCAGAGACATTCGCTCTCCTCCTGCATGGCTCCCTCGATCCATTCCTGCCGTTTGGCATCACTGTCTGACGATGTGTTGGTACTGTGGACAAGACGGTTACAAATGTTAGCATGGTAAAGGTGGCCCTGATGAATTAATAAACATAACGTTCAGATATTGTGTATGAGGCTGGTATACTTTTCTTTTTTTAATAGAATAGAATAGAATAGAATAGAAATCATTTATTCAAATAAACTTACATTGAAGCACTTTTGAAAAGTCATTACATTTTTTTTTAATCTACCGCTCGTTCGGAAAGCTGTCTCATCACAAGAAGAACGAGCAAGAAACTTGCGTGTTGCTCTTTTAAATAATTTTATTATTACTTTACATTTTCAAGTTTAATTGTGTGAATACAAACCACCAATTAGCACTAATTCAATTAAATACTCAAAAAGAAAAAAAATATTGAATACATAACCAACTGGTTAAACAATTAATAAGAGGAAATCAGTCATAGTGATTAGAGCAGACCAGTCCCTACAAGCAGCACCCGTTCACGAGTATGACGGATGAGCCAGCCATCACTGCGCTCGACCATATTTTAGGGAGCCCAATGACCCGGCCCACCACGCCGCCACAAGTCTGGACATTTTAGTGAGCATGACTACTCAAAACACTAGACCACGTCAAAGCTACTCACAATTGCCATCTGATAGTTATAGTATTCACATTTTACATAAGAATGCATGCGGCAATTAATACAAAAAACCGCTACGCTTTCATATTTCTAAAATTAATCAATTAAATCAAGAAAGCAATGAGAAAATAAAATTATAACGTTGTATGCTAATAAACTAATTATTTACTTGATATGTTGTCATCTATGAATTCGTCTATCCTGTAATAGGCTTTCTTACATAAAAATTGTTTAATATAAGATTTGAATTGCCTCTCTGTCAGATTTAATGCAGATTCCGGCAGTTTATTATAAAATCTTATGCAATTACCATAGAATGAATTACTGATTTTGTGCAGACGGCTTTTAGGTAAAATAAGCTTATTTATATTGCGTAAGTTTCTACTTGTACAGTCTTTGAGTTTTTTAAAACTCTCTAAGTTCTTCCGTGTATACATAATATTTTCATAAATGTATTGTGAAGTAACTGTGAGGATATTTGAGTCTTTAAAGCACTGACGTAATGACTCTCTTGAACCCATACCATAAATAGAACGTATGGCTCTCTTTTGTAAAACAAATATAGTATTTATATCGGCTGCTTTACCCCACAGCAGTATGCCATAAGACATTATGCTATGGAAATAACTAAAATATACAAGTTTAGCCGTTGCCACGTCTGTTAATTGTCTAATTCTTCTAATTGCATATGCAGCAGAACTGAGTCTACTGGCCAATTTTGAAATATGGGGCCCCCATTGTAATTTCGAGTCCACTGTTATACCTAAAAAAACTGTATCATTAACAAAATTTACTATTTCATCATTAAGCAATAACTGTGTATTTATTAGTCTTACATTAGGAAGTGTAAATTTTATACACTTTGTTTTGCTGGAATTTAATAATAGGTTATTACATGTAAACCAATTTAATATTGCAGACATAGCACAATTTACATCGTCTAATTGATTACTTTGACGTCCAATTTTAAACACTAACGAAGTATCATCCGCAAACAGCACTATATCTGCAATTTTCTCTACCATAAAGGGAAGGTCATTTATGTAGATTAAAAAGAGAAAGGGGCCTAAGATTGACCCTTGTGGAACGCCCATCTTAATATTAGCTCCCTTAGATTTTACACCGTCAATATCTACAGTTTGAACCCTATCCTCTAAATAAGTTCTCATTAATTTTAGATCATTATCTCTTATACCATAATGTTCGAGCTTGTACAAAAGCGTTTTATGATCCACACAATCAAATGCCTTTGATAGGTCACAAAAAACTCCGAGTGCATCCTGTGACCTCTCCCAAGATTCGAAAATATGTGTCACTAGCGCAACACCTGCGTCAGTGGTAGACTTGCCGGCGGTGAAACCATATTGCTGACTGTGAAGCAGTCCGTTAACCCTGAAGTGATGTAACATTTGATTTAACATTATCTTTTCAAACACCTTACTTAGAACTGGCAAAATAGATATAGGTCTATAGTTCCCTGGCTCAAATTTATCTCCTGATTTAAATAGTGGGATTAATTTGCTAAATTTCATTAAATGTGGAAAAACGCCATTATCAATACATTTATTAAAAATAGTGGCTAGATATGGAGCAACAATATCTATGAAAGAACTAACTACTTTTACAGACATGCCCCAAAGGTCTTCCGTATTTTTTAAATTTAGCTGTTTGAATATTTTTATGATATGAAAGGGGCTAACATGTGAAAATTTAAATCTTAAAGAACAACAACCGATATTAGTCTCTAGTAATTTTTTTGCTCGAGATTGAGATGAGTCCAGAGAAGATGTAATATCAATCGGAATATTAGCAAAAAAATCTTCAAAAATATTAACTACATCTTTTGTTGTTGATATTAATTTATTATCATAATTTAATGTAAATTGATTACAGGCTATTTTAGATCTTCCAGTTTCTTTATTTATAATGCTCCAGATGGTTTTAATTTTGTCAGAAGACTGCTTAATTTGTTTATTAAAATAATTAGACTTAGCCATAATACAAACTTTTTTAAAAATTTTAGAATAATTTTTTACATAAGTGGTGAATTTGTCATCAAATCGATATTTTTTTTGATCGTATAAATCAAACAAAATATTTCTACTTTTAAGTATTCCTACTGTTGCCCATTCCGTGAATTTAGATTTAACATGAACTTCTTTTTTCTTGAAAAATTGTTCATATTCTCCGGATAAAATATTAATTAGCTTGGTGTAAAGATAATCAGGATTATTACTAGATTGTAACAGCAAATCCAATTTATTTTTAATCGCGCTTTTGTATTTATTAATATTGTAAACGTTTATTTGTCTTTTTGATTTTTTATTATTGTTGACTTTATTGATTTGACTGCTAAACTTAACAACTTGACCACAGTGATCTGAAGGAAGTTTATTTATTATGAATTTTTCTGTATACTCGCAGTTACAAAAAACATTGTCAAGACAAGTAGCAGACGTGGCAGTTACACGAGTGGGTTCATGAAAGACATGACATAAATCAAACGACTGAAATAAACTAATAAATTTTGTACATGTGGGTGTGTTACAAAGAATATCAACGTTAAAATCTCCACATACAATAATTTTTTTAATACTATAATGGGTGAAGTATATAATGGGTGAAGATGGAATGGTAATCCCGTTAGCGATATTGGTATACACTGGCGGGGCACCAGTGAGATATGATAGGTAAGGATGAAAGCAGGTCAGTTGGCCCATAGTGATGAATTCATAAAAAAACAATCAAGATGCTTTCCAGGCCTGATAAGGTATATTGTTAGCAATGAGGTCTCTAGTCCCTTTACTAACAATCCCTTCCGTACCACCCCCCCCCCCGACTCTTTCACTTAGCCCTCTCTGACTGTCCTACAAGGGTCAAGGTTCAAAGACAGATATATACTTTATTGACTAATAAACACAAAAGAAAGACTTGAAAGCTAAACAAGATAGGACATAAGTATTAAGGAATTATGATATATAAAGTAAATAAGTAATTAATAGTGATATATTTATACTCATTCCAATAATTAAATAATAAAAAAAACATGTTTCTTGTTCATTTAAAATTTCAATTAGAACAGCTTACCAGAGGGAGAATGGCAAACAAGCTGACAGCCCACGTAATAGAAAGTGGTAACCGTCGCTTATAGACATGAGCAGTACTATGGACATAACAGAGTATACTGTTACGCCAATGATACCCCCCATGCATTGCCATTCCTGAGGACTCAGGTGTTATTCCTCTGTATCCAGTAAATTCACACCATATCCTACCCTTCAAACCGAAACACATGCAAACACAACGGCTTCATGGTTGAAACACGAATGGGACAGAGATACCCGAGCAATCGACTTTTGTACAAAGTCTAACTGATTTTCAAACCTAAACTAACTAATTTTGGTAATTCTTTTTGTAAATGATAGGGTTGGCACTTGAAAAAGAAGATCAATAGTGTCAATGTTAATATAAAAATTGGATGTAGGGTAGTCTTTCCAATTTTATCTAGGGGTGGGTAATATATAAGAACATCTATATATTTTGATTATAATATTTATATATTGACCAAATAATGAATATATTAAATATGTATTATCCAATATATGACCTGTATGTGACATTTCAAATTTAATAATGACCATTTTACCAACATCAATGTTGAAAGGAATGTAATATATAGATATTGGTGCAATACCAATATTATCGCATGCCTAAATTTATCTACCTAAAGAAATCTCTTAAATTATGTTTATTTTACCACATACAATCGCCAAGAGTAAAATTTACCACATATATATTGTCACAGTCGTAGAATACTGACGGATCTATATATGTAATATTTGACAGATCCGTCAGTATTCTACGACTATGACAATATATTTGGTATATTTTGAAACAACAATACTGCCCGTTTCAAAGCATTGTCTAAATATTATTACCCAACTCACAAGATTCCTTAAATGTATATTAAAAATAAAATTATAAGCTAAAAACTATATTTAAAGTGTGACTACAATTTATTATAAATGTAAGTATATACTGGTTTTCAGAATGAATTTATTGTAATAATAAAATAAAAGGTTAGTTACAGAAGTGTCTCTAAAAATTTTTAATGGCTTCTGAATCTACACTATAGTTAATTAGGATGTATTAAGATCAAGGTAAAAATTACATACAGCTATGAACTATGAAATACTGGATATCTATGTATGATAAATAGTTATCAAATATTTTGTATCCATTATTAATATTTAAAAAATAACACAGTCAATAAATTGAAAATTAATCAATCACAATAAATATTATAACCTTCTTGAGGAAATTAAAAAAAAGCGGGAAACTGCTATCTGGTGGGAAAGACGCCTAGAAACCATAAATATTGCTATTCAACCATTTTGCGTGAAACTCGTGTCTCGAGGTCACGCTACTTACGCCCTATGGAAAAAAAGGATGCAGGAACAATTCTCATAGGGAAAATAGGATGTAAACAGCTTACTTGTAAAAGGAGAAGCTGCAAACCACATCGTATTCCAAGTTGCAGCCCTCCACGACGCACTTTTGTGCCGTCATGATGGACCCCCTATAAAATAAGGCCACGCTATCTCACATACTTAAACTAAACCAAAAATATCACAACATAAGACTTAGCGCTAAAACTAACTTTCAAACAAACTAATTTGATGGATCTTTGGAAAATTATCAATCAAATGTCGAAAATGACGTGCTGTCACGAAAAGTCGAAAAATTTAACAAATGCCGTCAAAACCTATGCGTGCCATGAAATGGTGATGTAATTCTTCTCTATATTTTGCGATGGCAACACTGACATTCAATCATAGATTAAATTAAACATGCGATTATATATTCGAATGAAATAATTATCAATATTATTATGTATATTAATATTATCGTTAGTTCATAATGTTTCCTTTAATTCAATACAAAACATATTTAATTTTATAAATTAATTGCTGTATTGTTTATAAAGGTTGAGAATGGGACATAGAAACCGTGCAATAAATTTAAGGAAACTGTATATTTGGAAAGTAGATTATAAAGAAATTAAATGACAAACAATAATAGAAATAATCACTAGATATTATAAAATATTACATTTTTTTATATAAAAAGAAGATATACAAGAAAATAATTACCACTTGTTGTAGTGCCCATAAAATTTTTAACACAATAAAAAATGTATTAAAATAGTATTTAAAATCAACATAATTCTTTATTTTATTATGACTATTTAGTTTGCTTCTATCTTTCATATCAATTGTGCTATTTCTTTTATTCCTTTGATTTATTTAATACCATTCATTGTCATTATACATTGCGTCCATTTAAAATATAGTAGTATAAAATAAGTATACTATAATATTATTATTATATAAAATATAATAATAATATTATAGTAGTCCCTTCAAACTACTATAATATTATTACAATTACTTATAATGATACTGAAATATAATTAATAATGACTATCTGTAATAACAAAAATTTGAAATATGTATTTACTTTTTTTTCACTTACTATATATTTTGTTATAAGTTCACATGTTAATTACATTGATGTATAAATAAATGATATATAATAATTGATGTATTTACTTATAAAATATTGAGGCAACTTCGAATATGAATTCATCTAGATTATTAAAACGATTATTACAATTAAATAATATTCAAACATATATCGATTATCGAATTGTGTTGCTAGAGTTAAAATTCGAGCAGAGACAAACATTAATGTTTTTATTTCACAAGTGTATCATGAAGGTTAAATGAAATAATGTCCAAATTTAGTTATAATCAGACGATTCTACTATCTTAATTAGGACTATTTATATTTAACTCTCTTATTATTATTATTATTCATATTTATGTTTAATATATTTTATTAAATTAGTTTCCAATAAAAGGTTTATTCAGTGATAGCTATAGACAAAGCTGATGATGATACGCATTTTATCATTTATACTCAATGTACGTACATCCGGTAATTTTTATACATTCAGCTTATACTTTCAGTAGGTATACTGAACAAAATAAAAATAAAAAGCTACAATTTATAAATAGAAGTCTTTATAAAATAATGAATTAAGCTTAAGGTTGTCAAATGAATGATTGACAAGATGTTAAAGGTTGACAAATTGACATTGTCTGTCTCCAACTGTCCCTGTGTCAATTTTGATATGTTCGATATGAGGAAGTTGGCGTTATTTATGACATGTACTTACAGTTAGTGTATTATTTACATATTTACACGTATATTTTTACATGGGATTAACTTATTGGCCTCTACTTTGTACGCATTGATTTTAGAAGTAGGGAAAGCAATGAAAGCCACTTTTAGTTTGCGTATCAAGATTATGAGTAATCCGATTAATATAAACAAAATAAAATTTAGTTAAAAAGGAAACAGTTGAAGAAAAATAATAGATGATGAGTTCAGAAAATGCTTTAATACGTCAATTCAATTCCTTAAGAGAGAACATCAAGAAAATATTCGAATTATTTGTCATTGACAGAAAAATAAAATAACGAAATATAAAGAGGTTTCACGACAAAGATGAAACATTTAGATTTTTAATTTTGGATCTTTAGGAACACAACGACAACAACCGCATCCAATTTGATGCAGTAGTTTTTGCGTAACACCGAAGCGGACAAAATTTCGAAACAATATTGTTTTGACATCTATTGATTTTATTAGAACACCTTAAAACCTTAAACGATTCATAGATAGAGCTAGGAGTCGTATGATATTGACATTAAGCACAAATTACTAGTATTACTCTTAAAACAAGGTGGTTAGGGGGAAGGGATTGTTAGTAATGGGGAGTTTAGTCCCCATTGCAATCAATATACCCTATCAGGTCGACCTCCACGCGGTTTCCCCTGGAAACTATCGTGACCAATTTATCATTGAATTCGTCACAATGGGCTAACTGACCTGCTTTTTCATCCTCACCTATCACCGCTCTCTGGTACCCCGCTAGTGTATACCGATAGCGCAGGCGGGGTAACCATTCCATTTGTGGGGAAAGGGATTGTTAGTAATGGAGACTGAGAATCCCATTGCTAGCAATATACCCAAACAGATCGACCTCCTCGCGGTTCCCCCTGTAAACTATCATGGTTAATTCCTGATGAATTCATCATGATGGGCTAACTGACCTGTTTTCATTCTCATCTATCACCCTTCACTGGTGCTTCGCCAGCGTATCTTGTTAGCGCAGGCGGGGTTACCATACCATTTTCACCCATCAAAAAAAACATTCCATTTTCAGGCATAAAAAAAACGGTGGTTTTATAGTAGGTAGGTCTTCCTTTAGTTCACTGTCGAGCGTTAGTGACTTTACATTATATTATTTTTTTTTTTTAAATATGTTCCTTGTGTTTAAATACGTTACCTGTTATAATATTTTATTAAAACAATAAGATACCTGAGTATAATACCAGAAAGATACCAATTTGCATCTTTATGTTTTTTTTAATGGATGACAAGGGAACGGTAACGCCTGTGCTATTGGTATGCGCTGGCGAGCCACCAGTGAAGGATGACAGATGAGAATAAAAAGACATGTCAGTTAGTCCATCGTGATGAATACATCTGGAATTCAGCACGATGATTTCCAGAGGGGACTACGTGGAGGTCGACCTGACAGGGCATATTGCTAGCAATGGGACTGGCAGTCCGCATTGCTAATAATCTATTTCCCCCTGAGTATGTTATGTCTCCGTATCTTGTATTGTCACTGTCATATCTCCCTCTTCAAGCCTAAACATAACCACGCACACATAGTCAGTGGCGGACTATGCCCGGCAGAGGCCTGGGACAGCAAAACTGAATAAGGCCTCCAGCTTGAGAAATGATGTAGTGGGGACTAACCTCCCCAATACTAACGATCCCTTCCCCCTGTATCCTTATGCTGTACTATGTCTATGTTTTGGCTGCTTGCTTGCTTTGTAGCAATCACTGTGCCCTCAGAGCCATTGTTTTGATCCAATGTACTTTATCAGGTCGACCTCCACGCGGTTCCTCTGGTAACCGTCATAGTTAATTCATGGGAAATTGTCATGATAAGCCAAATTGTCTGGCTTCATTCCTATTATCACTGGTGTCCCACCGGTCTATACCGATAGTGTCGGCGGGGTTACAATTCCATTATCACCCATCAACCTACTGATCAGGCATCCCGCGTTCTCCGCATGCAATATCTACTAGTTTAATTTTACGCAACCCTCGATTTTGATTTTTCGATTTTTTTATGTTTATTAACGTTGTTATCCCGCGATTTTTGTTTTGCTAGATCGATATTGTTTCTCAGTATCTCGCTAGATGGCTGTACACTCGTACTGCTTATTACGTAATTTACAATGGTACCCTGCACTTTGACTGGATGGACTGGCTGAAAACCAGCGCTGTGCAGCTGTTGACATTATGCTGGGACACTCACAGCATCAGCTGAGCCGTTTCCTTTTACCTAGTATGGGACACTTTTTGCATATTTTATCTATATTTTATATTGTAATTGTATGGTAATGAATGTTTCTATTCTGTTCTTCTGCTATTTGTTGTCAAAGCAAAGGGTGGGGGGGGGGGGAGAGAAATAAAGCGGGAAAAAAATTGACGGTCAGAGGATTAAAAAAAAACTTACAGGGAACTTATTGGGGGGATATTAAATTAAATAACATCATTGTTTTTTTATTATTAATTTATTTATCAATATAATAATATTACGTCTATAGTGTATAACTTACAGCCATAAGGATCGCCGGCAACGAAAGCGCCCGATGTGCCGGGTCAGCAATTTGTATTTTGTGAAAACGAGAAATCAATAAAACATACACCAATTTTCACAGAGCGCAACATGTCGGGGGCACGTCCGTAGCGGCCATCGAGAAAGTACGCGTGAAATCATCCTTTTTATACGCCTATTACTATTAAACACCTACGAATTACTATAATTACAACAACCAATTTTTTTTTTATAATCCAAAAAAGAAAATTACCTTCAAATTATAAAATGAAAAAAAAAAAAAAAAACAACTTCTATCGAGTGTAACCTAACCTATGATACACTTAACAGCATTTTTTTTTGTAAGTTTTCGTCAATACATGATCCTAGTTTATTTTGTATGTGCATTACACAAGCTTTCCTCTACTTTGGCGTACTTAATAATAGATTGCAACAATCGTCACGGATTAAATTAAAGAAAAAAAAAAAACTTAACAATAACACAATTCTCATATGTTGTCATTTGTGACGTCACATCCTCAAAATCTATGCATTTAAGAGTTCCCTGTTGTCGGTGCAACCAATTCATGCATCTTCCTCCAGCCAGCTCTATCCCAGGCCATATCCTTGATCTCCCTATACGACATGAATCTATGCAGGTCTAATGAAATTAATAGTTTAAATCAATGAAAATTCATTAACACTTCAATTTATTTTACGCTCTATTAAGCTCTAAAGATCATATAGTTCTAGATGGAGAGTCTCTATAAAAACGCTTTGCCAAAAACAGTATTGTTTTGGTAATATATGTGCCAATAGGGATACCAGAATATAAAATTAGTGTTTTGGAAGTGGCAGAAATATGTATTACAAGTTTAAATTAAAAAAAAAAAAAACAATACAATAAGTAAACTGCGTATCAAGATTCAGACATAATATTTTCATTGATTAGTTTTCTATGTTTTTAATATTTGAAATTGACATAAAATATGTGCACCTTGACAGAATCTTTGTAAGCGGTGGCTATTTTTAATAATTAATGTATACAATACTTTTGTTATATGAAAAAACAGTCAATTCTTATTAAACAAATAGTTTAATATGAGGAACATTTGTATTAAATTACTTACAGCATTAAACATTGGCGAACTTTGTTTTGTTTTAAAAGAAATTGCCAAAAAATTACTGTACGCTACCCGTTTATAGAATGTTATGGACATTCGAGCCATCTAGACATATATGATCCATGTCTAGTCAGAATTGTTATATAAATACAATCAATACAATATTTGTGTGGTATCGACAGAAAAAATGGAGCATTTATAATGTAGTAGAGCAAAAAGTGTAGCAAATTTTTACATTAACATATTTAAATTGCAGCGTGTGAATCAATCACAAATTTTTAAATAATTCAAATGTTTATATAACATTATTTTATTATTTTTATTTTAAATCCAGTTATGGAAATAATAAGAAACTATTAAATGGTCATGATTCGAGAAAGAAAGTTATAAGTTAATTATAAACAAAAAAAGAAAATTGTCTATGTCTGAAGATTATAAAAAAAAAAATCACAATGTAATTTCACATATGGCAAGATTAGTCAATTAAAACAATGTTTGCAGAGTATTTTGAAAATGTGACGTCAACGGCTCTCGATCGCTTCGTACCATGTCTAATGAAACTATGGTTAACTTTAAATCGTTCTAATAATAAATTTACGGGACGGTTATATTAACTTAATGTAATTGGACGCACATATTCGTCCAAGCTATAGATTTATATTATAATAATGGATAATTAAAATTAAAATATGCTGGTAATTTTATTAAAAAAAAAAAATAGGTATGCCGAAAAAAAAATAAGTATAATTACGATACACAGATTCAATTATTTCAAATTCATTTCGAGGTTAAATCTCGCCTATTAAAATTCTATTAAACAAGAGAGACAGAAACATGCGTCCAATACTTAAATGAACTTGTAAGATATGATAGATACAGTCAAATATTATTATTATTAATAATAATAGGTTATCAGAACTTTCAAAATCATTCTATTTTATTGAATTCAAATTTGGAATATTCGGATTTCACTTGTTTCAACGCATATCTGACAACCGTAAGATTGTAAATGTCAAATTTGATAAACATGTGACTAGTCCAAAGTTAATTTGACATAAGTGTTGCCATTTTATAGATCCAAAATTGACACTGACAATCTTCAAGGTTGGTTTGACACAGAAATCGATTTATTTTATAAAATTAAATACGTTAAATGCGAAATTCTGACGATTTTAATAATCATTCATTAGAATTGAGATTTCTTGGATTATTAAAAAAAATTACGATATCTTCTGAATATTAGGTATATAAAACCATATATACGATTTCTATGTCAAAAAGAATTACAAATTAGCATTTAGGAACTATTTTATATTCAGAAGCGACCTAAGCGTGTAGATATTATTTTTTTATTTTTATTTTATTCTAATAGTTACGAAATAAACGCGCCTCGTGCTGGTATGGTGATTGAAGAATAGAACGTTCTTTTTAATTTTACGCATTCCAATATCAAGTATGGAAGTTACAAAATTAAATTGGAATAATAGAGTTTATACAATGTATAATTTAAGCAAAATTTGGAAATAGTTACATTCTATTAAAAAAGACCAACATAAATAAAAGACTAGGCGTCTTTTTGTTTTTAAAAACTACTCCTTTTATTCCAAAATGGTAAGTATGCGATTTTTTTTTAATCAACTTTAGAGTATAATATATTATTTGAAAACTTCACTCACATGCCAGCACTAAAGCGCGCTGTTTAAAAATAAAAAGCACACTTAAAATTACGAAACTAAAGAATTATACCGACTCATGTTAATCTGCTTTATATTTAGTAATATACAGTTATACATAAGAAATAAAATAATGTCTTTATCCAAATTGAACGTAAATCCCACTAAAACATTTCAAAGACAACATGCCATAGTCTGACAAATTTTAACTTCATCTAAAATGCGCGCGAAATTGATAAAAAATAGCGGGAATAAATCCACCATTTTTTTTTTTTTTTTTTTAGTAGACACAGGCCAATTAGGCTAAATCATGAACACAATAATGCTTACATTCACGACTAAATCTATTAAGTCGATAAATGACTTGGGCATTTTAATCATGACGAATTTTAATGTCTTTAAAATAATTTTCGCGTGATAACAATATAGAGCTGCTTATACCTATTCTCTATTTACATATTTGAGTACTTAAAATTTTTATTATTTAAACAATTACGACTAATAAAATTTAAGGCATTTGCAAATGTCAATATTTGTTTTAAAAAGAAAATAGGTTGTAGGGTTGTCGCATAATAGATTTTTTGTTACTATTTCAGTACAGTCGGCTCTAATTTTCTATGTAGTTTAGACATAATATTATATATATATAAGGGTTCTTATATAATCGATGCTGACACTAAAATAATAAGCGATCACCCTAGATAAAACATAATGGCCCCTTAATATTTATTTTCGAAGCTAAATAAGCAATTGTTTCTTGCTTAGCAAATATCGTCTTTAATCCAAAGAAAATATTGCCCATTTAAGAAACTACGAATTACAGCTAGTAAATTCATTTTTTTTTTGACAATTTTTGCAAATTTTTAACACACTTCATTCGATACTTATTACACCAATCGTGGTGACGAACTTTCATTTTAAGAATAGAGAAGAATGATATTAAAAAATTCAATTTGGATAAAACATTTCATCATCATCATCGAGTCACATCACAATCACAAGTCTCCATTTTTTCCGCACATAAAAAAAAAAACAAACATTGAGCAAGTTAGTAATTTTTACATATGACCTTTTACACCGAACTTCAGGTTGTTAAGTTTAAGCTCCAACAACACAATCAATATATTGCAGAGTTTCGATTTGTGAACCGATATAGCAATCATGCTGTTACGCTCTTAAACTAGAATAGGAATCATTAAGAATAACATTTAGAATGTTGACAATGGTAAAGGTAAAAATATATTTAAAAATAGTAAGACGACAAAAAAAAAATTATCGCAAAAGACGACACAACGGCGTCAAGTAGAGTATAGGTGTCATAGATACTTAACATATTGTGTCTTGTCTGTGGGTTTCCAAAATAAAAAAAAAAAAAAAAGAATAAAAACAAACGACACATCTTCATACAATATACAAATTGGAACTATTTACAATTTTTACATTATAGAGAAGACTGACAAACGATTCACAATAATCATATAAATATTATATCACCTAAGTATAAAATTCGAAAAAGAAAAAAAATGTATTACTCGACAAAGTTAATATGCGAGTACTTCCCCAATATAGGAAACCCATTTGGAATTACATAATATTAATTAAAACACATATCGGACATTTAAAAATCATTTCTATAAAATTATATCCGAAACATGTATTTGGTGATAGTTTTTGTTCGAGTCCAATGCCAATGTTACCTTTACAACTGTCATATTCCCAACTGTACAAGGAAGAGTATTACCAAAATGTGTGCTCATGCTTGTGTCATCCGAATAACGTGGCAGTATAGAGAGGGCAGACCCGAACAGATGTAGATTATCACAGTGAGATATTTTCATAAATAATTCACAATGAATTTATGGTAACTGTCACCTATAGACATGAACAATTTTTGAGCGCGACAATACCGAAGTTGTTCAAAGTACTACCACAATACTGTAAAACGTCGTTCGTCGTCGATCGCGGATATTTCTGATGTGTTGCCATTACTTGCAAGCGATCTTATTGCTCTACATGGCCGCGAAAAAGAGTTCTGGAATTGCCCTAAAATTGATCCCTCTTGCATATATAAATGTTCGTTTATATTCACATTTCCTTATGGGCAACTTTTTATAGAAATTGAGATCGATTTTATTTTCTATATGTATTTTTTTTTTTTTGTAATAACATGCATCTTTTGGGGTCTGCAAAAAAAAAAAAACTAAAAACATTTGTCAAGTACATCCAGATATCAAAACGATTCACATAACACTTTAATTCATTTTTTTTTAATCAATTCTTTACATTTTAAACGTGCATTTAGCCAGTCTTTCTGACGATTTACATTTTCGAAGAACTATGTCGTCATCGCTAATATCAATTTGACTACCTGAAAAATATTAACATCTGTACACATTTTCGTTTCTAAAGAATATTAAATACAATACGCGCGTATGGGTCACCATATATTTGCGTCAACGTAAAATATATGCGATCTCGCGCTATAGCGATCGATTTCTGAATAACATATATTCGAATTTCAAAAAGCATAAAAGCTTAAATTATCGATCGACAATTTTGTTAACTTTTATGTCGACGCAAATATACGCGAAATCAACTTCTCTCCTAAAAAATCCGAGAATTCTAACTTTCGTCATTAATCAACGATCGTAGTCTAGCCCCGGATATCTAGAAAAAGAACGACTAAAAACCGGCACTAGAGGAGAGATCCGAAAACTGAAATCTGAAAAACCGCAGCACCACTTGTGATATAAAAAAAAAGTGTTGCCACTTGAAAAAAACTAACCTACAAGCGATAACTAAGAAAAAAAAAACCTTAATTAATTATTCTTTTTTATCTTTTTCGTTATATATTATTAATTATCCTACGAAAACGAATACCTATTAAAAACGAATTGTCTATCTCTCATGACTGAATTTCGGTTGATACATGTCAAAAATATATATATATATATATAAATATTTAGTAGTAGTTATAATTTAAGGTTACATGCTAGAAGCCATTAGTCAGACGCCTCGTGATGACTTGTTGCGTAGCATTGCTTATTGTCGTTGCGTACAAGCTGCAAAAAAAAAAAAAAAATTAGTGTTACTATTCCCATTCGTGTTTCGACCGTGAAGCAGTTGTGTTTGCATGGCTGTGTTTCGGTTTGAAGGGTGGGATATGGCAGTGAATTTACACGGTACAGAGGAATAACACCTGAGTCCTCAGGGATGGCAACGCATGGGGGGCATCATGGGCGAAACAGTATACGCTGTTATGTCCATAGTACTGCTCATGTCTATAGGCGACGGTTACCACTTTCCATCAGGTGGGCCGTCAGCTTGTTTGCCATTCTAAGTTGTATAAAAAAAAACTATAGACATAGATAGGATAGTTTGTTCATAGGGTCTAAATTACTACCACCAAATATTTCCATTTAGGGACTTAAAATTAAAATCTGGACAGTCAATTAACTGTATTGAAATTCATTTACAGTCAAAAATTTACATGCAATGTACATATACATGAGGAATTTATTTAAATCTACAAAAATACTATATTACTCTAGCCAGCCAGGCACGACCCAGTTGGCCAGAATAATAGGCTATATCCTTTTACATAATATGGTAGATACAATGCTGGATATGACCAGTTGTAGAAAGTTTACATTATGACCTTTGTAACTGCAGCATGAAACAGCAAAAAAAAAAAAAAAACTGATGGCTTATTTGATATTCATGTCTAACGACCTCATTATTACTAATATACCCTATCAGGGGGAAGGGATTGTTAATAATGGGATCTAAAAGCCCCATTACTAACTACATACCCTATTAAGTCGACCTCCACGTGGTTCTCCCTGGAAACCATTGTGGTTAGTTCTTGTGAAATTCATCACGATGGGCTAACTGACCTGCTTTCATCCTCACCTGTCATCTCTTACGAGTGTCCCGCCAGCGTATACCGATAGCGCAGGCGAGGTAACCATTCCATTATCATCCATAAAAAAAATACCCTATCAGGTCGACCTACACACGGTTTCCTCTGAAAACCGTTATGGTTAATTCTTGTTCAATTCATCACGATGAGCTAACTCACCTGCCTTCATCTTCACCTATCAATATCATGGGGTTGTCATTTCTCACAACCATTTATATTTATTAAAGAATAACCATCGCCTTATACAAATAATATACGCCATATTATAAAAGTAAACTTAAATGAAAGTAATTTATAAAAAAAAAGCTTAAAAAAAATAAACATAAAACTGAAAACCATCTTAATTTTGAAGTCACTTAAAACGACATTATAAAAAAAAAAACATCTAAAGTCAACTCACCTAGGCTCCGTATATTATATGCCTGCAATCCAGAGTCCGTCCCCATTCAAAATGGCCGGTAAACACCGGTACAAACCAGTTCGCACCGGTCGCAACCAGTCACAAAATACACACCGGACAGAAAAAAAAAACACTAAAACGTCTTGCAGTGTCCGTCAGCACTATTTTCTCGTTATGTATACATATATATATATATATAAAAAAAATGCATTTAATTTTTTATTTTTAAAACTAGGTTAAGTAACACACGTTCGCGTCGAGTCTATATACACTGCTGTATTGCTGTGCTGGGCGGTCACTGCGCACGCGCTGCGACCGGTTTTAGTTCAGTTGAGGGTACGGCTTCTGGGTTTTTGGGCGGCGCTGTAACAAACATTATTATTACATTTTCTGTTAAAATTCTGATCATCTTTGAAAGGAATGGAAAGTATCATGGGCAAAACAGTATAATCTGTTATGTCCATGGTACTGCTCATGTCTATCCATTCGAGTCTCAACCGTGAAGCAGCTGCGTTTGCATGGCTATGTTACAAGGTATAAAGGAATAATATCTGAGTCCTAAGGAATGGTAACGCATTTACAGGTGAAACAGTATACTCTGTTATGTGCATGGTACTACTCATGTCTATAGGCGACGGTTACCACTTTCCATAAGGTGAACAGTCAGTTTGTTTGCCATTCTAAGTTGCATAAAAAAAATAATAATAAATAAAAATATCCTTGTTTAGAAGCAGTTTTAAATAGTCATTATTTTCATAAAAAAGCCCGCAAGAAACTAAACAGTTACTCTTTTAAATCTCTGTTAACATTACGTGTACTTATTTAAATGTACTATGTCTAAAATTACATGGTCGTTAAAAGCCCGTGCATGATCGACTAGTTTGGTGTATAAGTGTAGAGGCGTCTCACCGAAGCGACGACACTTTGTGCGCCGCAGGAGCCGGCGCGGCCGCGGCTGTCCTTGTGTCCGGCGGCGGCACCGCCCGCGGCCGTCCCGCTGCTGCTGCTCGACGCGGCGGCGGCCCGGCTGCACAACATCGCAAACACATAAAACATGGTGTTTTACTACAGCCTCGCTAATATTATAAACGTGGAAATGACTTTAAAGGATTTATCGATCAATGTGAAAGAACTATGACGTTCTATCTTAATTAAAAGAATTATTATTCTTAATAAATTAATAATATAATTAAATATATAAATAAAGTTAAATACTACAAAGGATTATTGAATCCTGATAATATTTGTAGTTACGACCTTCACCTTTTTTACTTAATATAAAATAATAATTTTTAATCTGGTAACCCTATCACGTGCACAATTGTATCAAAAAATTGACCCGCTTTTTTCGAAGTATTCATATAGAGACACTATGTATATATTTTAATATTTACTTTAATAAACTTATAAAATACTTATGTTTTTAAATTATTTAATATAGCCGCCATTTTAAATTTTTATTATTACATGTATATTAATTTGTAAGCAATATGAACAAATTTACTTAATATCAGCAGAAATAGTTCTAAATTCAAGTTGAAAATTGTTCAAAAAATTACTTTGTGTGATGGAAGTTTTTAGTCCAATTACTTGCAATACCAAAAAAATGGTACGTTTTGGTTTGATTTACATTTAAAAAAATTGTGTCAGCCAAATATCTATTTAGCTGACTAAATCTTGAGAAGTTATTCCCCACTCGATGCTCTATGTATATAACTTATATCCTACTCCTTACCTTCCAGGGAGAAAAATTAGGAAAAAGGGAATTTTGCCTATATAAGTGGAAATAGCCAACATATCGAGGGGGGAGGGGATTTTATGCGATCTACCATTCCCATTGCTAGCAATATATCAAGTCGACCTCTACTACGGCACCCCGCCCTGGAAACCATCGTGCTAAATTCCAGGTGTATTCATCACGATGGGCTAACTGATTTGCCTCTTTATTCTCACCTTTGATCGCTCACTGGTGTCCAGCCAGCATATATTGATAGCACGGGCGGGGTTACCATTTCAGTGTCATCCATTAAAAACAAAAAATCTCATCATCATGGTGGTCTCGAGACCCGCCGAATTGGAAGGGCGGGCGAGGTAGGAGCGTCGGGAATCCAATTACCCCGGCATTTTCTCCGGAGGCTTCAGCATCCAAGTGGCTAGGTTTAAAGCCGATATACATGGATATTGTGTGTATGTCGGCATGGTGTGTTTTGTGTTAGGTATATTTTTTTTTTAATGGGTGAAAATGGAATGGTAACCCCGCCTGCGCTAACGGGATACGCTGGCGGAGCACCAGTGAAAGGTGATAGATGAGAATGAAAACAGGCCAGTTAGCCCATCATGATGAATTCATCTGGAACTAACCATGATAGTTTCCAGTTACCGCGAGGAGGTCGACCTGATAAGGTATATTGCTAGCAATGGGATTCTCAGTCTCCACTACTAACAATCCCTTTCCCCCCCCTGCGCTAGGTATTTGTTTTCTATGGTGGCTGCGGAGTGGATAGTCGCTCGCCTCTCCGAGTTGTGTGTATTGCGTTTCCAATAAATGTATGCATACCAGAAGTGGTTGTTGTGGGCGGCGGTGAGGGCGCGGTCGCTTTCCGAGACGGAGCGCGTGCGCGGGCCGGCCGCCGCCGCCGGGCTCGCCAGCAGCTCGTGCAGCTGCGGCTGCGGACGACACGCCTCGCATTACACTCACACGACACAACAACACCACGTCACAAACAAGATAGGGTTCTTCAAAAGGGGGGTAAAGAGGTTTCTTCAGGGTCGGCAACGCGCGCGTAATACCTCTGGCATTGCAGGCGTTCATAGGCTACGGTAACCGCTCACCATCAGGTGGGCCGTATGCTTGTTTGTTACCTCAGTGGTATAAAAAAGAAAGCTAACGCCCCGTCTCACTCTATAACGTCTATATACATATGGATGCCTACGGGTGTCATGTGCAGTGCTAACCCTTCAGGGAACCAGACTGATTACAGAGCACAGAGGTATAACACCTTATACCTCAAGAATGGCAACGTATAAGGCGGTATCATGGGCGAAACAGTACACTCTGTTATGTCCATGGTACTGCTCATGTCTATAGGCGGCGGTTACCACTTTCCATCAGGTGGCCCGCAGCTTGTTTGCCATTCAAATTTGCATAAAAAAAATACAAAAATTCTAATTTATCCCCACATTATAATGTTTATTTTAGAATAATCATTTAGTAAGTTTACGAGACTGAAGGTAGAGGATGACGCTCCAATATGTGTGAACTCACCTCCAGCACGCGAAAGTCTTCGATACTATTGAACTTGGAGAGGTAACCGTCCAGTTTGGGCTCCACCTGCAGCTCGGACGCGTGCTTGTAGTACTTGAGGAACGCCCAGAACTTCTCCAGTCCGTACAGCTGACCTGCAACGTATAGCAATGTCAGATTTTGCTCTACTCTATTTGAACACACATTTATTAATTAATATGCATATAAAATAAATATAGAATAAGTATATTGAATAATTAAACAATGTTACTTCAAATATGTTGCCAAAAAAGATTTATATGTGATGTTCTAGAGGTCAAAATATGTCGAGTTCGGATGGAAACATACAATCTTATACATATGTGGGTATATTGCAAATAGAGGTTTGTTTGAATCGAAGCATTTGGCGTTCCATTGTTTCTGCCTACCCTAATGGCAGACAGGCGTGACAGATATGTATGTATGTATGTATGTAAATAGATAAAAATATCGTATGTACCACACGTTATTGATTGATATGCGAATTTGAAACTTGTCATCACAAAGTGTTCAATAAAAACGTTTGTTTGCATGAGAAGCTACAACATGTTAGGATCGACACGTTCAAACCAGAAATCGTTCAAAACAGTCTATCATTTTACTAATTAATATTAACTAATTAATGTTTTTGTTATTTACTTAATTTTCTCGCACTGTATAACTATGTTAAAGTGAATGCTGTGAATACCTATAATAGGCGTGTACATTAATATTGTATTGTATTTAATGTTTGTTATACCTATATGTTATAATGCAATATGCTGTTGGTATTCCTTAAATAAATAAATAATAAAATAAATAACTATACTTTTATAATTACAACCATTTGCGACAACGGAGCAAAATGTCTAGTGCTAGTAGTATGTTCATAAAATTGGGTCCTGTTTTTAATATTTTATTCTTCAGTTATTATATTTACATTTTAAATATACGTTTTTAAAACTTACCTTTTTCGTAGTCAGCTATCGTCTCCGTCTGGAAGTCCTGGTACAACTCCGGGCGGAACTTCCTCTCGAGACCGTAGGAGTAGAATCTGAAGAGGCACTCGAGACCGTACCGGAAGCCTGCGGCAGCGTCTTCATTCGCCAAGGTCCTGGAATGAACCACTCCATCAATACACCGGACGTTATTCATGTAACTTCTGGACAGGTAACGGCTGATATAATGTATGTATATGCAGAAAGTGTGGTCCCGTAATAGAATAGGCCACCGCTTCCTTTCCTGTGGGTGTCGTAAGGCGACTAGGGGATTTCAAGGTCGAAGGATTGGCAGTAGCGTCTTTCTTTAAACATCACCAAGAACAAATAGTGGTTGCCAATCCTCCTCATAAGGGAGTCTTCTCCTTCAAGCCCCCAATAAGGGAAGTCCTATGTCCAACAGTGGACCGTTGACATGATGATATGCAAGGAATCAGTGGAAGCATAGAACCATTACTTATGGCAGTCTATGGGTGAGGCCCATTTTTATCAGTGGACAGATAATAATTAATTCACTCTTGCGCCACCTGCCCACTTCTTTTCTGTTCCCCTTTAACCAAGGGTTGTCTGTAAGAGATTGCGCTAGCGATAAGACCGCCTTTTGTATCTTTATAGGTATATTTTAACCTGTACTTTATGCTACTGTATTTCAGTTGAATTGTTTATATGTCATTGTTTATTTTTATGTTTTTGGTGTAATAAAGAGTTAAAGATAAATGATGATGACGATGACCCGAGAGCACTCACCTGAACTCGTTGTACATGGTGCGATTGAAGTGGTCCCTCAGAAAGAAAGACCAGAACCTGAATAGAGTGTTCATCTCTTGGGACTGGCCGATACCGAGCTTCTTGCGTTCTGTAACCATTACAATAATTAATATTACGTTGACAATCCTGGCGGTGGTTCAGGAACACCTTCCTTGGGGCGTTATTTATGCGGACTACTAGTCTCATTGTTAGGTCGACCTCCACGTGGTCCCACCTGGAAACCATGGTGCTGAATTGCAGGTGTATTTTTTTTAATGGATAATAATGAAATGGTAACCCCGTCTGCGCTATCGGCATACACTGGCGGGGCACCAATGAGGGATGATAGGTGAGGATGAAGCAGGTCAGTCAGCCCACTGTGACAAATCTAACAATAAATCAATCAAGATGGTTTCCAGGGGGAACCAAGAGGAGGTCGACCCGACAGGGTATATTGCCAGCAATGGGACTACTAATCCCCATTACTAACAATCCCCTTTCCCCCCATTTCATTGCAGGTGTATTTATCACTATGGGTTAACCGACCTGGCTGTTCATCCTCACCTATCCATCCCTCACTGTTACCCCGCCAATGTATACCGTTAGGGCAAGCGGAATTACAGTTTTATTATCATCCATTAAAAAAAAAAAAACTCCTTTCTATGCTTACGGGTTCGATTTCCGCAAAATATAAACCTTCCTATTCTTTATTGTACACAAAAGGTTATTGAAATGTAAAAACAAACATAATAGTGCACAGAGGCGAGCTTATCTCCAATAGAGATTCCTTCCAACAAAGCCAATATGAGAAAACTGACAGTTCATTAGTAGTTACAGTCGTACATGTGTACCGATCGACTTAAATGTTATAGTTAAAAATAAATAAATAATATTCATGGGTGGATATTTTTACTAATATGTTCTCTATATGTTCTTATTAAAACCACAATAGCAAATAATCCGACAGACTATTTAATACACATTGGTAACTGTAGCCTATACACATTAAAATGTGGCCCACGAATAGAATAGGCCACCCCTCCATTTCTCATGGGTGTCGTAAGAGGCGACTGAGGGAGGGCGACGGATAGGCAGCAGTGTCCTCTTAAAAAATCTCCAAAGCCTAACAGCGGTTGCCAATCCGCCTCTCAACCGTGGCAAATACTAGCAAAACCCCCCAAGGGGGAGGCTTATGTTCAGCAGTGGTCAGTTAAGGGCTTTTTTTTTTTGTCGAGTGAAAATGGAATGGTAACCCCGCCTGCGCTAATGGTATACGCTGACGGAGCACCAGTGAAGGGTGATCGATGAGAATGAAAACAGGTCAGTTGGCCCATCATGATGAATTCATCAGGAATTAACCATGATAGTTTCCAGGGGAACCGCGAGGAGGTCGACCTGGTTGGGTATATTGCTAGCAATGGGATTCTCAGTCTCCATTACTGACAATCCCTTTCCCCCAGTCAGTTAAGGGCTGATACGATGATAATGAATAAATAAATAACAACAGTATGTATATAGGAGCGGGTGGTTACCTTTGAGACAGCGCGAGTGGTACTTGTGGTAGGCCTGCTGCGTGAAGTGGTTCTCGCGCAGCAGCCCGTGACTGGGGTGCTGGAAGGCGGGCAGCGACTGCGGCACCGAGCCGCACGACGAGCCCAGCGTCGGCGACGTGCCCAGCGACGACCTGCCACCCAAAAACACTCTCATTATACGTGAACAACATCAGAAATTATTGGCGACTTTGTGTATTGATCATGTGCTGTGTGTGTATGAATTAGGAATGTTCTTTTTTATGCAACTTGGAATGGCAAACAAGCTGACGGGCCACATGATGGAAAGTGGTAACAGTCTCCTATACACATGAGCAGTACCATAGACATAACAGAGTGTACTGTGTTGCCCACGATATCCTTCATGCGTTGCCATTCCTGAGGGCTAAGGTATTATGCCTCTGTACCCTGTAATTTCACTGCCATATCTCACCCTTCAAATCGAAACATAGCCATGCAAACACACTTGTTTTATGGCTGTTTCGCCCATGATACCGCCCATGCGTTGCCATTCCTGAGGACTCGGGTAATATTTCTTTGTACCCTGTAAATTCACTGCCATATCCGACCCTTCAAACTGAAACACAGTTAAGCAAATACAACTGCTTTACGGTTGAAACATGGATAGGACAATGGTACCGAAGCAAATAACTTTTGTACAAAGTCTGCCTCTGGTAATCTGTTGTATGTTCTCCAGGACTACGCTGTATGAGTTTGTGCCGTGTATAAACTCACCCAGTGCTATGTGTCCGAGGTCGGTGCTCACGAACGTCCATGATCCAGCCCACATGGTGCTCCACCGGTGGGTTGAGGCTGTGCCGCGTCTTGTGTTTCCTGCTAGTGCTGCAACAGAAACCTACCGTCATTACACTGTCTATACTTGGTAATAAACTATAGACGGGGATATACAAAAGATAATATTTGGCCAATGCTGTTGTACTATAGTATTTATAGTAATAAACCATTCAATTCTCAGCTGTCACACTTTGGTCCCATAACGTAGTGTACATTACTGGGGTACTTTTTCACCCTAATTGAAAAAAAATCTATATGGCAAGTGGAATTTGTTATAATATAATACAAATTTTTATACAACTTAGAATGGCAAACAAGCTGACGGCCCACCTGATGGAAAGTGGTAACCATCGTCTATAGACATGAGCAGTACCATGCTCATAACAGAGTATACTATTTGCCCATGATACCCTCAATGCGTTGTCATTCTTGAGGACTCAGGTGTTAATCCTCTGTACCCAGTAAATTCACGCCATATCCCACCCTTCATACTGAAACACAGCCATGCAAACACAACTGCTTCACGGTTGAAACACGAATGGAACAGAGGTACCCAAGCAATCCACTTTTGTACAAAGTCTCTCTCTAGTAATATAAACATCACAGTAGCATTAATATCTCTAGTATATGGACTAATCCGGATTGAAGTACCTTAAAATGAATGAAATCCGGCATTATAATAACCTTAAAATGCCGGATTTACAGATATGGAAATACTTTAAATTGATCCTTTTAGCCGGATCTACAGGTATGGAAATAGAATATAACACTAACATGACATCGGTGGCGTGAGGATCTTTGTTGGCTGCGTAGAACCGAGCCGTGCGGCGCGGCCGCTTGGGCTTACTGCCGGCTTCCTGTCCGCCCTGCTCGCTCTGCGTCCCCTGTGCGCCCTGACGGCCAAAAACAGATATAATGATATTTTGATTTGTAAGCAGTATGTAGTTGCAAATAAGCTGACGGCTCATATGGTGGAAAATGGTAACTTCTGCCTGTAGACATGAACAACAAGTAAATCACAGAATATGATTATATTCCCTTTCAAGCCTCTCTTACTTGTTTAATCATTCGTCATTTAATAAAACCTTTGATGTTTTCGAATATATTAATCAAAAAATACATTTTCTTCTACAAAATCAAAATCATTAACTGCAATCGTAGTAAATCCTGCTGCTGTAAAATTGCTGGACCGATTTTGATGAATTTTTTTCAGTAATAATCTAAAAGCATATACGGAATTATGAAGTAACAACTATAAAATGCAATTGTATTGACAACCTCGTCTTCATTCGGGGTTGGTTAAGACGACGTAAAATAAAGTAAAGAGCGTCTCACCCGGCGCGCGTGTGCGTGTGCGTGTGCGTGTGCGTGTGCGTGGGCGTGCGTGTTGTGGGCCGCGTGCACGGGCGGCGGCGGCGGCGGCTCCGCGGGGTTGGCGTGGCGCTCGGGCGGCACGGCCGCCTCGAACTGCTCGCGCGTGATCAGCGACACCGTACGGTACTGGTTCTGGCTGCCGCTGCACTGTGCACGCATCGTTACTCCATATTAGGGGGCGAGTAATATATACCACCGTCATCGTCTTCCTACCCTTATCCCAATTATTATTTAGGGTTGGCGTGATATGTTTTTTTATTCATATTACAAAAAGATTTGGCTTGTAGTTTTACGACCGGCCGCCTGCCTGACGTCAACCCTTTTTGGGAATACATTTGTTGGTACTTTCCACCACCTACGGTATGGAGGTAAAGATTGAGAAAAAAAAGGAAGGGAACGTTGGAAATAGCGTAAAGGAAATTAGTAAATGAGAGGAATAAGGGATTTATGTGGGAAAGGAAGGGGGGGAGGGGGAGGACGACACACTGTATTCAATTTGGTGCGTAGTTTTTGCGTGATACCGAAACAAACAAATAAAATATCCAAAAAAATATTCTGCGTAGTACCGGAACAGATAGTCAGACAAAATTGCTAAAACTATAGATCCTATTAGGATCTCTCACATTAATTCTTTTTAATACCTGCCATGTACAGCCATAGTCTAAATAACAATTTACATTTATAACCATAGTGGGGGGAATAGGTAGGTCGAAGGCATCAACAAGAAACATGTTTGCAACTTACCGACATATATTCAGAGTCATTCCATAAATCCTCTTCATAATGCCGTAGTCCATCTGTTATGACCTGCAGGAGGAACAGAGTAAAAAAATAGGTAAAAAAAAAAAATTGTCAGAAAACAAGATGTTTCAATTAGGGTCCAGTCATAGTACAGATAGATAGATACACCATTATACAATCAAATTAATTACATTTTTTTTTAAATATAAAACAAAAGATAAAACACGAAAATATGTTTTTGTCATTATTAATGTTGAGTATTCCAAAATATTGATAAATATTAGGATTATTGGATAAATAGATGAAGCTTAATTTAATTAATATTTCAATGGCACAAGAATTTATTATTATTATTAATAAATTATTGTGCCTCTAAAGTATTTCCTACTTAGAGACACAAGAATATTTTTGGGGAATTTACAGAATGCAAAATGAAAGACTAAGCAGTACTACTATCAAATCTACATAGTCCTCAGTATATAACTGCTTTACCTTTTATAAGAAAAACAAAGTTAGGTAGTAAAAAATAGGTATTTCATTATTTTGATACTTGGTCCAAATTGAGTAACGTTTATTGTAATCTTATGGCGTGTGTGCGTGTGCGTGTGCGTGTGCGTGCGTGTGCGTGTGTGTACGCGTGCGTGCGTGCGCGTGCGCACCTGCTCGAGGTCCTGCGTGATCTTGGTGCGCGAGACCCAGTCGCCCTGGCGGTCGTGGTCGTGGCGCGGCGCGCGCGCCGGCGCCTGCGTCACGATCAGCAGCCGCCCCACGTCGCGGTCCGTGAACTCCAGCTCCGACTCCGAGTCCGACCTGTGCCAACACCGTCCTTATAAAGCAACCTCACTTACATTAGCACGCAATGTCCACAGTTGGCTTAAGGTCAACAGAATTGACTTTCAATCAACAGGTTAGACACACAATCACAAGAATTTACTTAAAGTTATAACATCTTGTGTTTTTACCACCAAACAGTTATGCACATTTTTATTTATTTTCTTTATACAACTTAGAATGGCAAACAAACTGACGGCCCACCTGATGGAAAGTGGTAGCCGTCGCCTATAGACATGAACAGTACCGCGGACATAACAGAGTATACTGTTTCGCCCATGATACCTCCTATGCGTTGCCATTCCTGAGGACTCAAGTGTTATTCCTCTGTACCCAGTAAATTCACGCCATATCCCACCCTTCAAAGCGAAACACAGCCATGCAAACACAACTGCTTCACGGTAGAAACAGGAATGGGACAGATACCCAAGCAATCGACGTTTGTACAAAGTCTCCCTCTGGTGCATGCTTAAACATAGATATGACTTCATAGTGCCCATTTATATATTAATTTTGTAGTACCAACATTGCACCCATGCGAATCACTTAATGAGCCGCCTGGAACGCCTAGTCAATACTTTGATTTAGCACTTACTTCGCAGTAACTGTTTATGACATTTTCGACCATAGACAGTGGACATACAGTGCAATATTGCATTGATATACATACTAGAATCAAACGTGAACCTATTGAATTATACCATTGCTAAAAGGTATTCTTAAATAATAATAGAAATTGTAAAAAAATATTTGTATTATTATTAACTAGCGGCCCGTCCCGGCGTCGCACGGGTGGACTTTTTACATTTTAAAAAGTGGCCATTAAGGCTGCACACGCTACTGAAGCTTAAAAATGAAGTAACTTCTGCCGTTTTCCCAACATTTCCCTTCACTGCTCTGCTCCTATTGATCGTAGCGTGATGAAAAGTATACTATAACCTGCCCAGGAGTATGAAGAATAATTGTACCAAGTTTTGTTAAAATCCGTCGAGTACTTTTTGTTTCTATAACGAACATACATACAGAGAGACAGACAAAAATTTTACTGATTGCATATTTGGCATCAGTATCAATCACTAATCACCCGCTGATAGTTATTTTGGAAATATATTCCATGTACAGAATTGACCTCTCTACAGATTTATTATAAGTATAGATATAGTAATATAATATATGTATGTTTTCTTCCCGTGTCCTGGAAACTGAATATGTCCGTCGTACTAGTGCCACGGTGTGGATAATCCGTCAACGTGCTCTGGTTTTGCATAAAGTTTATGTAAACAATATCCTATTAGTTATATACAACCGAATGGTCAACCTTCTTCTTTTTGAAGTCGGTTGAAAAGTGAATTATTCTCTAATGGCCACTTTTTAAAATGTAAAAATATCCACCCGTACGAAACCGGGACGGGCCGCTAGTTACAGAATAGGACAGTAAGGAAATTGTATTAAAAAATTTACTAAAAATTTGTAAGCCTCCTGAATAGATATACTTACAGATTGGTCCCAATGAAATTTTATCAGAATCAGTCCAGTATTTTAATTTAAAAATCAAAATGACTAGCTTTACCACAATTGAAGTCTGTCTTTATTTTGTGTTTTCCTTTTTTTTTATACAACTTAGAATGGCAAACAAGCTGACGGCCACCTGATGTAAAGTGGTAACCGTCGCCTATAGACATGAGCAGTACCGTGGACATAATAGAGTACACTGTTTCGCCCATGATACTCCCATGCGTTGCCATTCCTGAGGACTTGGGTGTTAACCCTCTGTAACCAGAAAATTTATGGAACAAACACTTATAAATTAAAACAACCATACAGCTGATGACCAGTCTCGTAAACTGTGACAGCACTAACCAGGTATCTGTGAAGGTGTTGTGCCTCGGGGGCGGCAAGTCCAGCTCCTCGTCGAGCTGGAAGTGCAGCTCCTCGCGCTGCTCTTCGTACTCGGGCTCCGTGGTCGGCGGTGGAGCGCGTTCACGGGAACCTGCCTTCGTTCGCCGCTTCACCTGTTGATGATTTATACAGTCGTTAGTGATTTTCTATAGGTTTAAAATGGAATGGTAACCTCGCCTGTGTTATGGATATACGCCGATGGAATACGAGAATGACAAGTTATTGAAAAACTGGTAAAAAAAATTTGCATGCCACTGTTTTGGCAAAACACGCCTGTTCCTAACATATTATTACTACCACCACCAGAGGGAGACTTTGTACAAAAGTCTGTTGCTTGGGTACCACTGTCCCATTCGTGTTTCAACCGTGAAGCATTTATGTTTGCATGGCTGTATTTCAGTTTGAAGGGTGGGATATGGCGTGAATTTACAGGGTACGGAGAAATAACACCCGAGTCCTCAGGAATGGCAACGCTTGGGGGGTATCATGGACGAAACAGTATACTCTGTTATGTGCATGGTACTGCTCATGTCTATAGGCAACGGTTACCACCTTCCATCAGGTGGGCCGTCAGCTTGTTTGCCATTCTAAGTTGTATAAAAAAAAACCTGTATACCGTGTTTTTCAGCAAATAAATTATACTATTCTTAGGCTTCTTCAGGTAGAAAAAACTGTAACAATGCGACCTTTCTATGATCTTTTGTGCTCGCCTCTTTTCAAAGTTCGTTGCTAACTCCTAACAGTGACAGGAATTGTAAGATGTTCTTAGTAGCGATGTTTTTTATCTCCTCAGGGTATAGTGTGTTTTCTAAAGAAGATATATCGTTTATGTATGAACGGGCTACAGCGTGATAATTAAAACAGGTCCCTTGGCCAAACGGTATTTGGTAGGAATAGTTATGTCGAATATTGGTAGAATTTTTCCTACCATTTTCTACCATTCACAGTATTTTTTAAACACACCACACATAGTATTCTCTTGCCAGTTTATTTTATTTCAGCCGATAACTGTCCACTGTTGAAAGCCTTCCCCATAAAGGGAATTTTGGCAGCAGTTGCCACGGTTGGCAGGCGGATTGGCAACCGCAGTTAGACTTTTAGATATGGGTTAAGAGGGACGCTGCTGCCCATCCCTCGTCCTCCCTTAGTCGTCTCTTACGACACACACGGGAAAGGAAGAAGATGGCCAATTCTATGCCGGGACCACACCAGTTTATTACGTATTAAATAATGTAGCGCTGCGTATGAGCCGCTGAAGGCATATTGCGTTCGCAGTTCGGTGGCGGCGCGTCGCTCTCACCTCGGTTCAAAGTGGCCGCAGTCGGGCTGCGACCACTATCGTTACGAGGTTGGTTTACGTTTGAACACATTTATTGTAAAATTTTATGGTTACTACCGATTTAACTAGGAAGTATATAAGTGTACTGTTGTCCAAGATACTGATCATGTCTATAGGCGACGGTTACCACTTTCCATCAGACAGGCCGTCAGCTTGTTTGCCATTCTAAGTCATATAAAAAAACATTTTCCAGCTGTCATTTTATTGTTTTTTGAATCCATAGGTGGTTGTTTTTTTATCTTGTTAGAAGGATTATCGTATGGTCCTTTGAGCCGGATATGTGCATGTACCAGAAATGCAAGGCATGCCTATACAAGGTATTCACAACATTTACTTGGACATAGTTATATTTAACATAATGTACTGTGACATGTAATGTTTTGGCCGGCAGCACACCTGCAATGCCGTAGGTGTTGTGGGTGACCATGGGCGGCGGTAGTCACTTACCATCAGGTGAGCCGCATGCTCGTTTGCCCCCTGTGTTGTAAAAAAAAAAAAAAATAAAAGAATGTTTTGTGTACGACTCACCTCGGTCCATACATCGGTGCCGCTCCTCTCGGAGCTGGGGCTGACCGTTCCCGAACTATGTCGAGTGTCAGTCTCCGATCTCCCGTTATTTGACTCCTCTGTTAAAAAAAATATATATTTCTTTATTGATAAGTTTTCGATTATTCCATTATATTACTATATTAAAAGAAAATTATAATTAAGATAAAAACATTACATAAATAGGAAAATTATATTTTAAAAATTATAAAATTATTAAAAAAAATTAAAACAAATGGAGGCTCACTCTCTGAATGTTGTATATGTATTTATTTTACACTTTATTGCAACAAGTAAAAAAAAATAACAAAATAATACAAATATATATATATATATATATATATATATATATATATATATATATATATATATATATATATATATATATATATATATATATATGTATTCAAGGTGAGATTCTATCTTCTATCAGAGATCTTATCTAACAAATTTTGAAATATCTTATTCATGTTTTAATAAAATTTATAATTTAAGTTAAAACATCACCCACATCATGGCTCGCCGTATCGTGTAAGTGACTACCGCCGCCCATGCTCACCCACGACACCAGCGGCATTGCAGGTGTGTATATACTGACCTTGCCTCCTGGCTTGCGGTATGAACTCCGGCACGTCGGGGTTGAGCAGATCGTGATGCGGGCCGGCCGCGCCGCCCAGCAGAGGTGGCGTGCCACCCAGCAGCGGCGTGGTGGCGCGGTTCGTGCGGAACATCCTGTATACATACGAGTATACCATACAAATGCTTCGAGAAAAACGGGTCAACTTCTTCATACAATTTTGCGTGATAAATAGTTCTGAGTGATTTTCTTATGCAACTTAGAATGGCAAACAAGCTGACGGCCCACTTAATGGACAGTGGTTACCGTCGCCTATAGACATGAGCAGTACCATGGACGTAACAGAATATACTGTTTCGCCCATGATACCCCCCATGTGTTGCCATTCCTGAGGACTCAGGTGTTATAGGAATAACACCACTCACATCACAAGTTACAGAGGACTATACCCTGTGAATTCACTGCCATATTGCACCCTTCAAATCGAAATACAGCCATGCAAACATAACTGCATCACGGTTTTATTTCTTGTAATTGTTTGTATCTATAATAAGTTTACTACTGTGATCTTTTGGAGGAAACAATAAAGAGTATCTATCTATCTATTTATTTTGATGTCTGATCCGTATTATTATTACTACAGTATATATACACCATGTTAGGTCGACCTCCGCTTGGTCTCCCCTGGAAACCATCGTAATTAATTCTTGTTGAATTCGTCACGATAGGCTAACTGCCCTGCCTTCATCCTCACCTTACATCCCTTACTGGTGTCCCGCTAGCGTAAAAGCGTAGCGCCAACGTCAGCGGGGTTACTATTCCTTATTCATCCTCAACAAACGTACCTTGGTAATGGTGGCGGTGGCACAGCGCGCAACAGACTGGACACAGGAGCGACCAGCGGTCCCCCCATCGTGGCTAGGGGAAATATCCCCACCATTTGTTTCTTACGTCTGCGACAATAAAAAAAAAACAATATTTTTTGTCTTTTATACAAACTAAAACGGCTAAGAAACTAACGGCCCACCTGATGGAAAGTGGTAACTGTCACCTATTGACATAAACAGTACTGTGGATATAATAGAGCATACTGTGTCACCCAATGTACTAAAACGTTGTCATTTGAGAGGACTAAGGTGTAATGCCTCTGTACCCTGTATTTTTTTTTATATACAACTTACAATGGCAAACAAGCTGACGGCCCGCCTGATGGAAAGTTGTAACCGTCGTCTATAGACATGAGCAGTACTATGGACATAACAGAGTATACTGTTTCGCCCATGATACCCCTCCATGCGTTCCCATTCCTGAAGACTCAGGTGTTACTCCTCTGTACCCTGTAATTTCACGCCATATCCCACCTTTCAAACCGAGACACAGCTATGCAAACAACTGCTTCACGGTTGAAACACGAATGGAACAGAGGTACCGAAGCAATCGATTTTTGTACAAAGTCTCCCTCTCATATTGAGATATAGTATTAAAAAAAAAATAACGGTACAAATTCTACCATTTTCTACCATTCACAATATTTATTAAAGTTGCCAGTTTATTGTACATTAAATAATGTAGCGCCGCGTATGAGCCGCTGAAGGCATATTGCGTTCGCAGTTCGGTGGCGGCGCGTCGCTCTCACCTCGGTTCAAAGTGGCCGCAGTCGGGCTGCGACCACTATCGTTACGAGGTTACGTATCATACAACGGTTGACAGTTTTGAAAAGGGTTTCCAGTGAGGTGCAATGCTAATTGGTAAGACACAGGGAAAGGAATTGTTATGTTGAGTATTGAAATTTAAATAAAAACAGCGTGTAAGCTTATAATGTATATATTATTATTAATATTTATGCATCATTTATGTAAATATGTATTTTTTTAAACCACTGAGGAGGCAAACAAGCATACGGCCCGCCTGATGGTAAGTGGTTACTGTAGCCTATGAACGCCTGCAATACCAGAGGTATTACGCGCGCGTTGCCGACCCTGAAGATACCTCTTCACCCCCCTTTTGAAGAACCCCATCTATATAATACAATTTTAATTTTGGCTGTTAATTTGATCACACAGGGTTACATACACTCCGAGTTCGTTGCATACGTCCGTGTAGCTTTACTTCAGGCTGCAACTGCAAATCAGTGCTTTGCTTTTAAGCAAAACTATCACTGAGATGTAGCCTATTTGGGTCATTACGCCACACATGGTGAAAACATATGTTCGTATTTTATATTTTGTTTTATATTAAAAAAAAAGTGTAACTAATCTGGTTGTATAAACTCATTTGTTAGTTTACGTGTGTCGTAAATGGCTCAAAGTGTTTATCTATATATATATCTACTCACTTTTTCTCCCCAGGCTTTTCATCGCTGTTCTCTGACTGCAGAGGTGGGTCCTCGTTGGAATCGCCTTTCTTCTGAGTTTCCTGGAATCATCCATCATCGTTTACACACACTGACAGACACGTGCACTGTACAAAACTACAGATGTTTAATAACGTGTATAATATTAAAAAAAAAAAAAATTATAACTGTAACAAAATTAATTATTTTGCTCTAAAAATTAAACTAATCAATCGACTTTTATAATATTTCTACGAGGAACTGGTTACGTCACGTTTTGCTAAATAAAATGTTAAATTTAAGAAAAACTATAGGCGTTTTAAAACAGGCATCATTCATGCCCGTGTGTGGTCCCGGCATAGAATGTGACACCCATTCCTTTCCCGTGGGTGTCGTAAGAGACGATTAAGGAAACTAAAACCGAAGGATAAGTAGCAGCGTCCCTCCCATTGCTAACAATATACCCAAACCAGGTCGACCTCCTCACGGTTCCCCCTGGAAACTATCATGGTTAATTCCTGATGAATTCATCATGATGAGCTAACTGGCCTGTTTTCATTCTCATCTATCACCCTTCACTGGTGCTCCGCCAACGAATCCCGTTAGCGCAGGCGTGGTTACCATACCATTTTCACCCATAAAAAACCCCTTATGGGGGAAGCTTCTTGTTTTAACGTCCTGCAGTGGACAGTAAACGGTTGGTATAAAAAATAATATTAAAATTATAAATTACAAATCAAATATCTCACCTCTCCTTCCCTCACAGCGCCCGCAGACGCATCACTCTCTGCCTTCACTGCGTCCGTCTCGCTCACACCCTCTATACTGGGCGCCTCGTCCGCCACTTGTACGTTGGCTATCGAAACCTCTGGTATTTCTGTCACTGCGGGCGTTACTTCGGCCGACTTGTCCTCTGTTGAGGTTGGTCTCTCCTCAGGTCGGTTTGTCTTAACTTCGGGCGCAGTTGGTACTGCTTGGGGCACAGTCGGTGCTGCTTGGGGCACAGTTGCTTCTGATTGGGGAACGGTCGACCTTGCTTCGGGGACAGTTGGTCGGTCGTTAGGCGTACTCGTCTTCACTTCATTTTCGGGAGCCTTTAAAATTGGATATTAGGTTTATTAATTTGTTTAGTACAGGCTACTGATTGCAGACAATCATTTTAATGATTTGACCAATCATTATAAATTTATCCATGCACTTTTTTATCTGTGCGAAGAAGTTTCTGGCTCAGACAGTAACCCCTTTATTCATAAACAATTAGACGTGTCTGCCTTCAACGGGTCTGCCATGTAATGAAATTTCGAAATTTCGGACTCAATTACGTGTTTTTGTTTATACCAAAATCGGTCCAATAAATGGTGTTTAACATTTCGTTCGTCATACATCCTATCATAAAAGTCCAAAGGAACAATATTTTAACATTTTTAATATTTCAAAACAGGTTTGGCTGCGAAATTTCGGAAAACTTCATGGTAGGCCCTCAGCTTGTAGAGTTTCGTCGGATGGCCACAGAACACTCTGTGGTCATCATATTGTGTTCAGAAATTTAAAATCTTATTTATTCTTATTTCTATTATTGTTAAATTACAATAATATTATTCCATTTAATTAAAAAGTATGTTTTATAGTACTGATGTTTTTCTGGGTGAGCGTATTAGGAGAATGTAAAGCTCACCCAGTTGAAATAAATAAATAAATAAAAACATCTAGTCCCTTTTAAACTTATTTTAGCTATTGTAGTGTTTATTTATTTTATTTATATACTTTTGTACATTCACTTATAATACAGATATTGTTCAAAATTAACCTTTTTATATATTGACAATTGTAGTTTTTTATAAAAAAGAATATTTATAAACAATTGAAAAAGAACAAAAAATACATACAATACTTCAAGTCAACAAATTTTCAATTACAAATAATATAATAAATAAATAATAATATATAATAACAAGAACCAGCATTTTTTACAAACAAATATTAGATTATAGCAAAAATGTACACAGGCGTACTTATCCCTTTAGAGATATCTTCAAGCATTCATTCTTCAGTGAAAGAAGAAAGTGCATATAAGGTTTGTATACAAAGTATAACAGATATGGTGCAATAAATTATTAGTATATACATATTTTTTTATACAACTTAGAATGGCAAACAAGCTGACGGCCCACCTGATGGAAAGTGGTAACCGTCGCCTATAGACATGAGCAGTACCGTGGACATAACAGAGTATACTGTTTCGCCCATGATACCCCCCATACGTTGCCATTCCTGAGGACTCAGATGTTATTCCTCTGTACCCAGTAAATTCACGCCATATCCCACCCTTCAAACCAAAACACAGCCATGCAAACACAACTACTTCACGGTTGAAACATACATAAAAACAGAGTATAGATAAATTATATATATATATATATATATATATATATATATATATATATATATATATATATATAAAACAGAGTTGTAGGATTATTTTTAATATTTTATGAATAACCCCTTATTAAATTATAAATATGCATTAAATCAACGCTCCTGCTCACCTTAGGCTTGTCTTCGGTAACTGTCGGCTTCTCTTCGGATACCTTCTGTTTCTCGCCGTCGTCAGAGTTAGTGCCAGATGTTATGTCTAATATTGGCCACTTCGTTGGCTCGAACGCTGTCCGAACCTGCAGTAGACGGGGGGAAAGGGATTGTTAGTAATGGGGTTTAACAGCTCTATTGCTAGCAATGTACCCTATTAGGTCGACCTCCACGCGGTTCCCCCTGGAAACCATCGTGGTTATTTCTAATGGAATTCTTCACGATGGGCTAACTGACCTGCTTTCATCCTCACCAATCACCTCTCGCTGGTGTCCCGCCAGTGTATACCGTTAGCGCAGGCGGGGTTACAATTTCATTTTCACCCATTAAAAAAACCTTACAGTAGGCATATTATATATATTTTTTTATACAACTTAGAATGGCAAACAAGGTGACGGCCCACCTGATGGAAAGTGGTAACCGTCGCCTATAGACGTGAGCAGTACCATGCACATAACAGAGAACAAATAATGCCCCCACATATCATTCCAGGTTCAAAACTATTAATTTGTGAAACGTGCATAAATATATGCAGAGGGAGGAAAGGAATTGTTAGTAATGGAGACAAAGAATCCCATTGCTAGCAATATATCCAACCAGGTCGATCTCCACACGGTTCTCCCTGGAAACTATCATGGTTAATTCCTTATGAATTCATCATGATGGGCTAACTGGCCTGTTTTCATTCTCATCTATCATCCCTCACTGGTGCCCCGCCAGCGTATCCCGTTAGCGCAGGCGGGGTGGGATTACCATTCAATTATTACCTATCAAAAAGAAATATGCAGAAGTCCATACCTTGAACCCGCCGACCAGCTGCAGTTTGTCCGAGTCCCTAATAGCGTCAAGCACGAGCTGCACGTCAGCTGTGAGTGCTCTGACGCGGTGGAACGAAGCTATCAGCGTCACGGGTATCGTGCCGTCCGCCGCCATTTTGCGACGGAGGAAGAAGTCGCGCGCCAAGTTGTCCGGACTGAAGTAGTATTCGCTGAAAAACAAATGTTTCATTGAGACACGTTCAATTTCAAGTCTAGTCTATGTATAGTATCTAAAGACGTCGAGAAAAAACAAGCACAGTAGAATCTCGATTATCCGAATCAAATAAAATAAATTATCCGGATTTTCCATTATCCGGAATACAGAGGTATTCCGGATAATCAATTTCAAAGTCAAATTAAACATGCCATCTTAAAAAAAAAACTTTTTTATTATATAAAAATACGTCATTTAGACAATACGATATAAAAAAAAATTACGAGCTATAAAAACAATGGCTAGTAATACCTATTTACCCAATTAATATATATAATACCATTTCTAAATCGGTAATTAGGAATCGTGATTAATAAGTCCGGATAATCGAATATTCGGATAATCGAAATTGTAAGAATTTAATTAATTTAATAAGTAGCCGGTAAAATAAAAAAAATATTTTACTTTATTTTTTACGTCTACCAATTAAACAATACATTTACATAACTAGATGTATTTGTATTAATTTTATAAGCTGTTATGAAAAGTGAGATATCGCAATGAAATTACTGGTTAAGAGCCATATTGTACCTTGATATAATTGAATATCTTGACAATTGACTCTTGTGAATCAACTTTGTGATGTTCATGTCGATAGACAGCCACAACTTTATATATTATTTATTGGACTTTTAAAAAAGATCTACAACGATTAGTTTAACGACTAATTTTGCTAAAGTCGGTTTATCTCTGAAAGAGATCTGTTCCAGTCAACTTTTTATCAGTGTGAGCCATCAGTAATTTTGGACAAGATGGGATATTTTTTTTATATCACAAAGGTGGCAAACTAACATACGGCCTGCGTGATGGTAAACGGTCACTGTAACCTATGGACGTTTGAGTGTCACGTGCGCCTTGCTAACCCTGAAGAAACCTTAATATAACTGAAGAAGATACATACTGTAGTCTCAAGGGGAAACCACGGCAGGGAGCTTATTCCATAACCGAAGCGGTTGCGGGAGAAAATTCCTTTGAAACCGCACTGTACGTGACTATTTAAGGTTAAAGCCATTTAGGATATTAAGCCAACCATAACATAATGTCACATAATTTACAATTAACGTTCTATGTATCTATTATTATTATTATTTTCTATTGTTAATAAACGTATTTATGTTTATGTACTGTTCATGTTTATAGGCGACGGTTACAGCTTCCATCAGTACCGTCAGCTTGTTTGCCGCACTAAGTATCTTCAAACATCCTTTCAATACTTACATTTGTTTCTTGATGAGGTCTTTCAGCGTGGCCTGGTCGAGCCCGATGCCGTAGGGCGTGGCGGTGGCGGCGGCGGCGCCGTAGTAGAAGGCCTGCGCCAGCGGAGCGCCCATGGGGGCGCCGAGCGGCGCGAGGGCCGAGTACTGCAGCACCAGGCCCTGTGCCACGCCAGCTTGAGCGACCCGCAGCTGGATAGGAGGGAGGGGGACGGTAAGCGGGGGTGCCTTCGGTTTCGTTTGCAATCATACATTTGATTTGATGATACTATGTTAATAATTATAACTTTTTATTTAGTTTAAAACATGTCTTATGTGTATTGTCTTTTGAAATATCTTCACGCCAATATATTGTTACATAAATATAGGTGTCGCCTGTTACCCGAGGGGGTAAGCAGAAATAAATAAAATTATACACCACTGTAAATTGTAGCAAGCCGTATATAGCCGCCATAGCACAAAAACGGTTGCGTATCGATCATTTTAGCAACTAATTGTTGCAAACTATTATTATTATTCTTTTTCTAATAGATTTTACTGTTTGCATGCGTACATTGTGGCAGAAACAAATGAATACTAATTTTAACTCTTACAAAGCTATATAGCTTTATTCGATCAGTGAAACTCGGTAAATGAAAAAAAAAATTAAGCCTCTCATACTAATAAGGCGCGCCTAGATGTAACCTCAATACCAGTGATTCAATTTAAACGAGAACACGACACGTTTCTAAGAGAAAAAAAAATGTTTGGGAAACATCTCATAATCACCTTTACAAATCTAATATCGTTTAATAAATTGAGAAATCCATAATAAATAATATTTACTGTCATCATGGACAAAAAATAAACGAATCTACAGATATAATCGTTTCAGTTAGCGCTCGCATAAGAAAAAACAAGACAACGCATGCTTCTGTCTCATTCTATCTCACAGCTCGCTAGCGGTAACGATTGCATAGAGAAGAGGAACAGACTATTTTTATATAGACTTTTTATTAGTATTGTAACATTTTCTCTGTACCAAATAGAAATTATTGTGAGTATTATCATTGATACAAATAACCCATAAAAAATAATTAATTATCGAAATATATCCATAAATAATCTAATTGGACTGAAAATGCTTCCATTATTTATGACGATTCGACGCATGCGTTTTACCCCAGTATGCTCTAATTTCAACATTCAGAATACGTGCAACATACATCTATATGTTTACTAAAAAAGAAAAACCCTAACAAAAAGAATAAATATACTGGATAGATATGACACTCATATACTTTGTGCGACAATACCGTCAAAATATGACCTTCATCCCTTCAGACCCTGTATACGTTAAGATCTTTGCTTCAAATGTATTCTCATTCAATAAATAATTATAAGACATGTCGCGACTCCAGCGACACACGTCCTCAACGACGTCTGTCGCCCGCGAGCGCTGACTGTCGACTGGTTTAACTCGCAATAAACGCGGACGCGGGCCGGCCGCGCAGCATACTAGTTATTATTATTGAATTTACGAGAGTGTTCATTCTACCCGCATATTTATTCTTATGGTTTTAATATAAATTTCATTTATTTTGTTTCCCCGTTACAGATAATATATCCCTAAAAACTTTTCAACTACTAAAATAGCCATGACAGATATTTCTAATGACAATACGCACAATTCATGTATAGTATATTTATAGAAAATATTATTTCAATATGAAAATCATATTATGACATGTATCTACCTAAACTCCAAGCAGGGAGAATCGAATGCAAAAAGCCTTTATCCTTATAGACATAACTCGCCTCCTGTATTTTCATAAGTCGTCTCAAGTATGCACGCAGATTCCGGAAACTGTTTACTCCTTCCATAGATAGATCATCAATAAATTCTAAATCTAGTTCTCTCCCAGTATATACATCTTTCTATTTTTACATATTACCATTCTCTCAATATTTTATTTCTTTTAACATACATTTATGAATATTAAGTTTCTTTTTTCAATTACCCAAGAAATAATATAAATATGATTTTCATAGTTTACTTATAAGTATTTTCTATAAAAACTATTTTTAATTACCGAATATTATATATAAAACCAAAGGCACTTGGTGTGGATTCCCATCATTTTCAGACATGGATGTGATGTGAAAATGACCGCAAACCCCATAAGTGATGAACCAAATATAAACCAATATAATACATAATAATTATATAAGATACAGTCCCATGATATTTATAGTTGATTTTATAATATTTTGAGCACCATAATGAGGATTTCGTGTCCATAGTTAATTAGTGATTAGTAAATAAAAAAGTTATTACAGTAGAATCTCAATTATTCGAATCAAATAAAACCAGGTATGGAATCCGTATAATCGAAAATCCGGATAATCGATTTCAAAGTCAAATCAAACAATACATAATTCACGTAGTAAAATATGTTTTTTTTTTTATTACGTAAAGGGTTTAACATACGTCATTTAGATTATATTATTAAAAAAAAAATTACGAGCAATAAAGATAATGGATTACATACCTATTTAACCAATTAATATATAATAATATTATACCATTTCTAAATCGGTAATTAGAGCCGTAAAGATCGGATTATCCGGATAATCGAATATTCGGATAATCTGTGTTCGGATAATTTAAATTCTACTGTATATAATAAAAGCAACAATGGGGCCGATTCTGAGACTAAATTCTCTAAATATCCACCTATTAAGCTAATATTTTCAAACGATAGTATTTAAAAATAACTGTTTTATGGACCATAATAAACTATAATTATAACAATATTGACTTTATTACAAGATTAGTTCTTATTTTTTTTTATTTTTCTCGTCTGAACTTAAGATTTAATACGCTCTAGTTGTTAAGCCATCACATCGTGTAAGATCTATGTGTACACTTGAATCGTGCTATATGTATCGAATCAGAATAAAAATAATATTACTATTATTATATTACTGGTATTTACAATAAAGTTTTGGCTGTGATATTTATTTATTAAATTATTTATTTTATATTATTTTATTTTATATCAAATGAAAAAAAATATTTATCTGTCAAAACATTTCTATATGGATGATTAATTCTACAAATCACACAATAGACATGCAAGCCTGTATCGTGTAATTCAGAAATGTTGATATATCCTTTAATACACTTGTAAGTTACATATAAGAGTTTATATCCAAATTGAAACTTTATTTTACAGATGGATTTAGAGAAATGAAAGAATCGATCCAAATATTATATGTATCACTTTTAACAATTAGTAAAGCATGATGTGAATAACCAATATTATAAAAATACATAGATAAGTTTGTAACAATGTTTGAATGTTTGTTAGCCAATCATGCTGAAGCAAATAAAAGCCATTTATATTAAAATTGGCTTAATTGTGGCGTTGGTTGTTACACTTTATGAGTCAATAATTAAAACTCGTGTTTCACCAAAAAAAGCGACTTAAATTGTAGGAAAACCAATTATTTTGATTACCTACTGAATCGATTCTGATAAAATTTCTACGGGAACAATTGGAAGCATATCCTTTTAGACATAAAGAATTTATCAAATCGGTTTACAATTGACCGAGTTTTAAGGTAACAAACAAAAAAATACAACGCAAATGAGAAAATCCTTTTTGAAGTCGGCTAAAAAGGTTATCGAGTTAAATTTAGTATCTTCGCTATAATTCTTAATATAATTCATATGTACTAGCGATTAACTTTCTATTCAACCGACTTTAAAAAAGGAGGTTATAAACTCAGTTACATTTTCGTCATATCTGTAAACTACAGAAATGTGTCATTTTAAACGTCACCAAAGCCTAACTGCGGTTGTCTTCCCAATAGGGGGAGGCCTATATTCAGCAGTGGTCAGTTAACAGCTAATATGATGATGATGATGATGATGATGATGATAGGAAGCAAAATGTTATCAAATAATAATGGTACAAAAAGAAAAATATATATGATCCCACAACTAATTAGTAATATTATAAAAAGCCCAATAACATGCGTGGCATGCATGTAGTAACAAGAAAATGGCGCTCAAAATGGCGATGACGTCAAAAGGAAGGAACGGGACTGTTTAGACTTATGTACTACCCTTCATGGTCACATTTCTTTGTGGATTCGTGTCTATTGCGAATGGATGATCCATTCACATTTCCGAATCGATTTTGATTATACTTTTTGCAACATTACATTACGATAGTTACAAAAAAAATCAAACTAGGACCTTTCTTTTTGTACGAATAGCTTTATAAATTAATAAATTAATCTCACTACGAACATATATATATATATATATATATATATATATATATATATATATATATATGTTAGTTTAGTATTTAACATATATGTAATTGAATTAATAATGAGACTCGACCATTTAGAGTAGTACATAAGTCATGGACGAAATCATGGTCAGCAATGATTTTATCCTTATTACGATAGTCTTACATCTAGAAACATTTTAAACTGACAGTTCAAATTGTATATATATTGCAATCACATAAAATTTATATAAAAAAATCATGCATTCTTTAAAACTGAAAAAAAAAAGTACAGTAGACACCCTGTTTATACAAAGATATGAAAATTAATAAACCAAGTTTGTAGCCCAAATTTGACTTTGGGTGATTTTGGACAAAAGATGTAGCCAATTACATTCCACCAAGAACGGTGACTGCTCGAAAGTCGGTGGTACTTATGTACAGTAATTGACGGTAGAATCGTCGACTTTCTCTTCGCAACATTTCTGAGGGCATCTTTTACACCTTAGGTGTTTTTTTTTTCCTGTTAATAACTGTAAAGGAAGGGTATTGCTTGCAACAGGATGTATTAAGCCTATCCCTAACAATATTTCGTATGAGAACTTCATCCTCACCTGTATTTTATATCAAAAGTCGATTGCTTGGGTACCTCTGTCCCATTCGTGTTTCAACCGTGAAGCAGTTGTGTTTGCATGGCTGTGTTTCGATTTGAAAGGTGGGATATGGCGTGAATTTACAGGGTACAGAGGAACCAACGGTTACCACTTTCCATCGGGTGGGCCGTCAGCTTGTTAGCCATTCTAAGTTGTATAAAAAAAAATCTTAGATTATATAGATAACAGATAGAGCATCGAGCCTCAAAAACGGATCAACTTTTAGTCAGCTAATTGGCAAATTACTTACTACCGTCCCAAAATTAATTGTATGATTTTTGTTACAATGCACAATTTACAAATATGTGCATTTTGTGTTTATTTTACGAACATAATTAATAAGTTACATCATGTAATGTAAGTTTTTATGTTGTGTAGAGGAGTTATAGATACTTGTATCTCTATTTTAAATGTTTGAAGGAGTGCATATAATGTTACTCGCCAAACGATTTATGGCTGATTGTAAACTCTAGACTTACGTACACTGGAATTTATTATATTTGTAATCACTTATGATAAATAAAGAACTTTTGAAAACAAACAAAACAATTGGCAATTTAATCGACTCGTTTTTTATCAGTGCACTTTATACTTACACATATAATGTATATTGACGTATTATTTAATAAACAAAATGAGTGTTTACGCATTAAAAAGGTGCAGAAATTATAAGACAAAATAAACATAGAAGTTATAAAGGAATCACTCGTAACTATTTATCACGTAAAATTGTATGAAAAAGTTGAGCCGTTTTTCTCGAAGCATTTGTATGGAGACACTCTATCTATATAATCTAAAACTGCCATGTACCTAAATTATTGGTGAGTGAAGCAATGGTGGTCATGAGGTGCACTTCAAAAACAATTGTTAACATAATAAGCATTCGAAATTTCTTCCTGAAAATTGATTACTGAGATACAGATCTCTGATCTAGTTTAGGGTCCAGTTTGCCACATATACATTTACAGAGCATTGCGTATATGCATTTACCACACATATAATTGTAATTTTTCATGTACCCGTCTTTTTCCGTAAAATTAATGGAGAAAATAAATAAATCTATTATTATTATTATAAAAACTGAAATAAAAAATAGAAAAATCATTTCTTTTTGCCAAATGTGTAAAAGTAAACCGGCCATGTACGTACCTGCGCCAGGTCAGGATGGTGCGCCAGCTCGTGAGGATGGTATGGCAGGTGCGCGTGCGGCGGCGCGGGCAGCGCGGAGGCCGGCCGCGGTCGCCGCGCGCCTCCCCTCGCGCCCCTCGCCCCGCCCCGCCCACGCCCGGGGCCGCCGCGGCCTCGGGGGTCCTCGCCGTTCAGCGACACCGTGTCTAGGGGGGGGACAACATATGTATCACTCGCTGCTCACACACTTGTACGGCCTGATACTATAGCGAAGCACCCAAGGGTAAGGTGACAGTGGAATTAAAAAAAAACTTGTGAATAAACTACAATTAATTGTTCAGTATTAATAAATCAATTCAATTCTTTCACGAAAACCTGGAATGGCGAACGAGCTGACTGCCCACGCGAAGTGGCAACTATCGTCCATAGGGGGAGAAAAGGGATTGTTAGAAATGGGGTCAAATAGCCCCATTACTAGCAATATACCCTGTCAGGTCGACGTCCACGTGGTTCCCCCTGGGAACCGTCGTGACTAATTTATCGTTGAATTCGTCACGATGGGCTAACTGACCTGCTTCATACTCACCTATCATTCTTCACTATCATATGCATGCTAGGGCACCACTGATGGTGCCCCGCCGGTGTATACCGATAGCACGGGTGGGGTTACCATTCCATTATCATCCATTAAAAAAAACCTACTTTTTCATCCTCACCAATCATTCCTCACTAGTGCCACGCCAGTGTATACTTTTAGCGCAGGCGGGGTTACCATTCCATTATCATACATTAAAAAAAAAAAACTAGGGTCTAGCTACGACCTTGCTGTCATTCCTTGTCACCCCACACATCCACTATCATGGTATTTATCTATATGTATTTTCTATACTGTAAACACGTTTGTCACATATTACAAACGTATTATACATTACAGTAAAGAAAAACTATAATATACCCGATTGCGTAACCCTACGTCTCTATGAATAAGGGACGAGAGGCCTAAATTACGGGATTGCACTAGAGCAAAGACAAATCGTCATACTCGGGAACGTTTCTATACGAGTTGACCGGATGCCAGCAGTAATTATTATAGTATTTCCGACAAGGGTTGACAACAGGCAGTTAGTCGGTCGTATAGCAATATATAGTTTTAACATAATTTTTTAAAAGTGAAGGTAGTCGAGAAACTCTCAACACCAGAGGGCGCCCTCACGCAATAGCAATAATGTCTGCATGTCATAAATATAAAAATCTATGTGTCAACAAATTTCCCCGTTCCCGGGTATGACGTATTTATGAAGGAATTACTGAGTATATTTTACTTGCATTATACAATATAGGAAATAAGCAAGACAATTTACGAACACAACGATACAATTGTACAAGTGCAGTAAGGCGGTCTTATTGCTGAGAGCAATCTTTACAAGACAACCTTAAGGTAAATAACATATTTACCTTTCTGATCCTCATCACTGTGAGGGTGACGACCAGTGTTTCCCAACCATTTTTTGTGCCATGTCCCACTTGAACATTTCTAAAATTTTTATGCCCCCATACATATTTTTTTCCGATAAAATTTACTTGGCTACTCTAATCGCCCAGTTGATATTTTGGTAACGTCAAACGAAATTAATCCTAATAAATATTTACAGCATTTTTATTAATTTACTTTTTTTTGTTAAATTTGGCACCGATATCTACTCGTGGCATTGCACTTAAATGGCTCGGAGCAAGAGGGTTCAAAACGCTTCGAGTCCATTTTCTAATTGCCCCTCCCCCCCTTAACTATCCAACTGCCCCCTTGTGGTGCGTGTGCCCCACGTTGGGGAACACCGGTGACGCCTATCAATCAATATAGGAGTTATGGTAACACTCACCATGGTCGGGCCTCGTACTGTGCTGGGCGCCATGCTTGCTCGGCCTTGCCGCCTTCACATCAATGTCCAGCGGGACCCATTTGTGTTTGCCGGACTTGCTGCTGCTCTTCCCAACACCTGTAAATTGACAGTTGCATAGTGTTCAGTACCCATTGTACAAGTTTTTTTTATGCAACTCAGAATGGCAAACAAGCTGACGGCCTACCCGATGAAAAGTTGTAACCGTCGCCTATAGACATGAGCAGTACCGTGGACATAACAGAGTATACTGTTTCGCAAAGGACACCTCCCATGCGTTGCCATTCCTGAGGACTTAGGTGTTATTCCTCTGTACCCAGATCTACCAATTACACACTTCTTGAAATCACAAATGAAACAATATAGTTCAGTACACAATTATGTAGCATTGTAGTATTTTTTATTTCATTAAAAGGGAAAAACATAAAACTGAAATTTGTTCTTAGTAACTACTTATTTATATTAGTGTGAGCATTGCGTCTGCGCATCTTCCGCTACATTAGCAAAATATTATATTGTTTGCCTTGCCACGATCGACTGGACTAATAGTCGCGATCGACCGGTTGACCATCCCTGCGGGTCTACCATGAAATGAAATTCCGAAATTTCGGACTCAATTTCGTGTTTTTGTTTATACCAAAATCGGACCAATAAATGGTGTTTAACATTTCGTTCGTCATACATCCTATCATAAAAGTCCAAAGAAATAATATTTTTAACATTTTTAATATTTCCAAACGGCATGTATTATGTAATTTTAATATCAAATTTGTGTTTCGTTTGGCTCCGAAATTTCGGAAAACATTTCATGGTAGGCCCTCTGGTTTGTTCTATATAACATTTCGAAATAACCGGTCTCTGCCATTAGTAACAAAGTTATAGAAACATGAACCAACCAGAAGACTTTGCTTTATCGATATTCCTCTCGTGCCTGTCATTGTGACCCTGGTGATTGTGCGTGGGCTCCGACTTGTCTACCCTCGTCTGATGGTGGTGCTCCTCAGGGGGTTTGCGCTCCTGGTCCTGAAAGGTAAACATTGATAGATTAAACAATTTATTTGCACTACCTTCAACACCCAAATAGGGGGCAACACAAAAAAACATTCACAAATATTTCGCGAGAGAAAACTACTCGGAACAACCTTTTTGAAGAACTTTTTGAAAGAAGTTATCAAGCCAATATATTTATTTATTTATTTATTCATTAGTACACATATGTGTACATGGCGGACTTAATGCTAAAAGCATTCTCTCCCAGTCAACCATAGGGAAGTGTCAGAATACTCGAATGCGGTACATACATACATACATACATATCTGTCACGTCTGTCTCCCATTGGGGTAGGCAGAAACAATGGAACGCCAAATGCTTCGATTCAAACAAACCTCTTTCGCTTCCCCCACATTCATCAATCTTTTCATACACGCTCGCCGGTTACGGGTACTTTTAATTTGGCCCTTCTTCAGCACGTCGCCTATTTGGTCAACATACGTCCGTCTAGGGCGGCCCCTACCGACATCTCCATTCATTCTTGCTCGATATATCTAATGGGGTACTGGTAATTATTGATATACATACATACTACAATTACATATATAAACAAATAAATATATATTAATAACAAATATACTTACATATATAAGACATATACTATATTATACACGAAATTGAGAATAATATAAAGCACTTACTGCTCGGATAAAGCAAAAAAAGTGAACGTGAGCGTTTTTTTGAAAGACTGTTTAGTCGGTAGTCTCTTAATGGCATCAGGAAGTATATGTACAGTTTATATAATTACAATACATAGATATTTCTCTATATCACCCAAATACAAAATATACAGTACAGAAACTTACCGCAACACCATTATGATGCGAGGAGTCGGCCTCTTGTGGTGGTGGCGTGGAGTGACACCTGCCGCCCGCCACAGCCGCCCCCAGCGTGGGCCAGTCGCCGATGTCCGTGAAGTCTGACGCCTGTGAACAACATATACGCTGGTTAGTTACAATACTTGATCAATATCTTAATGAATGACAATGGAATGGTAACCCAGCCTGCACTCTGGGGTAAAGGGATTGTTAGTAATGGAGATTGAGAATCCTATTGCTAGCAATATACCCAACCAGGTCGACCGCCACGCATTTCCCCCTGGAAACTATCATGGTTAATTCCTGATGAATTCACCATGATGGGCTAACTGGCCTGTTTTCATTCTCATCGTTCACCCGTCACCGGTGCGCCGCCAGGGTATCCCATTAGCGCATGCGGGGCTGCCTTTCCAGAAAAAAAATACGTATATATATATATATATATATATATATATATATATATATAAACGTTGTAAATGGTCGTCTCTGTGTCAACCACATCAAATATTATTGTATAACCATTAGAAAACCGGTTGTTGTCATTAGATAGAGTCATAAAGCTAAAGGTCGTCATGCTGGTGAGATAATGGATTCTGGGTCGGGGCGCATTTCTTAGCTACACAGATACACATGGACGTAGACGACGCTAGTACAGTGCACTGAGTTAAATCGAAATCGGTGTTCTGGTAGAACGACGAAGGCGAAAAGTTTTTTATAGGATGGAAAGTGGTAGCCATCGAATACAATTTTTGACGTAGATTTTTCGTATTTACGGCAAAAATTGACATATAAAATAGATAAACACTCTTTTTTGTTCCCTCTAAATGTCTACGACAGCAAATTGCACAAATATAAAAAATAAACAGCAAATACTTTAAAAAAAAATATCCGCGTTATCACTAATAGCGATAGCTAGAAAAACCAATAATTTTCTAGGCAACTTCTGGATGGAGAGAAGTAATAACAAACAGTTCGGTGCGAGGCACGATGTAATTCTGTTCGAAAGTAGAATCAGAATGCGTCATCTATTCAAATACATGTCTGTGGTCAGACCTCTTTATATAAATTAAAGGTCATTAAATCTGTTACGATACGATTTTCTATTCGGAAAATGAACTTAAATATATTGCTGCGGCCTCTTTGGTTAGTTCTGTAGTTGGCCGTTTGAATTATATATTTATTTGCTAGCTTTTTTTTTATACAAGTTACGAAATATCAAACAAACTGACGGCCCATCTGATGGAAAGTGGTAACCGTCGCCTATAGACATGAGCAGAACCATGGACATTTTTTTTTATACAACTTAGAATGGCAAACAAGCTGACGGCCCACCTGATGGAAAGTGGTAACCGTCGTCTATAGACATGAGCAGTACCATGGACATAACAGACTACACTGTTTCCATCGCCCATGATACCCCTCATGCGTTGCCATTCCTGAGGATTCAGGTGTTATTCCTCTGTACCCAGTAAATTCACGCCATATCCCACCCTTCAAACCGAAACACAGCCATGCAAACACAACTGCTTCACGGTTGAAACACGAATGGGACAGTGCAACCGAGATATGTTCACTAACCAGGATAAACAGTAGCTAGGGATAAATAGGTGGGAAGGGATTGTTAGTAATGAGGAGGTTAGTCCCCATTACTATCAATATACCCTATCAGTTCGACCTCCACGCGGTTCCTCCTGGAAACTATCGTGACTAATCCATCATCGGTCGGAAATCGGTTGAAAAAAAAATATTGACGCACAAAAAGCAACTAACAAGACTAAAGCTAATTTAAAATAAAGATTTTACCAGAGAGATACTATACAAAAGTCGTTTGCTTGGGCACCTCTGTACCATTCGTGTCACTCATGTTTTTAGGCGACAGTTACCACTTTCCATCAGGTGGGTCGTCAGCTTGTATGCCATTCTAAGTTGCATAAAAAAATAGAGGTAATTTGAATCAATGCCTTAACTTACTGTTCAAAGTTCCATTTGGTTCTAAGTTCGTTTAAATTGAAACTCTAATACTCTAGCAATACGCACTAGCTTCGCACGTATAGGTAATGCAGGGATTACAAAATTTTTTGAAAATAAAACGCATGTTAATTGCTGATAATATAACGTACAACGCGGTTTCAGAGATGTTTCCTCCCACGAACACTCAGGTTATGGAATGGCTCCCTGCCGAGGTTTTTCCAAGAGCCTACAGCATGGGGTTCTTCCAAAGGGGGTAAAGAGGTTTTTTCAGGGTCGGCAACGCCTGGTATTGCAGGCGTTCATAGGCTACGGTAACTACTTACCATAAGGTGGGCCGTATGCTTGATTGACACCTCAGTGGTATAAAAAAAACTTACTACTGGTGAAAGAATTTTCGAAATGGTGACCCTTTAAGTTTAGTAAGAATTAATGATCCAGAAGAAAACACTTGTGGTATCATGCCACGATGGGCCAACTGATCTGACTCCATCGTCATTTATCATCCCTCCCTGATTCCCCGCTAGAATAAATCAACAGCGTGATAATAAGAAATGAACCTGTGAAATAAAACCATTAAAAACTAAAATAACCTGTGTCTCATGCTCAACTCTAGCCCAGCTCTTCCTCGCCCGGGACTTCCTGCGCGTGGCCACGCCCGCTGTCATTCTTGTATTTTGTGTCACGCTCTCGTCATCGTCGTTCGTCACAAATTGTCACTTAATCGTCACAACTTAATAGTCCACACTTAATGTTAAAATCATGTATCGCTGACACTTGTCGAATTATATATTGGCACTATTGATTAATTGGAATGTATTTTATTTTTTTATTTATTTATTTTTTTGTTGAAAACAATTCTCTATTTAATTTTTGGCACTTATTAATTATTTATTGGAATGTATATTGCCTTTTGCAGTGTGTAATACTTTAAAGATTGATTGAGATTCGTTCTGAAATTTTTATGTGAATGAAGTGTCATTATTACTTAACAAGTGTTAATTATTAGCACTTTCGATTAATTTTACATTTTACTGGTCATACATACCAATAAAATAAAATAAATTATAAATATATCCTGGCTGGATCCAAATGGTAGACAATGATAAAGTAGAATGAGGCTGACTTCATCCTCACCTTTGATCCCTCAATATATCGTCATAGTCTTAGAATACTGACGGATCTTTATATGTAATATTCGTCAGATCCGTCAGTATTCTACGACTGTGACGATATTATATTCAAAATTATCAAATCGAACAATACGTAATACTAGTTTTCACTCGCAACTTCATCTGCAAGATCATGATATAAAATATGTACTTATATCCTTCTCCAAACCAAATACTGTATTTACCAAATTTCACAACAACGGGTTGAGCTGTAAAGTGGCAAGACGTAACAAACAAACTCACTATCATATTTATAATAATTAATCTCTAGTTAACATTAATTGTTTTAATTTGCTATAAATTTTTGTTAATCAATTTTTAATATCTATCTATCCTATTTAAGAGCTGCGCTCTTGTCGGTGGATCTCTACGATTTTCAGCGAGTCCCTTCACCTCTTGATACGACACGATACCAACTGCTTCCTTGATCTGCCTGATGTAACTATGTCTCGTTCTCCCTCTCCCCCTACTTCCTTCTATCTTATATATAAAAATGAAGCTGCGTATTCTATGTAACAAACGTTTATGAATATGATCGCTGTGCCCTACCAGGGTCCATATATTTCTCATTACTTCCTATGCCACTGTGTTAGGTTGACTGGAAGAGATCTCTTTTAGAGATAAGTTCGCCTTTGCTAACATTGTTATTAACTTATTTACTGTTGTAGTTGTTACTGTATGTTTTAAGGCAATAAAGAATATATATATATAGGTTCGTCGTGTCGTATCAAGTGTCCCAACATTTCAATGGAGCAATTTTTAATAAATTGTAATAAATTTTTGCACATTTCCAATTAATATTTAGATAATATAAAATTGCTTAAGGTGTTGAAATTGTGACAGGTGATAAGCGTTGCCAGTGATCCGGTATAAACCGGTGTAGGCTTAATTAAATTTCCATTATATTCGATGCACTTGTATAAATTGTTTTTATATTTCCAATCGGTATTATTCCATTGAGTGGAGTATATCCAATTATATAACTTACTTATATTTATACAATAATTAAATCATCACCACCATACCAGCCTCTAATTGATCACTGCTGAACATAAACTGTGGTCATGGCTGGAAAGAAGCCATATAGTCTATTTTTAAAAAAAGAAAAAGAATGATTTGAATTTTTGCATACCACTCTTGTATCTCTTCGTGTAATGTCTTATAACTATAATTTTGTTATGTAAATAAATATAAAAAACACTAGTGGAACTATAAAAGTGGTATCATTTTGGAGTACGTCGTCTAAGCTGCGTCCTTGGGGTTTTACCAATAGTTACTACGCTTGGCAGGCGGACTGTGGTAAACCGCACCTAGGCTTTGGTGATGTGTTAAGCGAGACGCTGCTGCCCATCACTCACCCTCCCTTAGTCATCTCTTACCCGCGGTAAAGGAAGGGGGTGGCTTATTCTATGCCGGGACCACACGGTCATAATTCAATATACAAATGTAATACAACTAAATGTATATATATATATATATATATATATATATATATATATATATACGAGGTCTGTCCGGAAAGTTCGTATAAAAGTGTTCTGGAATGCGAGAAAGAGGAGTGGGGAGGCCAGGTAAGCGCAGGACCCCTTCCTTATGTCCCTAACAATGCTTCAGTTCTGGTCTGACCGCCGTGCGGTGCGAACTGGCTTGTCACGCCATCTGTGAAGTTACCTCTTAACGAAACCCCGTCGGCATGGAGCCCGCTTCCGTTGAAGAGCAGCGCGTCGTAATCAAGTTTCTCTCGAAACTCGGCAAGAATGGCCGTGAAATTTTTGCCGATCTCAGAACAGTTTATGGGGATGATGCTGTGAAGGAACCAACCGTCCACAAGTGGCTAAAAAGATTCAGAGAGGGCCGAGAAAGCGTTCAAGATGACCCACGTTCAGGACGTCCTTCCACTTCACATTCCGACGAATTCGTCTCTCCAGGCCAGACAGTTGATGGAAAATTCTACGTCGATGTGCTCAG